TGCTAAATGTGTCCATAGTTGTCACACACTGTTTATTCGAGATGTGCGATCCTGAACAAAAGACTTGGCGTACAATAGTGGATGATCTGAATGGATTGGTTGCTTACCGTGCCAGATTCATACTTCGACTCGAATGAACACAATTGATGAGATTCACCCATAATCACTGCTATATTTTGTCCAAGATTGTAAAAATGAATCAATGCCATTAAAACTAAAACTGAATAAATAGTACTTGAAATTTGCAATGATTTGGTTGATTTTTGTGTAGTACATGCCAACATCTAGTCAGCGTTCATTTATTGCAATCAACCACTTGCTGAATTCAATAAAATCAATACTTGAACTCATGTTTTACACCTTCTACATTTATGGCTGATAAATAGTAAAATGTAAATACTAGCCAGGTTTTTAAAACTTGATTTTTGCACGAGCCGACTCGTCCAACTTTTCACCCCATTGTGACACCAATGATTCAAGTTCATCATAGTTTGCAATGCGTTTGTTGTAGCGCTGTTTAATGACCTTGTTTGCCAAATCCGTTTGCTCATCATTGGTACCGCAGAATATCTGTTTAATCGAGGTTTTCGATGCAGAATTGGCATCAATGACCATAGAACACCCTGGATGACCAGAGAGTGAACCATGAAAACACAGAGAATCTGATGCAGAAACAAAATACGTTGAATCTGGAACATGGTTAATGTTAATCTGTGAATATATGCTCATCAGACCAAAAACAGAGTCCAACTTGAACTTGTTTAAAAATGCTGGCGGGTTCGGTAATTTCGATCGGAAAGTGGTCAGATCCGAGTTTGTAATATCAGAACCAAGTCGTTTTCGTTGATCCAAAACTATGATATATCCAGAGTCTTTTGCGCGTTTCAGAATAAAGTATATATCCACTCCTGGTCCATTCTCACCATTGAGCACAATTTGCAATGTCTCGCCGTCAACCCAGTCAACGAGACAACAGCTGTCGTGTTTCCGAGTGATCATTCGTAGCATATCAGGTCCATATTGCTCGTTTGATTGGAAAACTTCAGCAATTCTGATGTGAACTTGAGTATTGAAAATACCCGAATCAAACCGCGATCCATGCAGTATATCAGACAAAGAAAGTATCGATATTCCCAATACAAGAAACGAGTTGATTCTGATACAGTAGAAACTAGCACCAAAATACTCCCATGATGACCAACGAGTCATGTTGGAAAGTGGATATTCAATGTCAAGCGACAAATTATTCAACGATGATAGGAGTGCTGTTTCAAATTGGTTTAGACCGACACTTTGACTCGATGGCCTCTTCAAAGCCTGAACAATGATATGGAACGGTACAATCACTTGACCATCATCTTGAATTTGACACATCCCGTGTCTAACCATTTGATTCCAAGTAAGGTTTCTTGAATAAGGTAGAGATGATTCAGAAAACGGACAGTTTAGTAGATATGTAACAGGCGTGTTTGTAAAAGAAGTCGCCAGTAGCTTCAAAATATCAGCGAGTGACAATTGAGAATGTTGCGAATTCGAAAGCGCAGCTATTCTTGCCCCTTGAAAATTGTGTTCGGTTAGATCATTCGGCTTCATGGATACAACTTTTTTTGCAAACTTAGTCAGTAGTCTTGGCACTCCGCTTAGATGAAAGACATTTTGAGCAAAGGCTTCACTGATCACGAATCCACAGTGTGTATTCGAAATAAAAGGACAAATGGCCTCCATTGATTCCATGTGAGTTAGAAACCGGGTTGGTACTCTCTCAATATTAGGATGTGATGTTCGAGCAATACGAATCATGTTCAGGTCAGCTCCCGCCAGCATACAGAAAAATGTAAGCCTTGACGTTGTAGAACAATAGGAAGAATCACACAAAGTATCCAGCAGAGAACTCAATTCATCTTGACAGAGTTTTCGATATTTATCGACTCCAACAAATACAAGTATGTCGTCTTGAGTTTTCTGACTCCAATAAAGTTCAATGGTCGATAAAGCTAACCGCATTGTGAACCTTTTTCTGTTCTTTGGTGACTTTTCACGCATCCAAACATCGAACTTGTATTGCGCCTTGAAAAACGAATGGAGTACTCTCCAGGCAAATGAACATTTGATTCCAAGGAGTTTGTCAATCTCGCCATATGAATTCCCGTCATTTCCAAAAGAAACAATTGCCGAAAGTCGTTTGCCTTGAATCCCTGTCATGTCTAAAACTGTGGTAGAGCACTCTGTCATAAGTCGAGTTCTTCCCAATCCCGGCATACCAGTACATACAGGAACAGGTCTTGAATTCCGATCAATATTGCTGCGGTGTCGATGGGTGGCCATAAAGCATGATGCAATGTGTTGGAGCGATTTCTCTCGACCAGCCAGCGGAAATACAACTTTTTGATTAGGATTGGTTTGCTGCTGAGATAGAATTTGTTTATCAGGCAAATCAACTGTAAAACCATTATTCGACCCAGAAAGCCATTCCAAGAGACCAGTGGCAGTCATGGGAATTTGGTTTGGATTGGAAAACATTGTATCATCCGCATCACTCTCCACATCACTCTTTGACTTGATAACGAGTGGGTTAGAACCAACAGTTCCGTTTGTTTTGAGAACAGTAATGGGTTCCCAGGAGTTGTAAGTCATTTCCACTCCATCCACCACATAATGGAGAGTGAGGGGACCATAATCTGCTGGGATACCAGCAAGTCTTCTAGTTGGTTCGACAGCAATAGCTGCAACCAGGTCAGAAATATCAGGCTCTTCTCCTTCAGGTACATGCAAGTTTTGAGTAAATACTGACACTGGAGAGTTGTTCTTGTATTGAATATAAAATTTGGTCATTTTTGAGTTTGTTGAAGAAAAGAAAAGAAAAAAGAACAAAACGTGATTTTGTCTCACATTCAAAATTTAAGTGAGACAAATTCAACTCAATTGTTACCGAGTGTTGACATTCATTGTGATGTCAATCATTGTTAATCAATTGTTGGATTGGTAAATGTGTTACAAAACATGCTGAATCTGACAAGTGGATAATAATTGTTTCAATCAACACATGGATTGGATCGACTGCAATATTGTCATTGATTGCAGCCACTGTTGACCAATACATTGTAATACATTGATAGTCTCGACATCAACATTGCCATTCATGTCAAGTTGTGCGTAATGTGAGTTTCAGCAACCTGGAAAGTGTGACAGCATTTACCGAGATTTGATGTATTTCTTGGTTTATCGCATCATCAACTTGGACAGACACGGTTTTGATCCAAATAACCAGTTGATCAGACACTAGACATGACTTTGGTTTACACATTGTAACAAATGGCTTACAGTGTAAATACTAAAACATGACGGTTGTTTTTTGGGTTGTTACATTGATGGTTGTTTATTGAGCGTAATGCAGTCATCAATACTGGTCAATAAAATGACACTTATTCTGCAAACAGTTGCTGCAACATGGATTTTATTCAACATTTATACACATCCAATCAATCATACAATAGCTATCAGAATAATCACCAGCACTGTCAAATCGATATGCTTCAGTCTGTTTGCCAATACAAATCAATGCAAACGGATCTGTGTATATACCACGTATGATAGTTGAATGCCAATGCACCACTCGAATTTAGTTTAATCCATATCGATTTTATTGCTTGAAATGGTTGAATGTTATGATAGATTCAACATTCCCAGTCCAGTTTTACCATTTTGAAACCTGAACTATGACGGACACACTCTGTCATACACTGAACATCAAGATCATTGTTGTAAATACCATCATACTCATTATTGCAAATAATACGTATTTCCAAATACTGGAATAGCTGCCAGTAATACTCCAACGAGTTTTGAACAATCAACAACTGTGATTGATGTTTGGTACCACAATAAACATATTGCTAGAAACAAACTTGATGTTTAGTCGTGTCCGATCAGTTCTTGGGATATAGTCACATTGATACATCCAACACCAACATGTCAACCATGTTGCATGCATAGGGTCACTCGCAAGATTATTTGACTATCAATGTCAATGACGTGTCGGACATACTATCCAATGGTTTCAATATACATAGCTTATAGTTGGACACACTCGGTATTCGTATACACATGTTGTAGTTGTATGCATTGCACTTGCTGAGTTGTGCATTTGTGGATTTGTTTGATGCAACTGTTGATATTGATTGGGACGACGATTGACGATCAACGTTTCTGGTTGTGGTTGTAGTGTATGCTATATGACCAGATGTCATGTTATGTGATCATACTGCATACATTACACTAGACAGCTGACTACATGCAAATGATTGATACTGATCATTGCAAGTACACAACAATGTGACAAGTGACTGTCAAATCAAATATGGCTGATATGTTGAATTATGGACAGATTTGTTGTATATACTGGATGTTGATGTGAATACAAAACATCGGTTGATGCATATCGTACCATTCAAGACCAAAACAATGTAATGTGACGTTCAATATCAGTTTGTAGCATGCCAATGGAATGCGTGCAGAAAGTATGTGCAAACATTAAACATGTGTTTATGGATACTGTCAGATTGTCAGATTGTCAAAACCAGCCGAATCATTTGTATCACCTGAATCACCTGAATCAAATAGTCTAGTGGTACCAATGGGTTGGTGTCAAATGGAATGGGTTGATTGGTAACCCAAAATGACAATATACACGGTCGCGTGGATCCAGCAATGACACTGCAGTGATCAATACAATACATGGTAGTTGATTGGTGCAATATGATCAAGTCATTAGTCTAATACACACATGGTTTGGCAATAAAAGGTGTTTATTGAATGAGTGACATTGAATGCATGACAAGTGACAGTTAAACCAACACGCAATACACGCTGCATTACAACATATCCTAGATGAGGTTGCTGATAACCCACTTTGAGCTGCAGCAATGTGACGAGTTTGGTTGAAAAGTTTATTGCTGAGCATCGGAATCTTGAGCAACTGCACCATACCCAGATTATGGCAATCACTGCAATAAGCGATCAAGGAAAAACTCGTAGCATTTGAAAAATGCGGGATTTTGAGTCAAAGTCTCCAGTTTTACATCACCTTTTGATGATCCAAGCAAGGATAATCTTTGGGTTTTCTTTCTAGGAACTCTTGCCGATTTGTTAGCCTTCTTAGTCTCCTTCGTATAGCGTACAAAAAGTGCACTCGATCCATCTTGAATTTTATCAAAAATGCTATTTTGTACAACAAGCTCAGCTTCAAGCTTGGTGATCGCTGACTCTTGACCCAAAGTTTGACGCAGAATCTCGAGTTGTTGCTTCATTTCATCAACCACTTTTTTTTGAGCAACCAGCTCATCATTTTTGCTGCTGTACTTTCTATAGATTTTTTGGGTATCAGCCTTAATTGTTGCAGCTTTTTCAATAAACACTATTTCATCAGGATTGAATGAATGACAATGTTTTTCAAATCCATTGTATGAGCTAGGAGAGCTTGAATAGTTTGGCCCATCAGCTGAAGTCGCGCTTGTAGAGGCTGTCGAAGTGCTAGCTCCAGCATTTGTGGCCGAACTGGGGTAAACTGGATTGGCAATCGTAACTGAGCAGACAGCAAGGATCGATGACAGTACGGCAATTGATAGTTTCATTGTATTGGTTTGGTTGAGCAAGTTGTAATGATTGTCATTCAACACATCGGTTTTGGATTGTATTTATATCCATTATTGGATTGATAATATTAAAAGCATGTTCCTTGGATGGCCGCTCTAAGGGATTTGTGTCGTCTGCGTTAGCATTGATTCGCTACTGTCAATATCAAAGTAGCTTTAAAGGGATCTCCCTTTACACAATTGTCCGTTGCTTGATTTAAACCCTGATATCAAGATTGGTGACCAGAGTATACTTGCCGCACTATGATGCCGCTACATAGCATATTCCAGGTGAGATCACCACATGACGATACACAAGCAATGTTGTCCATCCACTCCATTTATGTTGCAAGCACTCGAGGTCTCGCCTGTTCAACAACACATTGTCACCAACACAATAGTATGTGACATGATCATATTGCACCAATCAACTAGTATACGATCACTGCATACACCACGCACATTAAACCAACTCAGTGATATACGAATGTTGCGGTTTGACCAAATCACAATCACCCATATTATCGACTGTTCAACTCGTTGACATTCAAACCGTGCCATCACTAGTCACAATATAATGGTTGACTGGTTCGTTTGATTGATCTGACATATTGACACTTTGCAAACCTCGACTTGATTCATCAACTTGGATATTCATATAATATTGGGTTTGTATCATCACGTTGGACTCGTTATCAAACACCTTGATGTGTCCATGCAACACAAACTCGATATACACACATTGGTTACTGTTTGGCATGACTGGGTCGATCATACATACCAGACAATGCAACTGTATTAGTTGTATGATACAATCAATCATGGTTGACTCATCACCATCAAATATTAAATATACTCGCCACTTTGTTCAGTGGGAATGATTCAATCCATTTGGGTTATTTAGACTTTTCAAAAGCAGTTTGATCAGCAGTGCAGTTGTAGATTGACACTTGATTAAACCGATTATTTTTGTCGGTTTCAAAATCGTATTGAACTATTGCGACCTTTAAAAATAATTGTAAATGGCAGTTTTTGCGATTAGTTTGAAAATAGAATAAATGTCAAATATCAGCACATTGCAATTTGGTCAACTTCTGGATAAAACACTCGAGTGTACATCACAACATGTCATCTCAAGATCCACCACTCCCCGGAACTCCTGGAGGAGAAAGTGGACAACTGCCGGATTACTTGGATGCTTCATTTGATCCAAACAAGACTACCATCATTCAATTGGTGCGTATTCTGTTCAAACACAACATTGAACTGCCTGCTTCTCGTCAGATAAAGAGTTACTATGTGACCATGTTCAACAACCACATTGCTGCCAATCGATCTGCTCTACTGAAACAAAGAGCCAAGCCAACTCCAAAGCCTTCTAAAAAGAGTATTTTTTACGATGCTTCTGTGACTCCATCGGACAAGTCTTTAAATGGCGGATTGGTAGCTGCTCTGATGGACTCTGCGTCCAACTCCACTCCTGTTGCTGAGGGAAAGAAGCGACGCCGTCCTGTGGCTACTAATGCTGACACTGCTTCGACAATCGACTCTACTTTGCAGTCTCTGTTGAGCAATGTTGCAGCCACCAGCAGTCATGTTACTGTCGAGTCCATGTCTAATTCTGCTACAGATGATTCAATAGTTTTGGAAAAAGACAATCCATTTCAAACGAATGCATCTGCCAATACGGGAATAGGTGCTGCTCGAGCCATATCCAAAGCAACTCCAAAAAAGGCAGCACAGAGCACTCCTGTTGGCACTCCACAAAAGATGGATCTTGAAATGGACATATTCTCTGATGACAATCCTTTTCAGAGTCCTTCTAAACCTATTGCCGTCATTTCTCCCAACACTAAACTCATCAAAAACCGTCAAACTGCCATGAAGCGACAGATTCCATCTGGCATAAACAGTCCTCTTCCTTTTGATCCTGCAAACATTCGCTTTGCCAGTCCACATGAATCTCCCATTTTTAATTCAACCCCATCTACCAATCGTAGTGATTCTGTCGAATCTTCACCTGAAAAAAAGTCGTCCAGAAATGGATCGCGAAAATCTAAAAAATCGTCCATATCTCCAAACCTCAAGCATCAAATCCCAGTTGTTCCAGTCCACGCAACTGCTTCTGATGTTTTGAATCAACCAGGTGGAAATTTAGATGGTACTCCGCTACGAAACCGGCAGTCCAAATCTGCTAAAAATCTCGACAAAAACAAAAGCACCCATCAAGTCAATGACTTTATCGACGAGTCCTTGATCAAGTCTCATCAAAAAACATCAAACACGTCTACCCCACTGCCTTCAAGTCGTCATCGACGCCAATCTCGTCAGAGCACCTTTAGCACTTTGCCTCGTATCATTACAGGTTTGGTGGTTATGTGTGCTATTGGGGTTTTTATAATGAAAAGCGTTGATGTTTTATCGCATATCCAATGGATAGTTCCTTACTGTTCAAGCCAATCTGCACCTGTTTTTGAAAATATTTCTACTTCTGATGCTAGTCTTGAACAGAAAAACTCGGTATGCGCACCTTGTCCAGATAATGCAATCTGTGCTCCTGGTGAGGACATTCAATGTGCGCCTAATTTTACCTTGCAAGTTGGTACTTGGAGTTTTGTTTTGGGAAACCAAACTAAACATGCGCTTATTGTTGGACGACCTCGTTGTGTACAGGATATAAAAAAATTGGAGCAAGAAGCTCGCAAGCAACAACGCACTACAGCGCTTGTCAATATTTTGGACGATATTGTACGGACTTGGATAGGCAAAGCCGAATGTGGTCAAATCAAACCATCTGCTGATATCTACTGGGCTTGGTCTGCGACTATTTCCAAAAAGCAGCAGCGACAAGTTCTTGGTATGCCACTTTCTCTTGCTCGTTCAAATCTTCGTGCTGTTGTACCCAGATCATGGACGGATGCTACGTTTGATGAGTATTGGCAAGCCGTGTCTAGTTTGATTTCCATGCCCTCACCGTCTGGTCCGCTTTCCACTCGCTTAGATGACAGCACATACCAGCATCGATTGATTGTATCTGCCCATTCACCAGTGATTACCATGACATGCCAGGCTCGCCGCTATATATGGGGTCTTGTTTTGGCGTATTCTTTGCATCTGACTCTTGTATGTGGTGCGGTTATTGCGTCTACATTATTATACAGTATTTTCCAGCAATACCGACAGGAACAACATGTGGTGGCTATTCTTGTAGACGATGTGCTTGATATGGTGCATACTGAATCTGACAACCACCATCGTGATCCGATACGTTATCCAGCACCTGGACTCTCTATTGTTCAACTTCGAGATCATTTACTACTCTCACAAACACGTGGTAAAGGACAGGAATCGTTTTCAAGCGCAGATGGATCTTTACTCAAGCGCAAAAGCATTACAGTACCATACATGACGTATATGGATCCACTTGGTAGGACAATCTGGGCTATTCCAGATGCAACTACACGCAAGCGGCTATGGACACTTGTTACCACAGAGATTTCCAAGACAAGTGCCATTCGAAAGACAACAATGGAGGTCAAGGGTCAACCGCAAGATTTATGGATGTGGGTTGCTAGTCCTGCGCTATCTCCACGTAAACCGCGATCATCTGGCATAAATGAGTTTATTGGTACGCCTATATCAAAATAAAAATCAATCTATTGTTTAAATTTATTACTGTCGAGATTCTAAATCATGTAAAGTCAAAGTCTGGTCCAACAGACTATACAATCGGTGTGATCTTTCCATGCGTAGATGAATTCTGTTGACAATCCCAAGATGCATTCAATGTTTCTACCACGCATGTAATCGATATGACTTGTGAGCACCAAAGAAGTGATGTACGTATCACACTCCCACGCATGACTTGGCAACTAAATCCCACGAGTCCATAATAGCAAACGCCTTCAAACATTATCATAATAATTGGATACATCATTGCTATAATTACTCCAAGCGTAGTAGTTGTACCCAGATGCTTAACCAAAACATAGTCGAGTGTTATTCACAAACCAGAATACGCCCAAACCATTACTTTTCACTTACTATCCAGAGGAGTTTGCGAGCATGCGTACCGGTAAAATGACCAAACAAATCTACAAGAGTCAATAGCGTTATTGCTAATTGAATAAAGGCAGCCCATAAGGTGGAGTATGTGTCATATACGCCGTTTTGGATTGATAATTGATGAGATATAATGCCTATACACGCTGCCTACATAATATATCGTGTGTAGTTCATGTTAAATATTAGCATTAACGCAACAAGACTGGGTTAGATTAATGTTGAACAGTGTACCAGTTGAATGAATAAAGATATATGAAGTGCTCGTTCATGCAACTGCATTGTCAAACAAACGAATGTTTTAAAGTGAGTTTATTCTATGATGGATAAGCCTGACACGCTCAAGTCTGTCATGTCCAAGACTGGATGAATCAACGCAATAAACACATTTCAAAGTAATGGAATGATTGTGTATAGGTTTACAAAGACTATTTAAACTGAACAAGTCATTCAAAAACAGAGTAATATTTTGAAGAGTTTATGAATCCAGACAAGACTTTTGAGGTTCAAGTTTGTTAATATTTACTTTCAGACAACGAATAAATGTTCAAAGATCGGCGATGAAATGTGTCAAACGAGTCGCTTGACAGCAACTGACTGACGACACGCATCTTTGCTGTTGTTCTGATTTGAATGAAATCACATTTTATTATTACATGTTCAGACTGAATGCAAAGCAATACAAATCTGTTGATTTGAACTTGAATTTCGGTCAAAGTGATTTTTATCATTTCAACTCAATCTAATAATCTGATTTGACATGGACGACGGACAGGATTCTTCTGACATGGCATCCCCAGCAGACACTGTGGTGAGAACTGTTGATATCATTTAATTCACAGTAGTTACTGTTTAAATCACTTGAACAACTCTGCAGCTGCTCTGAACGGTTCTTTGCATCGTTTGAACTGCTATTGATGATTCTTGGTACTTGTCTGGATATACTTTCAGTTGCCTATGAAACTTTATGAATAGTAGCACTGCAATCTCTAGGAAATTCCATGTATTTCAATCCAACTCTTTATTGAAACAATGACAGTTTGGTAGTGCGTTGGCTGCTCTACGCTTCATATATGTCGTATGACCACTCTGCGCATCTACACTACTCCAAACACATCTCCTTTGGCTTCTTCTAGTTTTATCTTCGAGTGGTGATTGAATTGGCTCTGATTGATCCTAATTCCATAATGCAACTAATCATATCTTGCTATTCATGACTTGAACAGGATGATGCTTCGCCAGAACTCTTGCCTACATCAGATTGGGCTCCCATGATTATCGGGGTTTTGGGTAGAATTTCTCAACAGCTTGGAAACATTGAGCAACGACTTTTTACATTGGAGGAAAATAGTGGCATGGGCGTGGGGTAAGCAAACAACGAATCGCTTTAAATCATCAAATCCTCATTTGGTTAATTCCATTTTGCTGTGATTAGATCCTCAGATATACTCGGCATTCCAAAACCAATTATACCTCCAATTACTCCTGCAGATTTAGAGGCTGCTGTTGCAAGTGCGCAACCAGGGAAAAGGAAAAGGTATCGATCTACACGTCATGAGTTGTATTATACCACCTCACTGTACTCATACGCTTTTGTATCAATAGAGCCTGTGCTACACTATTTGATGAGCGTATGATTGGAGTGGTGTCTGCGGATCCAATATCAAAAAGACATCTTTTGTTTCAGTTACTGTTGATTAGTACATCGCAAGCAGATCCAAGAGCTGTCGGAACAAGCAATGCATTCGAATTGGAAACCCCGTTGAAAAAACTATGTTCTGACAACATCAAACGAATCAGAAAAGAAATATCTACCAGCAAGTTGGAGGGCCGATTGGATACACTATTCCTCGAAGCCGCAAATTCAAATATTGTGCAACACATGCAAGTCAAATAGCTTATTTTTATATATGTTGATGTACTGTTGACCTAATTCAAGTTCTTGAAACCGTGTTGCCAGTGTGAGCAATTTCGATCTTCCCACATCATGCATGACTCCATTTAAACAGTATCGTGCAAATTCTCTTGATACCAGTGCAATTGGAAACTTTTCATGTGCCTTCCTGGCTCGCCATTTTGTATGGCCACTTTTATTACGATGGATTGAAGACAGGAAAATGTCTGATGTTCTAGTGTCAACATTTACTCGTGAATATGGAAAGTAAGAAATATGTCGTTTGATGTGAATGGGATAGTTGTCTAAATCTTGCTGTTTATTTTTGATATGGGTAATGGATCTAGTCTTTTTCACAAGGTATATACTGCAGTCAAAAATAGCATGAGACCTCTGGCTGGTGCATCCACATCCAATGATGACATTACAATTGGTAATGAGAAGCTGGTTCTGAATGTGTTGCATTGGTTTAAAGCATTTTGTATTTGTTTGACAGTATTTCTGAACTACTGTATCTAGGTGGTCAACACGGGCTGGGACTGATGGGTGGAGCTGATACTCCTCAATTAGGTTAGTCGGTTTTGATATGACTTGGATATTGTAGATGCTATTTAAAGTACCAACTCTATCCATATAGGACGATGGTTTCAACAACGCGTTCCAGTATACGATACTGGAAATTCTATTTCAACCGATCCAGTATCTTTGTCAGTAATCTACCATTCATCTCAGCAGCTATATACATTGGCAAACATGCCTACAGTAAGTTATAATCATGCGCTACATCTACTTTTTTAGCATTGGAATATTTTAATTTATTTGTGGTTATTCCTATATACAAAACAGCTGGACATGAAATCATTGGCACTGGCATCTGCAATTGCTCATTCATCAAATATAGATTCCATTACTCCGCATCTCCTTGTACATCGTCGCAATATCAAGTCGTGCTTTTTCGAGTTTGCAGCTAGAATGTTGCAAGGAGTCAAAACTTTTGATGATTTGGTAAGAGTGCTTTGGTTGCAAATATATATCCAAAAGAAAATATGCCGTTCTTACTGTTGGATATATACTGTACCTTGTATTAGGTGCTTGCGACTGCCCAGACACTCCAGTTTCCTCCACATGGAGGTAGGTTGAATGTTGATCAAGAGTGCATAGTTTTGGCAGCATATGTCAGTTACTAACTACATTTAAATAGAAAATTCGCTTGGAAAAGCATTTAATTCACTAGATATTGGAGAATATGATCATTTGGAACAAGAGGTTGGATCTGCTCAATTTTTTTATTGGCAAGTGGTGAGGCTTTTGTTGAAAGAGCCTCTAGATTTGATGGCAACTACAGAATACCCCATCGTCAATGAAGTCATGGATGGCTATAGCTCTGATATAGCATTTGTTTCGTTTATACATATGCTCATGGTGCTGCTAATGACACCAAATAGTGGTAAGGGAGTCTTTGGTTTGTTTTATATGATCAATCTAGACTAATCAACTCTTGTTCGTGTTTGATCTATTAGATACAAAATATCCTAAAGTAGCAAGTCTGTGGTTGAAAATTAAAAGTAAGATTGTGTCAAATGTTTGATATAATACATGTTTATCGATACTGATGACTGAATCATGCATCCATAACTATACATGTTGGTTTTAAAGAGGTACTTGGGCTTACCAACGAAGCCTTGACTATGGGCCCAGGTTTGAATGCAAAGGAAGGTCTTGTTTTTGGCACACCACTGATCAACTTTCAGGTATGTGAGTCGCTCATGACTAATCAAGATTTCATTGTGTTTGCTGATACGGTTTAAAATGCGGTTATACATTTTAAATATATAGCTCCAAAACCCACTCGATGCTTCTGTGGCAATTGCAGCAGCAGCATCAGCGGTTGCAACTACGATTGTGCAAAAAAAGGCAGGTGTAGAAAAACCCACAAAGACAGCATCAGCAGGAAAAGGCAAATCAAATGCAGCAGCATCAATCACAGATCCAGAGTCTAATTCAAAAACACGAAAAAGCAAGCAACTTAAAAACGCTACAACCAAGGCTCAAACTGAAACTATTCTGGATGCAGGTGACGAGCCTACTTTATTAAGATCAGCAACTCGAAGTAAACCAACCAAATCCCTGAAAGGAGCGCATATAAATGGAGGCAATTGGCAAGCAAAACACGACGCCGAGCACGATCATACAGAAGTGGATTCTAGCGCAAAAACAACAGATGAGCTTCAACCCAAAACTTTTAAACGATCTAGGAAATAAATAGATGCTCATTTTTTCAGGCATCATATAATAATTGTTATACCGCTGTTTTGGTTTGTAATTGATTGAAAGCGACGAATTTATTATACAGTAATGTATTGTTTGTCTTGCATGTTATTCATCTGTATTTTTCAGTACATTTAAAGTCCAATAGTTTATTCATTACTCTCGAGTTGTTTTTTAAATGTTTCTTGAATCGTAACATTGATCTACAGTGCACAAAACTGTCCATATCACACATACTACAAACCTCAATATTAGTGATATTACTATATAATTAATCATATTCTATCTATTGATCATGACTAGATTGATAGTAATTTGTTTCAGTTTAATAGCATATTTGACCACTTTTTAGTCCAAGCAAAATAGAGAAATTGCTGCAAGACATGAAAATGTTGCAAGTTGAGTGAATACCCTTATCAACATATTACACTGTTGCTACTCGATCATGCTAAGTCCCTTCAGAACTACAATCAAAACAGGACAGCTAGTCCGATCTGTTTTTTCACAGCAACGTCGTTCCATGGCATTGGCATCAGTTGTGAATTGTAAGCTGGATGGGGTTGAAATCCGATCACTTTAGCTGGATTTGATCGAGTGTTTGGCTTATAGTTGTGAATGCACTTTATTGATCTGTAGGGTCGAATGGATTGGGAGAAGAGACTAAAGAGTATCAGTTGGTTGCAAGAAGCTTTGCGGACAAGGAGCTCGCACCCAACATGACCCACTGGGATGAAACAGAAACGTTTCCTAGGGAAGCATTGTCCAAGGCAGCTCGTCTTGGGTTTGGAGGTCATTGAATGGTTTCAAGCATAACTTGTTGTTTTATACTCTTGGATTGCATGTCATATTGATTTGGATGAATCTTGGTATTAGCCATCTACTGCAAGGACGATTTTGGCGGTACTGGGCTGGGTCGTCTGGACTCTTCAGTTATTTTTGAAGCCCTTTCAACTGGGTGTGTAAGCACTACTGCCTATCTCAGCATTCACAAGTATGTATTCATCTGCTAGTTATCTTTATCAATTGGTTTTCTAGTTTAACCTTTTGCATGTAACTAGCATGTGTGCATGGATGATTGATACTTTTGGAAACACTGCTCAGCGTGAAAAGTACATGCCTTTGCTTGCATCGATGGAAGTGAGTTATTGAAAGACTGTCCAGATTCGTGTATTTCTATCAATGATCGTAGCTCATCTTTTGTGTTGAATCTAGAAACTGGCATCGTATTGTCTTACTGAGCCAGGTGCTGGATCTGATGCTGGATCACTGGCTACATCTGCTGTCAAAAAAGGTGATCATTACATTCTGAATGGATCCAAAGCATTCATTTCTGGTGCTGGTGATACCGATGTCTATGTCATCATGGCTCGTACTGGTGGCCCAGGACCAAAAGGAATTTCTTGTTTTATCGTTGAAAAAGGAACTCCTGGACTCAGTTTTGGAAAAAAGGAAAAAAAGGTTTAATCATGGCATACTGTATATTGCTAATATGCTATTTTATTCAACGTGTTGGTATTTTCTATGGTGATTCAATTTAGGTTGGATGGAACTCGCAGCCAACCAGAGGTAGTTGAATGTGAAGGTTGATGTAGCCCTGATATGGAAATTAATCCAATCTGTTTATTAGCTGTTATCCTCGAGGATTGTGCAATTCCTGCCGCCAATCTTGTTGGAAAAGAAGGACAAGGTTTTGGCATTGCTATGCGTGGTCTCAATGGTGGACGCATTAATATCGGTGAGTTTACAATCATTTGATTGTGTTTATGATTAGATTATTTAAATCGTCAATACACTCAACTCACTCTTTGTTGTTGTGGCGTCTGATATCAGCTTCGTGCAGTTTAGGTGGTGCACAAGCTGCATTGGAAACCACTGTGGACTACGTCACTATTCGCCAACAGTTCAACAAGCCTTTGTCTGCAAATCAAACTGTCCAGTTTAAACTTGCAGAAATGGCTACCTCACTGGAATCCTCTCGTCTACTTGTTCGTGAAGCAGCGCGTCTCGTGGATGAAAATGCTGCATCCGCACCAGCTTGGTGTGCCATGGTACTGTTACATTATTTTATTATTGAGCCACCACATGTTGTGTTGGACAGATTTACCTATACATAACACATCTTTGTAGGCTAAACTGCATGCCACTGACAGCTGTTTCACGGTATGCCATGCACTCTATTTCACATCTTTTGGTTGTCTGATTATATCAACCTTGCATAAAACAAGAATGCTAATCTAGTTTTTGAATAATGCACAAAAGATTGCCAACGATGCACTTCAGCTTCATGGCGGATATGGATATCTCAAAGAATACAAGGTGCAGCAATACGTTCGTGATCTTCGCGTTCATCAGATTCTCGAAGGTATCTATTGATTTTAATTTATAAAATTGGCAGACTAGAGTGTCGGCAATCTGTAGACTAAATGCATGCTATATGTATCTACACAAATGAATAGGTACAAACCAGGTCATGCGCCTCGTTATATCTCGTGAGCTACTAAAATAGCCGCTCGACAATGCAAAGCAACCATGCCATGAATGAAGCATTTCTACCATTTTTTGAATAAAGAATATGCTTAACGTTTCATTGCTACTATAAAACAATGAGTTTATATCAAGCATAAACGACGATGGCGGACTTTGCCACCAAAGTTACTTAGAGGCATAGATGCTGCCTGCAATCTCCGAAATGCTTCTTGGATATGAGCTGGCTGTAGAGGTGTTCGTACATCACTAGGTTTATCAAATAAAAACACATCCATTGTTGCCATACCGCGATTGGATCTCAGCTCTTCTAGTTTCTTTTCACGATCCCACTCCTTCTTTACTGCGAGCCCTGTTTCTGTGATTTTACTAACAATCTCGTATGCAAGAAATCCCATGATATCAAGCACATCCGAAGGTGCCTTGTTTTCATAGTATCTAAGCCCAATGTCATAGCCCATCAGTATCATGGTAAGTGGAATTTCTGTACAGTCGCACTCAGTCCTGAACCTTGACATGCAACTTACTTTGCCATCTCGCACCACTCACGAAAACGCTTCACTTTTTTAAATGTAAAAGAGGCCTGCCGACATTCTGAGTAGTACATATACTCTTCCTTGGTCATGGTGCTTGTAATACTGTCTGCAAGACGAAGACGCGCTGCTTGATCTTCGTAGGCTTGACGATCTTCATCGTCTGCTTCATCATCGTCATCATCGCTTAGGATATTCGTATATGCATTGAGGTAATCCCATGAAAATTTTACCTTCATTTTCCTGACTTTGGCAGTTTTATCTATAGTCGACATTGGGTTTAATCCCATGTGTTCAATACAATGAATCTATTCAAGCAAATCAAATCTGTTCAGAATCAGCCATTACCTTGATCGTCCATAATTTCTTCTTCAACAGGTGGACCTTCTTTGTTATCTTTTACATTTTTTCGTACATCCTTCCAGCTTAAAAACGTGCGAAGTCGATTGACTTTGGGACGATCATGTCTTATTAGAAATATGATATCTTCAGTGCTCAAGAATCGTGAACCTCGTTTGGCAGCTTGCTGAACCGCTAAAGTGATCTAATACCATCATCCAAATATCAACATTCGTATGGCTATCATACCAAAGATTTGGTGGTGTAGAGTTGAAAAAGCGGGATGAAGAAAGCAAACTTACAGTTTCAATCATTTGATTACGAACGATTTCTTCAACAAGAACAACAGTTTCCTCATTGGGTTCAGATAGCTCACCAAAAACGTACATCATCTGTTTGATTCAATCCACCACCACCACCATCAAGTGGGTTAGCACACACTCTGTAGGATTCGCATAGATTGATGGATATCCTTCAGATTGGTCTTTGCAAAGGGTTGAAATGGCGTGATAACTTACCTGCTGAATCTCTTGCTGGTATACTGGTTTCTATACATGCAACGTATCGGTATAGAGAATCAGTTTAGGAAGAGTTGGCATATCAGTCAAATTCATATCAGTTTTAGTTGCTTGGCCACGATAAACAGTATGCAGTGGTGGAGTGTATGTAGACGGTATGTGGACAGAAACTCAATACCAAATAAATGAAAAATGCATTCATATCATCAGTATTCATCAGCAAGCTGCAGCAAGACACCCACCAATTTAGATGCCATGATTGCGACCAAGTATTTCTGATGTTGGAAATCATCATCAAATCTTTCGCGTCCTCAGGTATAAAGTATAGTTGAAACGAGTTTACTTTCAATCTGGCATCACACATTCTCCACACAGTTTACACGCAGCGTATAGTTTAAATAATTTATTATCCTATATTTAGACCAAGTAAAATAGCAGTCTAGTGTGTTTATAAGCGAAAGCTAAAAGAGGTTTGATTCTTGCAGTGCAAGATAAAGTGTGATTCTGGAAACAGACATGCTTGAGAAAATGCATTGTCTAGCTTGGATGCATGCCTCTGTTGTTGCTATTGTTTCTATTTAAAGGAGAAACATTGCGTATTTGATCTGGAAAATGACCCTGCGCTCCATTGCGATATCCAGCTGGCGGCCCGTTTTGAAGCATAGCTGGTCGCTGCCCTTGTTGTCGAATAATAACCCAATCTTTCCACCGCAATTCCTTGATACCATTGGCATCAAACCTGCCTGGTCCTGCCGCATTCTTCTCTTTGTACATACTTTCTCTATGATCATGCAATTGTCTAGTAGATCCCCAAGTAAAGTCGTCAAAGTGCCAAAACGCGTATAAAGGCAAAACAAACTGCCAGAGGGGCAATGCAGCCATATACAACGCAAACCAAAAAAACTGCTCGATACGTCGACTTGTAATTAAAACTAATGTAGGCGGAAGACAGATCATCGATACGATAAATAGAATGGCAATGAGGGATGTTGCTTTTGTGACAATCGACAGCACAATCACGTATACGAGCAAAAGAACTGCCACAGGCATTACTACGGTTCCAATGAGTTCCAGAAAAATAATGCCTTGCATGCTTAGACAGAGTGTACCGCAAAGTGTATTAACCATAAGTAGTTCTAAAAGGTTGTGAACAGTAGAGTTGATCCATCTGCGGCGTTGAGATAAGAGTACTTTGAATGTGGTTGGTACGGTCGTTTGACAAACCGCAAGAGGAGTATATACAAGACTGCGTCGGGGAAATAGTTTAAGCAAAAGACAAGTCAAGTATCGATCTTCGCCAAGAAGTAGTAAATTCTTTTTATGAAGAGTATCAACCACGTTTTCAGAATAGTAGTCAATGAGTGACGTGTGAGCTAGAATGGGTATATTAACGCCAGTAGCTGAAGGAACCGTGATGCGATACATTGAAAAGCAGCCAGGAAGACATGTCACTGAACCCAAGGCAGACTCGAACGCCTTACTGTAGTGATGGGAAATGTAGTACTCGTATACCTGGATCATGGTGATCCATGATTCAAACTTGTTGGAAATTGTAGTTTCACCACATGCAGCAATAATACGAGAATCTGCAGTCATGCAGCTGACAAGGCGAGTAATGCTATTTGGAGCAATCGACGTGTCGGCATCAATCATCAATACGACTTCGTAGTTTGCAGGATGCACTCCTGTGATTTTCCACAGCTTGTAAAAAAGTTCAAACTCCAATTCAGTCATGCGTCCATTGGAAATGACGGTTGATAAAAAACTCATAAGCAAAACTTGAGAATCACGCTTTCCTCGACAGCCTGGTTTTAGTAGCATGTTTTGTGGCAAACGTTCTTCTTCAGTACCCACTTTGATGATAAGAATTATAGGAACTCGTTTGGATAGCATTTCCTGGTTCTTTGGCATTGGTTGTTGGTTATCACGACGTTTTGGATCGGGTTTGGCACGGAGTGAGGAATGTGCATACCATCCAGCATATACTCGAGCATAGTTTTTACGTTTCTTTCCCTCTCCAATAGACACGTAGCTATACGCATTTGGTTTGCCATTCCTGTCGACTTCATGAAGAAATCGGCGATCTATTTCCATCATGTCTATCAAGTACTCGTGTGTCATTTTTTGATTTCCAGCTCCTTTGACCATACCATCAGCCACAACCAAAATAGTCTTGTGCGACACGGGATAGTCTGTAGTTACGATCGAGTCGAGAGTGTTGGTCAGCGAGGTTTTTGATTCAGAAAAACAAGGCACAAGAATCAATGATCGCAACAGACTGGGTTCGTTGTTGATAGATGGCCCAATAATGTTTGCCTCCATTCGATTGTCGTTGGATTCAATAGAGGCTCTGACAATCACATCAGGATCAGTGTAGAGTTTTGTAGAATTATTTCTATATAGATTAGAAGATTCTGATTTTCCATTGCCTTTTTGATTTCCTGTTGCACCAACTTGTGTCTGAGCTGATGTTTTGCCCTGTGATGTTTTGGCAGCAATCGCTCGTGCGCTACCTTCCCGTGGATTATTTCCCATACGCCAGCCAACAGCAGCAGCAAAGTACAGCGCAACAAAAAACTTGACAAGTACAATACTCACCGTGCTAAAAAAGCCTGCATAAATGATAAAAAAAGAAACGTCACATCCCACAGGTGTAGAATCCACAGTCGCAACTTTAAATATCTCTTGTAAGCATTCGGCTTGTTTTTTGTAACCACCGTTTAAAAATGCTCGGGTTGCATCTTGTCCAACATTGGCTTTAACTAGCTTGTAGAATTTTTGTCCTAAAAAGAATGGATTTTCATCTAGTCGATCGATATCAAGCACAGTACTATGGTAGTGTTGAAAATAATGTATCAAGATTAAATGGAGGGTTAAAAGGTTTGATTAAAAACGTTGAAAAATGAAATGTCTAATCAACTGCATCATGGCTAAACATCAGATAAAATCAAATACATACTTGCTGTATACTAGAAGATTATTTCCTTTTTTGATGGTTGAAAAATCAACAAATATCTCGCCAATATATTTTGTAAGACTCATATATTTTCCATAATACGCTGGTTGTTCGTGGCATGCTTCAGAGTATTTTCCGCTATATAAAGCGACATTCAAACCATACGAGTTAAAAACCTGAATTAAAAGAATCTACCAACATATCAATACATAAAACTGCATACCTGCTTGGATTAGGCCATGTGGCAGGTAAGACGCACTTGAATCGTTTATATGAAGGTCCAAGCAAACGCGAACATGCAGAATGTTCAGGTCGAGTAGGGAATAAAAAACTTAGATCGTTGCCAACCATTTCACCATTTTCCACTGGAGGACTCATATTTGGAGTCAGATTTTTGTGATATCTTCCAGGAACAAGCTCATAGGCAGATCCACGAACAGAAAAGTAATTCGTACTTAAAGCTAGTTTTGTGTAGTCGAATCTTGGGGTGTTGGGACAGATCACTAAAGGCATTCCAATAGCAAGGAATGCGACAATGACCATGGTGACCATGATGACAATGCATAAAGTGAGTTTTTCACGAAATGCTTGTCGGATAAGAGAGTTTGGCATGCCGCAACAAGAGAGTATGCAGGAAGGGATGCAGCAAGTGCAAAGGATGGACATATACCGCCATGGATGAACGCGCTGACGATAATTATTGTTGACCCTTTCTTGACGATATGTAGCATCTTCCTTGCCGTAGACTTTGTTGTGCAAATCGTGATTACGACCTCTTCTGAGCAGCGAGCTATTATTGTGCGGGTGAGCAACGTAATGAGAGTTTTGTGAACGAATTTGACTAGACTGAGCGGATAGATTTGAATTAGGATGAGAAGGCTTGGATGGATTATAAGCAAATACTTTTTTGCTCAACCACGGATCGGTAGTTTTGGGTGCGTTTTGATACGATTGTGGTAGAAATGCCATGGGCGGAGGCTGAGTGTTAATATGAGTTGATGGTGGAAATGGAGGCGATCGTGACTGGCCATAGTTTGAAATAGGAGGAACAGCAGGTTGCTGAGGTCGAGCAGGCTGTGGATTGTAACTGGAAGTGTCTGAAGGTGCTGAGGGTGCTGCAGGTGCTGCAGGCATGCGCTGACATGGTTGAGATGGCTGAGATGCAGCATTAAACTGACGCCCATTGGCGCCATTGTAGTCGTTTGAAGCGAATGCATTGGCATGACTATGAGAAGTTGTTTGCAACTTCGACATGGGTGGTATATTAACCATTCCAACCAACAATGGAATGAGATTCTCAAGTGGTGAATGATAGTGCTACTGTATAGTTTACGAGTTGATGCGATTGAAATTGTAAATTGCTAAAACAATCAATGATTACTAAAAACGATGAATTGACTGCTAGAACGATGAATTGATTATTAGAACGAAAATCGATGGATTAGAATAATAGTATAAGGATAACGTTGATTGCTGAAAGCGTAACTTGTTTCTTTGGCTTGATGCATGCCAGTCAACTTTAGTGCCATCATGTGTGCCTCTTACCAAGTGGCTGCTGTCGTCACTACAATCACTCAGTCTAGTAAAATTTCAGACCTGCTCACACGAGAGCACCAAAACCTGTTCTTGTACTGGAAATCCATGAATCATACTATTAGTGTGTTGTTACTGACTTTAATGCGATGTTAGTGTCGGGTTTACGAAAGTAAACCATCTGAACTCGTCGACTCGCATTCACGTAAAATAAAACCATTTTTGTATTTATCTTGCAATTGGAGCCTCTATTATGCTCACGAATAAACAATTCAACATTCGTTGCTATTGAAAATTGATTATCTCCTTTATTGAAGCTCAAACTTCTTTTTCGGTGTTTGGAATGGCTTTGTGTCGAGCCATTCCAGACACCAAGTAATTCTCAGCTGGGTTTGGAAAACAATATGGAGTTCTACTTCATGGCATTGTTGTCTGGCAAAAGACATGCTTAACCAGTGAATTCGTAGCCTTATGAAACAGCATGTTGTTTAGAATCAAACGAGTATTAGAAAACATTCCAATACCATTGTTTAGAAAATCTTGGAATATCAAACCACACAGTCTCTCAACCCATCTCTAAACATCCATCATACAAGATTAAACTATAGCTTTGAGCCTGTTCTCTCTTTCAACATTGTAGGATTGTGGATTCATTCGTGTCAATCTAGATGTTGGGTTCGACTTTTGATGTTGTTAATCGAATTACAAACTCATCTTTGTGACCCTAATGTTGGACACGTTTTATTTGAAAACGACAGATTGTACGTCTTGTGAAGACTCTTGTTTTCCATGCTGGCCATCCAGTGTCTATTTGCAATCAAAGAGTTGGAGACTGGACAAGTGGGATTTATTGAAACTAATGTGGTAATCCGTTCAACTGTATTCCATTTTACGTGAATATGACTAGTATTGGCAATAAACATATTTAGTGTTGTATTCATGTGGCACTTGGAACCAAGCCTTTGGTAGTCGGGATAACCGGATATAATTTCTCATGAAATAATCTTGGTAATAGGATCGCAACTTTATTGAATACCTTGAATGTACAAGTGGATTCGACCACAATAGGAAAGTGCGTAAATGGTGCAGAATTAAACTCTTATTTCAAGTCATCGACCTGCACTCTAGGAACAACGTTCATGCTCATTAATTCTTGAAACAGCAGCTTGCATGCATAGGGCATTTTCACAGTTACAACTCCTGATCGCATTTTACAGAATGGACAGTAACCATGCCAAGCACCGATAATACCACATCTGGAGCATACTTCAACGTCATACGCATCTGAGCTATACAAGAGCCGTTCGATGAGCAGCGACGATGCACCGTGACCAATCAAGCAATCTCGCTCCATTTCTCCAACACGCAATCCACCATCGCGAGATCTACCTTCCGTTGGTTGGCGAGTCAGTGTCGCTCTTGGACCACGAGATCGTGCATGCATTTTATCCATCACCATGTGCTTTAGTTTTTGGTAATAGACTGGCCCAAAGAAAATATAGGCTTGGAGGGGCTCGCCTGTTATACCAGATGTCAACATGTCCTTGCCTGAATAACTATACCCGTTTTCAACAAGAATACGTGACATGTCTTCCACTTTACTACCTCCAAAGGCAGTTCCATACTGTACTTGGCCAGCAAAAAGTCCCGCTTTTCCAGCCAGCAATTCAATCATTTTTCCAACCGTCATACGAGAAGGAAAACCATGTGGGTTCATGATCACGTCTGGAACAACACCATTTTCTGAAAACGGCATATCTTCTTGACTGACAATAATACCACACACTCCTTTTTGTCCATGTCGTGATGAAAACTTGTCACCCAGCTCAGGTCGACGAGTCTGGCGAATCAGCACTTTGATCAGTGTTTGATCTTCTTCGTTGGTAGTGAGAAGAACTTGATCAATCACTGCGTCGCCAGGATACTTGAATGACATGGGTGTGTTTTTAAATGGAATCGAAGATGGATCAACAGCTCGACCCAGCATTGGCGCTGATGATTCGTCATCACTTCCACCACCATTGGTTGGAGCGCTAACTCGCGGACTTGTCTCGGTCGGAGTTTGTTTATTAATCACAATTTGGTTGGGATAAACTCGCTCTCCAACCCCGCAGATACCATCATTGTCCAAAATATTGTATCGCTCTTGTACTTGCCCAGTTAATGGATCCAAAACAGGATCGGCTAGTCGATCAAAGGTTTGATTGGGGTACGATTTGATCATTGTAGAAGACTTGCGCATTACCTGGCATCGTCCGTATCCCCGATCTACTGAAGCCTTGTTGAGTACCAACGCATCTTCAATATCATATCCAGAATAAGACATGACTGCAACGGTTGCATTCTGTCCAGCAGGGAGTTTATCAAACCCAATCATTTCAATAGTTCGTGTCCGTACCATTGGATGATGAGGATATACCATTAAATACAAAAGCGTATCAATCCGCGTTAGCTGATTATAGGCAATTGTACCAATGGCTTGCTTACCCATTGCACATTGGTAGGTATTACGGGGAGACTGGTTATGATGAGGGTATGGAATCAGTCCTGCTACAGCTCCTAAAATCGTAAACGGTGCGATTTCCAAATGAGTAGTGTTGGGTTGATCAATCAACACAGAATTGATTTTACTATTTTTAATATTTGAAGGCTGCGTCCATGATATATCTCGTTCATACACAGCAATATCAGAATCGGTCTCTTCGTTTGTATCAAGATACTCTATTTTTCCTTGCGCTATAAGATCATCAAACCGAAGTATACCGTGGATAATACCTCGAATATCCTCTTCAGTGACTTTAGGAATTCCACGTTCAACAATAATCAATGGACGGCATACACGACCACCATCGCTACTAATGTTAATCGTACGCTGTGAAACTGTGCGATATATAGATACAAAAGCACTCGTGCGTCCTGCACGTCGCAGTCGGCGTAAATCACTTACAAACTGCTCGGCATTTCGGTGTACACCCATAATCACACCATTCAAAAACACCAAAAAGGTCTCAGATGTAGCGTACAAGTCAGATCCAGAAACAAGATTGATATCTTCCGTGCCAAGCACAAATGCCAACTTGCGAAGAGAAACATCGTTTGAATCAGTTGTAATATAAGTCATGAGTGCCAAATTTTTAATCAGACCACATGCTTCACCTTCTGGAGTGTCAGAAGGACAGTTGTGTGATACGATAGAATTGGCAAAAAACGAGTGGTTTTGCGAAACAGTGTTGAAATCATACAATCTCTCTGCTGGTGCTTCTTCAATTGAATGGATGGTGACCCATACAAACCGAGGCGATTCTTTATGTACGTACCGATCCTTGAACTCGATCCATGTGATATATTCGTCAGCTGGGGCAGTCGGAATTTCTTTTACATTCAGCATATGAGAGGGATTATGATGTGGCATATTGATTTCTGCTGAAACTGCAGTTTTTGTGCCAAGTCCGGTATGCAACAATTCAAAGGCGTGTTGACATTTGGATCTGTGTTGTTCAATAAAAAATAAACTGCCCTTGATCCACTGCACAGGTGCTGAGCTTTGGCTCGTTTTATTAAAGCAGTAGCGATAGCCAACTTGCTCATAAAAACGCACAAGATTTTCAGCAGTGTTGTCAACGTGTAGATGTACTGCATAGCCAGTCTTTTCAGCAGTAATGTGCTTTTCACTACTTACCGACGAACAAATATTAAGCATGCCTAAAAGAGTTGCGACCTGTTTCAAATACACCACAGTGCTTTCCAAATGATCTGCATCAGTGTGTTGTGTCAGAGCAGACATGGTAGGTTCCCATTTGCCCTCATTACATGAGATAGTAATGTGAGCACCATTTCCGCCAAAAAGAGCACCAAGAAACTCGCGCTTTATGCTAGTTGGTGCGTCCAGTAGCCATTTTGGAAGCAAACAGTATTGATGCTGCTTTTCTGCATCATGTGCACCAAGTGTCTGCAAAAGTGCATTTGCTGTGGGAACTAATGTGATACAAATAGCTTTACCGTTGCTATCGTCACATTTGAACCATTTTTGCTGATCGTCTTGGTATCGCACCCAGTGAGCAGGACTAAAGCCAAGAGCCGTCAAATCTGAATTCACTGCAGTTACATCTTCATCCTTTTCCACGTACAGCTTGCCACTAAAATCACCAGCAGATAACACGAGACCAAATAACCGAGCTACAGATTTGACTTTGGACAGTGGAATAGGCACATCTACCAGGCCAATTTCAGAAAGTTGCTTGGCAAGCTGAGCAGTGGATGCTGTACATACTTCTTTCTCTGATAGAGTAAGTGTCCATTGTTCAGAAGTGCAGTACGCTTGCTGCGGGCTTACTAGTAGCGCATGATGCCCAACAGTCAATTCTTCAACTCTAAGCCATTGCCCAGTCAACCCTCGAGTAGTCTCGTCAATTTTGGCAGCAAACAATGGATGCTCTGGATCAGCCTTGATGACTCGTCCATCATCAAGTGTGATTTTAAGAACCCGTGTAGCATCCTTGGCAAAGTAATGATCAATAAGCGAAGGCGACACCACACCAGTCCGAGGTTCGATTGTCGAAACACACGCTCCGTCGACAAGATCCGTTAGTAGCACAATATCCATGCCATTTCCTAAAACTACCTCGGTATCTCCGCTGAGACAGATCATGCCCCATTGTGATGTCTGCAAACTACGAGGGCCAGCCACTTTTCGAGTTTTTTCAAATTGACTACTTATACGGGTAAGCATACCCAAGGCAGACACATATGAAAGACGAGAAAGAACTTGAGTCACACCAGCTCGCTCCATCTTGAAACGCTTTACGCTCCAGTTTCCAGATGAAATGGCTCGAAACATGCCATCAGTAATAAACCGTGATGTTTGAGACACAGCAGCAGCAGCATCGTATTGTGAGGTTCGGTTAGTTCGTTTCAGCTGAATATCGACAGCTCGCTTGATGGCAGATATCCATGATTTAAACAAATCCTCGAACAAAAGTGACATGAGTTGTCCAGCACTAAAAGTTAGGTGTAATTAATTACATGCTTGTATTCTAGATCACTTTGATGGGATAAAATAAGATTATGGATTAAATCGTCACAAATTTGCGATTGAACTTACAGTTCAAGACGCTTGTTGCCAATAAAATCACGATCGTCGACAATACCACCTTCCTTGACAGCCTGGAGTACTCTTCGAATCATGAGTGCAATATAAATAGCTTTAGGCCGAAAGTTTAAAACACCAGCATCATCTGCTTCTACAGGAACATGTGCAAGAACAGTAGTAGCAAGCAAATCACGAGCTTCTTCCACCCAGTCTCGTCGAATACCGACACGGTTAGTTTTGAAGGTGACTTTGACTTTGGCGCCAATGTATTCTAGAGCTTGACGTTGTGTACTAATTTTCAAAGAAGCACCTTCTTCTAAAGAAGGTGAAAAAAGAGCCAAGTATTTGAGGTCATCACCGCAAATAAGTTCAGCGATTTCACGATCTGATTCAACTCCCATTGCCTAGAAACATATCAACTAATTAGATACTATTGAATCAAATTTAGAATCAAAACATCATCAATCTGATAGAAACCACACCTTCATAATGACAGTGACGGGAACTTCTGCTGTCAGTGAATTGTGTTTGAGGACCATTTTGCCTGTTTTACCACAAGCAACAATTGTTTTACTTTTTTTTTCAAGAGTAGAACTGGTGACGTTGGAACAAATGCAGCCGAATCGATCTGTTTCAACAATAATTCTGTTTCTAGACAACTGCTCTTGGATCAAAATGACCTTTTCTGTTCCACGAATAATAAAATAGCCGCCTAACAATACGATGATGTTATAAAGTAAGAAATGTGTTGATATGTGTGCAATTTAAAAATATGAAACACACCAGGATCCAAGGGACATTCTCCAAGGTCAGCAATTTCATCGGGAGATTTGTTGGTCAAAACGCAGTAGGAACTTTTAAGCATAATCGGCATGCGGCCAATTTCTATATTTCGCTTTACAATAACTTGCTTCCCGCGTACATATTCAATGTCTACGCAAATTGTACCAGCGTAGGTAATATCTCGCAATCTGCATTCTTGTGGGGTGAGTTCATACACTACACCTTTTTGAATATCTTCAGCTTGAGGTGGTTTAATGCGAATATCCAAAAACCTAGTTAATGAGTAGGTGGAAAGTAGTTGGCAAAAACAAAAGATTGGATCAATTTAGTATGCATTGGTTCAATATTAGAGAGATGTACAATTTGACGTTACCGAAGAAAAAAATGCGGATCGATATCAGAATCTACTTTTGCATTAGCTTGGACAATCAATTTGATATCTGTTTCCAAAAAATAGTTGAATGAGTCCAAGTGCTGCTTTACCAGTCCCTTTGTTTGCAAGAATGCAGGCAAGAGCCGCCACTTGTCCTATAAAGTTGAAGAGATTTGTAGCCAATGTGTGAATAAGTTGAATTAAAGCAATAATCATGTGAAATAAAAGTGTATGATAAACAGCCAGTGACATGATTGGTATGAAAACAACGGTTGTATTACTGATACGTGCAATCATTGTTAAACTAGATCGCGAATAGATTCGAGTTTTTAGAATACAAGAGTTTGGCAGCAGTCAAATCCAGTATTTGGATTGCAACGAGTCTAGTGATTGCATAATGTATTGTTATTCAAATGAGAATAGCCTCAGTTTGAGACTATAGTTTGATTTGTGTGTATTGTATGAACATTGTATTTGAAGCAATCCATTCTAATCAACGCAACGAATACCATCTAATTCAAAGCAAAACAATCACTGCAAGAATAGTGTTCCATTTTACAATAAAAGATTCCAGTATGTATTCAAGAATTCATTACAATGGCCTTGTAGTAATATTTGATTATATTCCATATTCAAAAAAACAGGAAAACCCATTACCTCTGCGGTATTAATTGGATCCGTCAGTTTTTTTCCCTCGTAGCGCATATCGTCTCTTCCATGCATGTCGGTAGAAAAAAGAGAGCTTCCTTTTCCCTTTGAAATGGGTTTATGAGTTTGTGCAGGCAACATCATGGCAACAGGACCAGTAGATCGCATCTGAGCTGGGTTCATGACCACAACAGTTTTTTGAAAACAAGAAAAATTGAATTTTGGGAAAAACAGTGAATCGAATCACGTGGATAAGTTTCTATGAAGTTGTAGAACGAATGGATTTACCATGAAATGTAAAACTCATTTGATGCACAGTCGAGACTAAAGTTTTGATTCAAAAAGAGTGATTTATTGATGAATGATTTCAATATGTCTGCAGTAGTGTTATAAAGTGAATTGTTTTGGTTGTATTTGTATACAAAAAGCGTGATGATAGTTTTTTCAAGTGAGATTAGAGTTTGATATAAAAGCAGTGTAATAGTAAAACCATGAAATGGGATTGAATTAGATAGATGAACAGTATAATTTAAGCAGTTTAGAATATTATAAATGAATTGATTCCAAAAACAAGACAATTATTGAATGAATATTGAATGAAACCCAACAGAAATCACTTTGTGAATACTTTGTGAATATGACACCAAAAATGGAATTTCAAGCCAAAACTTTCAGTTTTCAACAAACGCGACGCTCGAGTTATTGTTGGACTCGACTGCAATGCAACCATTCTCGTATGCCTATGTCAGTCTACTGACTACCGAGTCTTACTTGCCTGGTGCTCTTGTTCTTGCTGCTTCCATTCGTCAAACTTCAACTCTTTATCCTTTAGTTATAATTGTTTCTCAAGATCACATCGGACATGCTGCCATTCAAACACTGCTCACTGTTTATGATAAAGTCATTCCCGTTCAGCAATTACTAACCAACAGCAATGACAACTTAAATCTACTCGGAAGACCTGACTTGTTTGCTACCTTCACTAAACTGCATTTATGGAATCCTGATATTCTTCCTTATAGTCGGATTGTGTTTTTGGATGCTGATACCCTGGTACAGCGTAACATCGATTGTCTTTTTCAATACGTTGAGCAAGAGTCTGTTGTCTTTGCTGCTGCTCCTGATGCTGGTTGGCCAGACTGCTTCAATTCTGGTGTCTTTGTCACAAAACCTTGCGCTGTCCTTTTTCATCAATTGCTCGAATACGCTGCCAACAACACTAGTTTTGATGGTGTGTTCATTGCTGCTCATCAAGTTTCGAGTCCATTTTCAACTCGCTTTTATTATAAATTCTATCGTTTACTTTTCCTCAACTCGCTCTGATTGTCATATCTAACCATTTCTTCATATCCCTCAGGAGGTGACCAAGGTCTACTTAATTCGTTCTTCTCATCATGGTCGTGTGAATCTCCTGTTAATCCTCGCACTGGTCGTTTACCCTTCACTTTCAATGTGACTCCATCTGCGTTTTACTCTTATCTGCCTGCTTTTCATCACTATAGTGCCAACATTTCCATTGTACATTTTATTGGATCTACCAAACCATGGAAAATGTCTCGCTTCTTTGATGGCTCCATTATGCCTTTGTACGTATACTTGGATGGATGTTGAATATCACGTTGCTAAATTCTTTTTATACACTCTTGATTAGTGGTGAAATGTCGGATGGAGTCAAGGACCTCATGGCTTCTTGGTGGGCCGTTTTCGACAAGAACGAGCTTCATCTTGTTTTACGCACGTTTAAACTCGATCGTGACTGGTCTCAGGTACATATCATTCTTGATCCATATAAAAAACTAGTGTTTGACTCATTGTTACACTATGTTTATAGTACCAAGTTCCAAACCAAACCCCAGGAATGTTTGAAGCCATCGGGTCGTTTGCTAGTTCTGGCTTTCAAACATCTGCTTTGGGTGCTTTACCAAACTCTGCTTCAGAATTTGGTCGCTATCGCGTGGATTGGAATGATAGAGAGTCTCGTAGTGCCATGGCTGTATCAAGATCTCGTTCCCCTGCAAAACGACGCTCTCGTCATTCAAAGTCTCCTAGACGAGGCGAGAGTTTGTCCAAATCACCAACAAAGCTAAATTCATCTCACGGAAAAAGAACATCTCCTTTAGATTCAAGACTGGGCGGCTCAGGAAAAAATGGCTCTCCCGTCAAATCCGAAGCAGCGTCAGGTTCTCACCAACATGGTGCTGGACATTTGGATGCAATTACTATAGCTAGTGCGACCAAATCCTCAATGAGTTATACCACACCAACAGATGATTTTGCAAACTACCGAGTTTCTTGGAGTCGTCACGAACTTCGTGGTCAGGCTGCTCAACGATCGCCCAAAAGTGATCAAATGAACTCCAAGTCATCCGACTCTGAAAACGACAGTTCTTACTTGATATTTACCAGCGATGAGGCGAGTTCGTCTACTGGCTACTCTTCCACTGCTGATTTAGACTCTCAATTTGAAACCGAGACTTTAAAAATTGTAAACCCCTTGCCTCTTCCACATCATATCCACCACAAACTGGATGCATTGAGTATCAAACCCACCACTCTTGACAATACTGTATCTGATCCGCAGTCTTTGGCAACCTCATCTACTAAAAAAACTGGGGAGAATCGCAAGTAACACGTATGACAGCCACTACAAAGGGTAAGGTGTTGATCAACCCTTTAAGCGTGTTGATTTGACCCGACTTTAATCGTTTATTTCAAGTATAGGTAAACTGCACTGTTTAGCAATACTAGTAATGCTTCAACTGTAGTGGTTCATTTTATTGGTGGTTGGTTTCAAGCTTGATGTTTGTAAAACATAGTACGAATCAATCGAGAGTAAACCATTGTTTTATCGAAATGCATTTCCAATGAACCGATAAACGCTTGCAGTAAGCTATTTTAAGAGTTGTAACAATGATAAAACCAAACGACAAGATATGGATAAAACCCAAACACGATTTGAAAGCAGTTTGAAGAACGGATTTTATTAAAAAAACGAATCTAAAAGTAGTAACAATCCACTTATAGTCAGTAAAACATACAACACCCACCATCGTGGACCACCGAAATACTTTTGCGCGCTTTTCAAATTGTCATTGCCTTTGGCAATGGTTTGGTTTGCTTTTTCAGCATCATCGTAAATGGAATCAATCGTTTCGGATTGTGCTTGGAGATGATGAGCTAGAGTTGATTGCAGTTGAGCGATTTCGTTGAGGGATTGAGTAGCAGTTCGTACTTGAGTTAATGTGGATTCGAGTTGGTCCATCATGGTGGAGTTGTCTTGTTCGAGAGCAGCACGTTCTCCTACAGTGAACGTCATTTGAGACTCATCCTCGTCCATACTGTTGGATGCATAGGGATCGACTGGAAAATCGAATTTGAATGGAGTTGTATTGGTAGTAGATGAATGTTGTGGTGAGGTGTTTTGAGGAGATGAATCAGTTAAAATGGGATCGGATTGAATTAAAGATTCTCGACCCGATCCAGATGAATCCAATCGATTATTTTTAAATCGACCTACGCGAGCCTTGACTGCATTGGGAACAAAACGACTCAAAGACGACGAGCGTGCCTCGGTTGTACGATCAGGAGATTTGGGTAATAACACTTTAAGATGACTTAAATCTTGACGTAGATAACTAGTGGATTAAAACAAGTCAGTACAATAAGGAATTGAATCAACAACATGACAAGATCCAACCTTTCCTGATGACGAATACTTCTTTCAAGTCGATACTCTTGCATGGCTTGTTGGATATTCGATGTTGACATGAGTCGATGCTCCAAAATCCATACTACAGATTCTCGCATGGATTTTAAATGGATTGTTCCAGCAAGTTTTGTTCGAGTTTCAAACATGCTCAAAAACCCAGTTTTTTCATCTGTTTTGTCATTCATTGCATTCGCATCTTTTCATGTTCAAGACCATATTCAAGAGTTAGAATTATAAATTGAGAGTGGATACAATCAAGTAGTTACCTATTAGTTTTGAGAGAGCTTGAATCATAGTCAAACAACCCTTGATGATAGCCTGAATCTGCATGTCAAGCACATCCTTTTTCTCATCAGTCATGAGTGATACTTCCATGGGTGTAGCAGTAGGTAACATGGTGGATGATGGATGCTCTTGAGCATGCAATGCATGCTCGAAAGAAGCTACAGATGCCATGTTGCCCAATTGCAGATAAGGTTTTCTTATAGTGAGAATGTAGTGGTTCAGCCTTGATATATGCGACAACTTAAAGGTCGAGTTAGTGGACTTGAAGTGCAATGACTATCATGACATGAACATTACTATCTTGTTGGCCTGTTGCAGGAAAGGGTCGCTGACATGCTTTGGTTTGAATGGCCGGAGAACATGACTTCCATCTAAACAGAAAGTCAGAGTCAGTCAAGTCACACTAGAAGAGTCTGTCACACTACAAGAGTCAATACTTTCATACCAGAAGAGTCTTTATTTTCTAATGTCTGCTTGCGTAGAGTCTGAACTAATGTTGAAAACTGGACGCTTCGATCTGTTCTCATTCTTGCTCAAGAATGTAAAGAATTCCATCACTTTATTATACTATTATTCTTCCATGCCAACACTCGACTACTTTGGCTGGTTATCAACTACTGACATCCAACTGATTTGTCCTGCTCGGAATTTGTCATAATCTTGTGCTGTTCTTAATCCATTGTTCAATGTAAACTCTCGTTTTCCATCAACTGGAAATCCATACGTTTGATTCTCTTGTGATGTCCAGAGTGATTGAGTTGGAGCGCATTCACCTACTGTGTGTCGTTGTGCTGGAGCAAATGCTTGTGATCGGAATTCATCAGATAAACTTGGTCCAATATCCAGCGTGTCCGTTGTATTGCTAAATTCAAAATAATCAAGTCAATCATTGGATTTTTGCATATTCAATCTTTAATGCTTACATGGACAGAGTTCGGCAACGTTCAGAAGTCGTTAAATGACTCAATCCTTCATAGATGGGTCGATTCATGTCTGCTTCCGTTGAAATCGTTCCCTCTTTTAACCCAAAATCACTTGCAAAACGTTGACGTGTTCCATATCCTTGACCTATATTGGAATGTTCAAGATCGAGGTATCCAAGAGCATTGACCTCTCGATCAATGTCATCAAAAAGATCATCCCCAGATTGATGCTGGTCTATAGCATCGCAGGACAATCGGTTTCTTGGTAGTGTCGTTGGTTGCCCAATCGTGTCCAATCGTGTAGGCGATATCGCCTCTGTTGGCCATATTGTAGACATTGCACACTGTTCAGAATGCTTTGTCATTGGATCGGATCGAATAGGCAATGCTGAATGATCTGACACTACATAATCTGTAGATCCGATCGGTGAAACTCCTAATGGCCGTTTCATAAACACCTCATCATGTGGTAATACACTGTGAGTGGGTCGTTTCCAAATATTGGGTATATCGGATTGATGCGAGGTATGATAGTGAAGATTCACCGAATGATTTGACCCAAGAGGTGTGGTTAAATTAGATTGCTGATCCAAAGTAAAATCCCAAGGTTCATGTAAGCTCATATCTTGAAGTTGAATGGCATTTGATCGTGTAGAGGCGACGCTGAATACTAAAATTGAATGTCCTTTGACTGGCTGTATCAATGAAACCAGATGCAATGGCTAGATTCAAAAATACAAATGTTACATTAAACCTGATTCTTAATCAACAAAAAGTATCAGTGGCAACACACTTACTTGAAGAGTACAGAGTTGAGTTGCTAGAGCAAGGATTTTTGCCATACGGATTTGAATCATCTTATGCTCCGATAGTTCATCATTGAAAACAGAAATTGGAGGTGCTTCCATGGTTTGCAAAACAAGAAAATTTTGCCAATCTATGTCTTCTTTTAGATTAAACTTGGCCAGTATTGCAATATCATCCACTGAACAGTTTTCGAGCATGCCAAAAGCTTTAGATACAGTCGTACATATATCTGCCACGGATTTCCAATCAGTAGGAGTAGATGGATGAGTCGCTTCATTGGCTGAAATCCGTTTCACAAGAAACGTAAGTGCCAGTTTAATATGTAAAAGAAATGGTTCCAAAAAGTCGAGCGCATCAGGTCCTGTGCCATGTTGTTTTGAATCCCATAAAACATGGTTTTGAAGTTGATGCGCAAACTTTTCCGATGCATGTTCAAACACTACAGTAAACAGTTTCCATATAAAACTCAGCATGCCAGACACCATTTGGGCACTTTGATCCATGTTTGCTTTGGATGACCGTGTAGAGGGTGGGTGTGTTTCGGAGCCAAAAAGATGCGGGGTTTCACAGATATACAGTGTGCCAAGAGATATAATCAAAATACTTTTGATGTCATCTGATGATATGTTCAGTCTTCTCCGCAGTGCACTATTCGATAAAAATGTTCGTAGTTTGGACACTATCAAATCTGATCCAGATGTAAAATTTTGTAAACTAAAACACTGAGGTTAAACAAAATCAAACTCTACACCAATTCAAGGAATAAAAATACAACTTGTTTTTATACCTTGGAGTCTTGTTTAGCAAATGTCCAATATGTGCCTTGAATTCAGATGCAAATGTTGGTGGCAATGAGTTGGGTTTAGAGCATCCCTGCTGGACTTTGGCTAGTCCGCCCTCACATGTAGCACGGATGTTGCTAAGCGCAATAGCATATGGTGTTTTGATGACAATACTGCAACCAAACTGTCATTAATATACACTATAGTATTCAATTATCAAACCAAAACATACCTCCGAAATGAAAGCTCAAGTGATCCCAAATAGTCAGTCTCGCAATTGCTGGCTACTACAGATAGCTGGTTGTATGGATGACCATTTTCTGGCAATAAATCTAGGGCAATCTGGTAGAATCGCTTGGCCAGTTCGCATTTGGCTTCCTTGTGACTGCGTCCAGAATGAAGATCTCTATACCTAGCTGAGTATTTGCAATGCGTGAATATACATAAGCATTTCAAGTCATTTGAAGTATCAATGCTTATACATTACCTAAATCCCCGAGTCGAACAAGACATCGATGAATCACAAGAATAGTCTGACTGTCTTCAATCGGCCATTTTTCTGATGGATGACGATGACACGGATCTTTTGAAAATCCAAAATCCAAAACACGATACAACTCGGTTAGTGATAAAGTAGCGTATGAACAAAAAAGATACTTGGCAAGTCTATCAAGAAATCACTTGCCTACTTCAAGAAAGAATTCCATACACAGTTCTAGTTTTGGTATCACTGTTTGGTGCACGATCTTTAACTGTGCTCTTTCTTGAAGTTTTCGAATAAGCTCAAGATAAAACCCAATAGAATCGCTTAAAAAAGATCTAAAGCTAGCGTATACTAAAGCAGTAGCGCCTGCTTGCTGTTTCGGAGACTGTTGAATTCACATCATGGTAAATCAAACTGTTTAAAAACAAATACAATCGACTTTACAGCGTGAGTCTTGCCTTGAACTTTTCTCTATATGACTCGATCATTCGCAAATGAGGTTCTTTCCAGAGCAGCAGTTCTGCATTCACTACATCAGTGGTATTAAACACCAGGGTTTCGATCAAGCTTCTATATCTAAAGGAATGGCATAAGCGACATGAATATAGGATGATACTGGAATAAATCAGCTCGTCTGAATGTTGAAATCACTTACAGAATTCGCTTTGCGTTGCATCCTGAATCTAGAGGACCATGATTTGCAAGAGTAATTTTAAACTGCCGTTTGGGTTCATTTAGAAAACTATCAGAAATCCAGCATGTATTTTCATGGTTAGTGCACAAAAGGTTTACGGTTGCTCATGAATGGATGAATCTGAAGAAACCAGCGAGTTTTTTCAGGTTGGAATCTGGATAAAGAATCCACTTGCCTTGACGAATCGTCGTCCTTGTGATGTCGGTAACCAAAATTGTTTTTGTGTAAACCATTCTCTCTCTGTCCTGACATGTTATACCAAAGTATATTCAAGTTGCTGAAGTGAATGCTTAAACAACTTGACCTCGAATGCTCAGATAATCAAAGTCTGTTTAAACATTAAAATGGTTCAACTGGTGAATATAGTCACGCGTTACCACGTGATTATGTTGAATTATGGTTGAGCCACTTTGATGTGTGATATTATACCACAAACCTCCTTGACCCAAAAACACTATTAAACAAAACTCTAGCTTTGACTGTTGAATGTTGATCATGATCAACCTTTTTACAAGCAGAATCGAAAATCGCGTGGAATCGCAAGTGTTTGAACTGTGTCAGATTTTTATGAAAGTTTTCGCGAACTCTAAATCTGGCCTTCAAATCCTTTATTCAAAATATGGACTACTTGTATTCCATTTGAAATGACTTTTGTTTGCTTTGAAATAAACAACGATTCAATACTTGCTACACTTTTTACTACAAATTAACCCATTCTTTCATAGACACAACTTTGATCATACACTGCACTATTAACAAGTTTAAAATCAGATACTAAATTTGAATACTGTCAATCCAACTGGTCTTTGTTGTATCTTGACTTCAAATACGATCGTGTTTCAATTCAAGAAAGCAATACTTGATTGTAATGCCTGGTTTTGAAAAACAAGCGTTGATTTGAACGAGACCATCTGTTGATCGTGTCTTGTATCGCGACCAGTTTGATGAACAACTTGCTGCTCGTTCTAATCAAATCCAAAACAACGTCGCTTATTTAGTCTAACAACAGCTGTCTGATTCTGTCTGAATGGTTTTAAAATATGGCGAAATGGAAATATTGCCTTGATTCCGTCAAACATTTCAAGACAAAATGGCGGTTTACTAGAAATTCAACCTTTTCTCAAACTCGCCAATGTCATTACCAGACAACCCTACCAGTCAAGTGGAAGAAGTCTTTGAAATTATTGACTATACGGCAAGTACTGGATTTTATTAGACTATACTATGGATTGTCGGAACTGCCATCACTTGCTATTTTAGGCATATAACGCACTCCTAATAGCTACATCTTTTTTATATCCAACAACCACATGTTCAGTCTGCATCTACGTTTGAACGACTAGTGGTGTCCATTGAATCAATTCTTACCAAATGGGGAGTAGACCAGGGCAGACTCGGTGTTCTGGATTCAGTTGGAACTGCAGCAATTACTTGCAATTCAACAGGACGCTCAACTTCAAAAACCACTACGCATGGCATTGGAATGCCTTCATTGGACTCTTCTATTCCAAACCAAGACTCGTTAAAATCACATATTAGATACAAGACAATTGTATTCGAGGAGCAGACATACACCATCTCGTATCATTCACTTCCTACACCAATCGCTTCGAGTTTTTTAGAAACATCTTCAGATATCAAACATTTTCAAGATCAACAGCCACAATGCAGTCTGCCAGAATCTATTTCAGAATATTTTCCAGTGATTCATTCCATGGCAGAGTTTTTAACTTATCCTGGATACACATCTTCAAGCTCTCGAGGTTTTGATGCTTCGCGTATTACTGCTGCTGCTAGGAATCTAGCTGGCGGAGCCACCAATGCTGGATCTACTTCAACCACATCTATTCTTGAGCACCACTCTTTGCTTCATCGATGGACTAGTCTGACTCACTTTCTGGTGTTTTCTGGCGTACAAACTTTTCAAAATCGGTGGTCTCCAGATGCCATATACAATGGCATTGACGAAGACGATACCGAGTTTACCTCGGCTAGATCTGGCATGGTGGACATCAATACCAGCAAGCTATTTTCTTCTGCTTTTTCCCTGGCATTGTCCAACATCATGTGCACACTTCCTGTTTTTATCCAGACAGGTCAGACTTGGAAGCGTGTCTACCAGGGCCTTGTCGTATCTACGTGCCATTCTGGATCGAGTATTCCTGGATTTGAATCCATGGGAATGCGTGAAGCAGTTCAACGGTATCGCATGTCAGTTTTACCTTACTCACCGCCAGCTTATGCTACACTATTGTCCATATGTAATATTTTCAAAGATAGATTCGATCTGAACCACTCTGATATTCCATCTGCAGATATCAACAAATATATTTTTGCATCAATTGCTACTCGGTATGTTTATGAATTCAATTCTATCGAAGCTGCTGATTTCAAACAACTCCCACAAGAATTCCAAGTTGCTGGCGTGTTTACCCCACTCGTAATGGACATACCTAGTCCGATCCTGCGGCTCACACTGGAAACGTACTATCCAGTTGCTCCTATCAATTCATACATTGGTGTATCTATCGATCCAACACTTTCACCGAATTGGAATTTGTCGATTGCCAATGTTTCAGATCCAAAATGTTCCTATTTGAGCAATATGTTAAAATCCGTCATTGCAGGCTGGTTAGATGCTATGCCAGACAATCCATCGATTCATGCTATATCAACTGATCATATGCTCCTTCCAGGTGGTTTCTACAACGGATCGGGATTATCCAACATTCGCAGTTTAGACAATCCACGACAACGGTTGGTTGATCATCATGATGTAATGGACACGGTTCGATTCATGATTCAAACAGCTGAAGTTGTGCCACGTTTTCAGCGGAATACACATGCTACTACACCATACATGACTCCTAGTTCTTTACTACAGACATCAGCCACAACAGATATTCCTTCCACATTCACATTCAGTCCTTCTAATACGCCTATATCCGATAGAATGCTAATGAGATCTACAAATCAATTGATTTCACAATTACAGTATCAGTCGGCAACTGTACCCATGAATTCGCCTTTATGGCTTATGGGTGTTCGGCTTTTAGATGCGTGTCTTTTACGCCCAAAGCATTTGCGATACGATGCAGGGATACTTGCGCTTTTAAAAGGGGTGTGGGAAGAATTTATCAATGAGCTGTCGCAGCTATGGGATTTAAATGCATTCATTCCTGGAGTCGATATTTGTGTGGCTGATGATAATGGACAAACTAGCGGAAAGAAAGTAGATGTGGATATGCGTTATACACTGATGCATCAAAAACTCGCCATGCTAAACTGTTGTATGTTTCGAAAGACGGGTATGTACCCATCTGCTGAAACCATTGCTTTGCAAAAAGAAACGCACAAAAACAAGGCGGAAGATAAACTGGACGCTGGTTCTATAAAAGTCAACACAGGTAGTTTAAAATCAACAATTGCTCAGCAATTTATACCCACACGACTTTTTGGAACATTGACAGATATGGCAATGGCAACAGTGGGTGATTCTGTTGATACTATTTCCAAAGTTATTTCCAAGTCATCACATAGTCACATTCATTCTAGTCAGGCAATGCCTGCTGCAGACATGATGGCTGGAAAAGGAAATGTTGGTTTTGAATCCAATTACGTGGCACATGGCAATAAGCAAGATACCCAACCATCTGTAGCGTCCAAGACGCCAGTTGTGAACGAAAATGTAGTTTTTGAATCTATCGAGTCTACTGCTCCACAGACATCCAACACACTGTCAACAGTCATGGCTCACACAAACAATGAAGGCAGAGAGCAATACATCAACAAGTGGGGTAATTCTTTACCTTCCACTGCCTTACCGACTGAAGCTAAACTGATTGGACCACAGAATGATGTGCACAATGATTTTTCTTCAAAAATGTCTTTGAATACGCGCAGGACAGATGCACAGGGTAGTAGTAATAGCAGTTACTGCAGTGAGATGGACTCACTCGCGCGTAGATCGGTTGGGCATCGTCCACCTAGTAGTTACGGTTCATCTCGTATAGGCAGTCGTGAAACCCATATGATGATTAAACCGGGTCATTCGTCATATATGGATACGCTTAATACGAGTATGCAAACAGTTTTGACTAATTTTGAAGGTACATCATGGACAAGTGATAGAAGCTGGGATCGATTTTCTGTTCATGAACAGGCATCCATTTCAACGCATCCACAAGATACCCTACTCCAATCAAATATACCTTCTCCTGTTGAGCCTCGCAATATGTTCAACGGTGCATCCACCGAACCTGATTTAATGTTTGAGCCAATGGAAGGATGGGTGGATGGGAAAACTGCAGTGACGTTGCAGCGACCCACACGCGTACTGACAGAATCGGGTGCAGACGATACGAATTCATTCATGGCTGATTTGAACATAGGTCAAGTTTCAGCGGTATCCAATGAGCTTGCTGGATCTTTTGTTGAAGTCAAGGACATGCGAGTTTTCCAACAGCGAAATCAAGGCAATGGTGTATTGCCCAATACTCTTTCTACTTCCCTGCCGTCTTATGCTGATGCTATTTTGGATACTACACGCGATGCTAATGTCTCCATAAAACATGCCAGTGATATTGAAACCATTGACGATGACGAACGCAAAGGAGAGCTTGCATTGCTTGAAGGAATGTTGCTGATTGCAAATGGACAACCCATGTGGGAACCTCAAACACAGGTACTGTGTGTATTATTTTTATATGTGCGCCGAATTGATGGGTTAGCAACACTGTATACTGAAACAACTATTTTATGCCACCAATGGTCAGGAATCCGGATACATGACAGAAGATATGGTGCGTGAGCAAGAGCAGATTCTTGAAAGTCTTGGAACGAGCGCAGATGCAGCTAAACTTCGAGCGCGTATGCAGTGTGCTCAGCTTGTTTCTGATATGGAGGCATTCAAGGCAGCCAATCCTGGGGCCATGCTGGAAGATTTTGTAAGATGGCATTCTCCGCGTGACTGGATTGAGGAAGTTGGGGAGATTGGCAGGCTTAGTGGACGTATGACGGATTCTGGCAATCTGTGGCGAGAATGTTGGGAAGTACGTGTACATATTTTGACACATTCTGATTCTGATACTAAATCGTCATACAATTATTGCATTTGTGGTATTGATTAGAGAGCCAGGCGAGTTCCGGCATCTCAACAAAAGGCACTGTTTGATTTTGAAAAGGAATCTGCCAAGGCTTTACATTACCTCGAAAGCATGTCTCTATATCAGATTTTGTCCGAGTGAGTTTTCATGGCAAAACAGTTTAGATCTAGTGATAAAGTGCCTAGTATTATCTTTATAACAGTGATGTCTAAACAAAATTATCTGTGTTGTGACTAGATTGATGCCTACATTTTTTTTGATTGTGTACGATTCTTTGTCTAAGCATCCTATAGCTTCGGCTATCCCATTTATTTGTCAATCTGTGGATAAAATTGGCCAACAGATTGCTACAATAAGATGGTGTGATATTGGGTAACTATTTTTGGTCAAGGATGCTTGAAACAAGCTATTTGTGATTCAAACTTACGTGCTTGTTTGACATTACTTAGACCCGATGCATGCGACTCGTTGAATGAGATTATTTCCGAAATCCGTCAAACTGAAGTGTACATATATCAATGCGTTTCATTGCTCTGCAAGGTACTGCTTAATGTCTAATGGTTTGCAAAACACGTCGATACTAACTTGTTCTTGCATATTTTCAATGACGTATATTTAGCTGCCCGGACAATATGAGCTTGTAAACAGATTAGTTCAAAGCCAACAAGCTGCTGTTGTTGGTCATGAACGCGATAGTGTTTTCAAACTATTTGGCAATGGTAAGACAACTTGTTATTGAACAATGGATACAATTTTTATTCTAATATTCAATCATTTCAAGATGAAAATGGATCGTTTCCGTTTCCTTATGCAAGAGAATTCATTCTTCAGTCGGTTAAACTTCCCAAGCATACACCATATAGCCAGTCAAGTGCATTGCTCAAAGGAAAAGGCATTTATGCAAGGTTATTTGCGTTGCTAATGGATAGCGAGTTTAGGCTTGTTGAGTGTATTCAAACCCCACGAATGTATTAAAACATAATCTCAGACTTTGGTGTCAAAAAAAGTCTGCGCCGATTCAAATCAAACGGCTTTGGCATATTACTGGATTGCAAATTATTTGGTGCTGCAAACAATGACCAATTCTAGGATTTATAAATATCAAATTGAGACCGATTAAATGTAGTTGTAAGAATGGGTGCAGAAATAAGTCGCGAGATTTTTATTGCCGACTTGATGGTAGAATAGCCAGGTGATAGTTTACAATGATCGACAAGGGATAATAATGAAGAAATGAATAGAAAATTGTCAACAACCATCATCCTCGACATGTATCGTGTATTTGGAGATACTTGCATAGGATTCATTCAACCACATTTTTGTATGATCGGGTTTGATGATGTTGTTGTTTTACAAGTATTAGTAGTTGCTCATCTACTGATTTGAATGATGAGCATCTATCGTGTCACGTATGCCACGGCCAGTTTGATGAACAATCTATTACTTATTTGATGCTATCAATAGTTTTGAAACATGATGAAAATGGGGTTTTGTATATAGCCAATGCCAGGATTAGAAAACCACAGGACAAATCAATATTACAATCGTGTTTATGCAAAGTCAAGCATTAAATAAGAGTACCAAGATACATAAACAGTCAGTCTTATGGATAATTATATCCTCTAGCAAAACTGACTGGCCTTTCCCTGAAGATTGGTATAAAGACAATTACAGATGCTTTTTTGAACTGGAATGCAACCGTATTGAGATTGAGATACAACAAAATAGAGTTTGTACAGTTTCATTGACACTATCTGGACGAGTCTGATGATCGTACAATGCATGATTATACCAAATGTGGATAATTTCGAATCGACTATAATTTGATTGTGCATGCATTATATAGACATTGTTTGTTGAGGAATTGAGAATGTTTATCCAAGTCAATCTCCAATAGAAAGGCCAACAAATATTTAACCATTGTTCCAAAGCAAAGGCATCCGGGGCAAAATGAGTATACAAGTGGTCCACTTTGCATGAATATGGCTGTAATGCAGAATTCCTCCAAGAAAAACCTTGATGTCACCCTTAATTACCAGCATTATTAACTATTCCAGGCTCAACTTTTTCCCTAATCGAAACCATCCTTAATTCGTTGACATGGCAACTGCAGCCTTATTGGTCCTTGACATTGCTATGTCGAGGTTGTTTTTTGACCAGTTTTTGGGATTGTAGTTGATGGATTTTAAACCAAGCAGATTTATGAGCAGTTTATGTGCTGTTAATTCTGAAACATGCTCATTAATACACTCTAGATCAATGCAATTTAGGCTGTGATTGGAGTAATTGGCAAACCTTTTGTCTCGCTGTGATACAACAGTGAGAAATATACCTGAGCAGCCCCTAATCACGTGGATGGGCGTTTGCATTTCGTTGCATTAGGCTAAAGGTTTACTGACCCGTATGCTCGCCCGTAAATATCGAAACATTCTCCGTTTATAGTTATTCAATTCTATACTTTTAGTACTATTTGCTAGGGCAATCTATTTGCCAATTGCACATTCAACTGCAATCACCATCGTATTACTTGAACAAGCCAACCACTTGATTTGTACTACTGGCTTCAATCCACCTACACTGCATATACGTCTGTTTCAATCGCAACTCGAACAACAGTTGTGCTTATTAAACTTTATTTGAGGTTCTGGATTCTATTTTGCGTAATATCCTACACTCATTAGCGACAATCAACTTGGCCTATTAAGCAACTCGATTCTTTATATTCAAATTTGTTTTGTATTTAAATGATGGTGGGCGGACGACGAGAGCGCAGAAGCAGCACTCATGGTGATGTCTTATGCGAAGCTAGTCAACCTCAGTCTGGAGCTGGTATAGGGATGAACCCAGCAGTTGGAATCACTTTAGGTGTTTCTGGAATTGATGATCCACCTTTTATTCAATCGCTCCAGCAAAGCCATCCTGCGCGAACTGTTGAACCGGACTGGTTTACGCTGGGTAATAGTTTTCTATTTGGTCGTGACGGGGTTTCCATCAACGAAGCAAAGGCTGTTCAATACTATAAATTGGCTGCTTGCAATCCGGAAGGAAGCTCAGATGCCATGGTAAGTCTAGTGTATTATGTGTGTATTTTTATTCATGTGTAAAGTGACCTGTGTGTCAAGTGTATGAAGATACAAGCTGTTCAAAGTCCAGGACATTGATTTCTTTCAATTTCATTCCTGTCGCCTTTTTGTCATCAGTGAATTGACATTAGAGGCACAACATAATTTAAATCTATCCATGTAAAATGTAACACTTGCACTCATCTTGCAGCGATTGCCTTTAGTTTGGATAAGCAATGGTTGAATCCTTGTGATTTTCTACTGCACATTGACTTGTCCAATAGATATTCTCAATTCTTGCAATCCAATGTCCATCATATCGTGGCTTTGAGCCTGCTCTTGTTTCATACTTGGCATAGCCATACATTGTGCAATGCCAGATTATCCAGTGATTGTCCTCGACTCTACCAATTCTATTTTGTTTTATCCTAAAATCTCGCAAATGCGTTTATACTTGGTACTAAGGAGAGCAAAGATTGGATATACCAGAATTGCAACGGTTGTTTCCATGCCGATCACCAAGAGACCACTCAACTTTGATGAGTGCACAATGCTGCCTAGTAAATTTAGTGAAAACGGGCACTCATTATTTCACGTGACTCTTTGTTGACTCTACAAACACCCTTATTCAGTGCTCCATTTTACGTGAATACAGCAGTAGGGATTTACTGCTCCCCTAATCACCTATAGTTACAGGAAGCCACGTTACTGGCACTGATGTGCACATCCTTAATTTTCGTGTGAAACCCCACACTTATGGTACGGGCCATCTACCTGATTTCTCAAAACAAGGTTTCAAACCATGCCAGCCTTTATTTCACTCTAACATGGCAATATCATAAAGTCGTAACAGTTGCTTTATTCTAGAACTGATAATAAGCAACTGTTTATGACATGTGTGGTTTAGCAGTAGTCGATCCTGTTAAGCAGTCTACATATGTACATGTATTGACGGCACTGCATTTAACCCAGTGTGTGGAACTCATTAAATTTCAAGGCTGGAATGTGCGTGTAGGGACGATATACCATTTTCATGTGAGCCACAATAATTGTAAAAATTTACAAGTATGGGTGGAGCACCAAACAAGTGCCCTCAATCACTGCTCCACCACCCTAACCCCTAGCCGGGCCGCTTGTTTTGGGATGTTTTCATTGATGGAATGGGATTTTTTTAGCTACCTACTATAGTCATGTGCAAACTTCGTGCCTCTTGCAATACAGTCTCTTCGCGCTGTATTCTGGCCATCTCTAGTTTTCAGTGATTTTACTTGTGATTGAGTTGTGCCATCAACCCAGTGTTTATTTTTATTTTTAATTGCCATCCCTTTCATTTACTATCACGCACAAATGTACCTACAAAAACTACACCACACACTTTAACAAACACAGCACACAGACGCACGTTGTACACTTGCTGCAATACACAGATCACCCTAACCCAACCTGCATATATATGTAAGAGATACTAACCTACTTTTTGATTTTATGGGAATTCGTTTATTTTCAATTACCATCCTACTATTACCTCTACTCTAATCCACGGATCACTCACGCTCGTATTCTATTCGTATCTGGCATTGACTATATTTCATGCCTATTCCCACACAACACCACTTGGAACATTCATCCCGTTCACAGGCTGCTCTTGGATTTTGCTACGAATTCGGTCTTGGGGTTCCTCAGGATTTTAAAGAATGCGATGCCTTTTACTTGCTAGCTGCTGAAAAAGGCAGTGGTTTAGGTAACATTTATGGTTTATAGACTTGTTGGCATTTGTCTTTGTATGCTGATTGTTTGTCATGTTTAGCTGCTGCACGACTTTCATTTCTTCGTCGTTATGGTCGTCCTGGAATCCGTATGGACCGAGTCGAATCTGAGGCATGGGTTACACGAGTTCAGGAGCAAGGCAGCCATGCAATTGATTGGCTCGTAAAGGCTGCCGATATTGATAATCATCCATCCGGAAACTATGCGCTTGGAGTATGCTACCATGATGGTATTGGTGTCCCCAAGTGTGCCGAAAAGGCAGTGTACTACTATAAACGATCAGCCGTCTTTAATCATCCCCGAGGACTTGGTATTCTTGGATTTTGTTATGGTGAAGGATACGGGGTGCCAAAAAATCTCGAGGTTGCATTCCAATACTATCTTCGTGCAGCCACTCTCGGTGAGTCTGTATCCATGTACAACGTAGCCCATTGCTATGAAGAAGGTGTTGGGGTTGCCAAGGATCTTACACTTGCTATCCACTGGTATCGCAAGTCTGCCGAGTGTGGCAACTGTTATGCTCAAAACAGTCTTGGATACATGCACGAGGAAGGACACGGTGTTGAACGCAGCGATGCTGACGCTGTCAAATGGTACAAGCTATCTGCAGAACAAGGATACCCATGGGCTCAGTGCAATCTTGGTTTTTGTTTACAAAATGGGATTGGCACTGATCGCAACGAAATACTTGGATCCTATTGGTATCACAAGGCGGCTGTTCAGGGACATTCCCGCGCACAACACAATCTAGGACACGCTTACCAATACGGCATTGGTGTTGAGCAGAATGAAGCGCTTGCTGTTCAGTGGTATCAGCGATCAGCCAGTTCTGGAAACTCGTATGCCATGCATTCTCTTGGATACTGCTACCAATATGGTATTGGTGTTGATATCGATGAAAGTATGGCACTCACACTGTATCACGAAGCGGCAAAACTTGGGCACGGTCCAGCTCAGCTCTCACTTGGATGTTGTTATAGAAGTGGCATTGGTGCCAAGGTAGATGAAAAGGAAGCATTCAAGTGGATTCAGCTCAGTGCTGAAGGCAACAATGCGCTAGCGCAAAACACACTGGGACATTTGTACGAGGATGGAATTGGTACTGCGGCAAATATCGAAAGAGCTGTGTTTTGGTATACTCAGAGTGCTGAGCAAAATAATGTTTGGGCACTAACCAACTTGGCTATTTTGTACTCGGATGGTAATGGTGTACCTCAAAATGACACCGAAGCTGTTCGACTGCTTCGACTTGCTGCTGACCAAAACCATGTACGCGCACAGACACGGCTGGCAGATATGCTGGCAGTTGGACGTGGCTGCACTGCTAATTTGGTTCAAGCACTTGCTTGGTACGAAAAAGCTGCCGATCAGGGATCAGTTAGTGCCATGGGCATTGTTGCAAGATACTATGAAGAGGGTTTAGGTTGCATTTCTGATATTGCTAAATCGATCGAGTGGTATGAAAAGGCAGCTAGTTGGGGTGATCAAGATGCATCTGAACGGCTCGTTCAGCTTGTTGCCAACTCTGTTTTGCACTCCAATATCTTTACATATGGTTGTGCTGCTCGTGCTGCATAAGGACAACTATTCATTCCTTCTTTTTCAACACACATGGCTATGGTTTACCCACGCTGACTTCACTCTGCCTCGCTTGAGGTGGTTATTTTTACTACACCTTAATTTCTCAGCACATTCCCATTTTACAAAATGAATAATAGTCGGTTGTTTTGCATTAGCTGTCTAGATTGAGTTGTAATGTGAGCGTTTGCATCACGTGAGATGGGTGTGGTGGATGAAGAATCATTTTATTAGTTTACCAAATGGATTGAAATATGAATGCCAGAACAAGACAGCCGACAGGAGCACCCACCAAACCTGTCAAACCCAAAACAGTGCGATATTGGCCAGGAAAAGCACCTATAGCAGACGACCCACTTGAATCAAGTGATTCCAACCCATCCGACACTGAACACCCTACACCACTGGATCCATCTGATGACAACGAAGATGAAGACATTACAGAAGCCGTTAACCAACGAATGGTTTCCTCTACTCCTGCAACAAGTATATCCCACACTTTAATATCAAAAGATCGACGACTAAACCGACTTTCTCAGCGTAGTCAGCGTGATGAAGCACCCAGTCTATCACGAACAGATTCCGATAGTGTTCAAATCCGAGTTTCTACAACCACACTAGAAACCCAAGGGAATGATGGTAATCAAAATCACATACTATCTCACCTGAACCCCACATCGTATATAAAATTTAACCCATATTGTCTGTAGGAGAAGCCGATGCAAGCGATGTTGAAGACGAGAATGCATTGAAACGGAGAGAACGGATTCGTGAGCAAGCGCTATTACATCGTACACGAGAAGAAGCCAGTGCTGCATTTGCTGAAAACCGCAAGGTAATCTTGTTGACACGATTAAGATTCATTCCAACACGTCTATTCATTCCACTCACTGTTGCGGTGGATAGACATTAGAAAAAAAAAGAGTTCAAGATGACGACGATCTAAGCGGAGATCAAAACGAAACAGATCAAGATAGTGAGGAGGAGGATGAAGATGAAAGTGATGAGGAGGAGGATGAGGCAGGCTACTCGTTGCGGCCTATGCTCAAGCCCATATTCGTTCCAAAGTAAGCGTTTTCCACCCAACCTACATCTATACAACATACTGAGTACGTTGGATATATTATGTTTATAGAAAGCATCGTGAGACTGTCTTGGAGCGAGATCGGCTGATTCAAGAGCAAGAAGACGCAGAAAAGGAACGGATAGAGAAACTAAAGGAGCGGAAAAAAGAATCTCAAAATCTAGTAGATGAGCTCTTGCAAAAGGAATTGGTTGAAGGTAACGGCTAGTTTTACTCTATTTGCAAGCTCGTTATAAGGTGTCAACTCACCTTGCATGTTTTGAATATGATCGACTACAGCACAAGCAGAGACACAGATTTTGGATATAGATGATACGGATGGACTGGACGAAGTAGCAGAATATGAAGCATGGAAGCTTCGTGAGCTGCATCGTATAAAGCAGTATCGGGAAGAACGAGATCAGCGCGATGCCGAAATGCGTGATATTGAGCGAAGGAGAAATATGACGGATGCAGAGATTGCAGCTGAAAACAGATCACTTGGTCTAGGTGAAAAGGAAAAGGTGAAGCACGCATTCATGCAAAAGTATTACCACAAAGGAGCGTTTTATGTCGATGATGGGCGGATTGGCGATGCTCTGAAAAAAACAGATGGAGATGCACCTACGCTGGAGGATCGGTTTGATAAATCAGCTCTGCCTGCCGTAATGCAAGTCAAAAACTTTGGTCGGGCAGGCCAAACCAAATACACGCATCTACTGGATCAAGACACGACAAATGTTGATTCGGCTTGGAGTAAAAAGTCGGATGTTAATAAGAAGATGACGAATAGACTTGGTGGAATGAAGAGTGTATTTGAAAAGCCAACAAAAAAAAGACGAGCAGGCGAATAAAAAGATTCTAGATGCATACTGTTGATATAAAATCATGTTTATAACCATTTATTTTAGTTGTATTTCAAAGTATACTGTGAGTCAATCCAAGTTGGTTTAGCCATCCAAAACAAAGCGTGGTATCTTGCTTGGTAAATACTGTCTGCAAGATAAAGCTTCACTATATGTGAATACGGCTGCAATCGGCTATATAACTGTAGACGGCTGTGTAGAAAAGGATGCATAAATCAGACAAGACTGGCTATGCTTTTACCAGATGAGCTTATAGTCGTGTAGATCCTGTTGGGGTACTCGAAGCTATCTCAAAGGGGCGATCTAAATGGGTGAAGTTATGACAAATGCTTGCATAGCGACCCTAACAGTTATGGCCGCAGAACTGTCACGGTTGCGGCATACTTGTGAACAATACAGAATGCTTCAAACAACCTATTGTCATTACAAGCAATCCTGCATCATATTGTCAAGTGCTGTAGGATGGCATTTGACAGTAAACTTGCAAGTCTTATGCAAGGCTATTCAACTACAATGGTCGCAAGGACATTGATTGAGCCATCAAACAAACAAAACCCCATCACCAAGTGCAAAAAAGCACGAATATTGCATCATCGAGCACACCATTGTGACAAACCCTTTTTGACTAGCTTGTTGGTTAATGTCTGCTGATATTTCGGGTCGCTCCCTGGCTTATTACAGCCGCTTATCTCCCTTACAACTGCCCTAGTGGCTTGGTCACCGACTCGTTCATTTATCTCGTGGATGTTTCCCCATAACTCGTTACTTTCCCAATAGGACTTTTGGACATTACCTTTACTCTCTAATCTTCCTTTTCACCTACAGTTTCCATGGCTTTAAACATGGCAGGTATACATCGCAATCTATCAGCTCTCTCCAACGCATCGACCATATCCCGAACAAGACTCCAGCCGCATTTAAAAGCAACTCAGCAATCAAGCTATTCTTGCCGAAATACTCTTAGTCCTGAGCCATTTGAGCCTGATTCTGGATTGATAAACAAACTCAAGCCAAAAATCGATCCAAATGATACTTCTCGACACTACGTTTTTGGATATGGCTCATTAATTAATCATAAATCTCGCCTTCGCACATTCTCTGAGCCCACCGTTGCATTTCCTGTATCAGTCAAGGGTTTGCGACGAAGTTGGAGCTACCGCTGCTCTCGCCGTCATTATACCGCTGTAGCCGTCAAACGCTGCTCTGATCCATCCGTTAAAACCAATGGTGTTTTAATCCCCATCAATCATCCTGTCAATGACCTCGCACTTTTAGACGATCGTGAAAAAGACTATGTTCGCTCCATCATTTCACTTGACGATATCGAGTTCTACTCTGAATCGCATAAACAGCAACTCATCTCTCCAACCCTTTATGGGCAACGTGTTGTTATCTGGCTTTATGAAGACCCAACTGGTCACATCAGCACTGCGAAAACGCATACACCTTGCATTCATTGCCCCATTCCGCAATCCTACATTGACTGTATGATTTCTGGATGTCTTGAATTTGGAATTCATTTTGCTCAACAGTTTGTTGCTTCTACTGATGGATGGGAAGGTACTTGGCTAGACGATCGGTTTGCTTCAGACGCATTAAAAAAGTATGTTCAAAGACGAGAAATTGGTGAGGTATTGGTAGACGAAACTCGTATTATTGTCGATTGGTTGCTTGAAAGTTTGCTACCGTATCAATATGCTTCTAGACTGCGTCCCGCTATCACTGATAAATAAACTTACTTTTTACTGCCGTATCCACGTAAAATAAAACCTTTTATGTATTTATCTTGTATTGCTGTATGTTGCTCCGGAATAAACAATGGCTAAATGGTTGTTGAGAATTGATGATTTTATTGAAGCTGTATTGTATCCTTAATATCAGATACCTTGCGATCTAGTTCAAAAAAGAATTTCAGGAATGAATGTTGATTCCATAATGGTCATTTGGTGTTTGAGTTGGAGGTTGAAAAGATGACAAGAATATGGAATGTATTGGAATAGAAATGTGAGCATTTGCTGTATTTCTATACAAAAACTAGACAAAGACTAGTTAAAGACCAGCAAGATTGGCACTCATCAAACATGAGATTGTTTATCATATATTTTAACTTTGGTGGCTTATTCTACATGAATGCATGGCTGTAAAAAGTATAATTTGTTCATTAGTTGACAATATTTAAGGCCTGTGACGTGTTTTAGATACTGGACTGTATTTTGGAGAGTGGACTGTATTTTAAATTCTGGCGACTCGCAATCCAACTGTAGCAGCAATCTAACCCATAATGCTCAGTGTTAGTAGTAGACAAAGGATGTCTGCTGCTACCCGCCGCTTCACTGGCCTTGTTGGTCTGATTTCACATGCGATTCCTTCATTTTGTTCCTCCATTCCTCCTGTTCAAACTGCTGCTAGTTGTGGTGAGTGAATTCAATGAATCCATTCAGTTTTCTTTCAAATGTGAATCGAATTCATTAGTCGACGATATCTTCAAATGCTCATGAGATCAAATGAATAGAAAACCCAAACCATTCATGTCAACTCATGTTCATTACTAACCTGTCTGACTATTTTTAAATTATATTTTGGACCATCTGGATGTCTTGAATCCGTATTGATTCTGCCAAATATATACAAATGATGGTGTTAATGAACCAAGCTGGATTTCATACTGGTTTGGTTATACAGAGTAGATTTCCTGCTCAAATTAAACGAATCTCTCGCAAGTCGCATGAAAGAAATCTACTCAAGATTGCTCAATTGAAGGCCAAACTAGGCGAAAAGTATCGACCACTTGGTAGAGAAAAGCGATTCTCTCCCCACACAGATCGCAGATCACCATCACAGGCATCACAACCACCTCGGCCTATTCCAAAACCAGTTCGTCTTACTCCTTTTCTTGTCTCCAAATCCAACTACCGTCCTCTAGACATTGTCCCGGGTAATATTGATAACGTGCTAGTCAAATCAAAGGCATGGCTGGATGAGATCAAGACCACTGCAGAAAGTGCCTCGGCTTCTCAATCCACCTCTCAATCTGCTAATATGGGTATTAGACAAAGAGCATTTAAAGCTGAAGTCAAAAATGTTGTGAACGATCACACCACGACATTAAAACTCCCTAATGCAGCTGTTTCAAAAGTGCCCGAATCGATCACTAGCGAGATCAAAAACAAGGTGCATTCTCGACTCATTACAAAGCAATCTACTCTTGGCTCCAAGGTTGAAGATGTGAAAACTGAGTCCAATTCTACACCTGATCTGCCCATATTTGAGCCTACAACTGCTGTTGGACCATTTTATCGATATGGACTAACGCCCTCGGATGTAGAGACAATTCTTTCCATCACACCAGAGGTTCTTGTAAATGAGGGGCAAATTATTGATGCAGAGCGCGCAGAGGAGCAGGCTGAAATGGTGCGTCGCATTATCAGTCTTGAGAATGGACGTGAAAGCACTATTCGTAAATTCAACATTGCTCGATCTATTGAAATCTTTCAACGTATGCCTGGTGATACTGGCAGTCCTGAAGTGCAAGGTAAAGTTATTTCGATCGAGTGCAGAGTTGATTGTGCTGGTTGTAGTTTTGACCTGTAATTTGAACCCATGAACCATATAGCTGCAATATTTAGTGTGCGCATTGCAGCTATCCAGAATCACTTGAAAATAAATCGCAAGGACAAGTCTACGAAGCGACAGCTTCAGAAATGGGTTTCCAAACGAGAGAGCATTCTCAAGTATTTGCGTCGCAAGGTAATGGATAACTTGAATCTGAGGTGTGTATACAGACGACTAACTGCACACATGACATGTTTAGAATCTGTCAACATTTGTCAAGACATGCCAGAGTATTGGAGTAGATCCTGACACTATTCGAGTATAGAGATTGACACTTGAAATAATAAAATGAAACGGAAAACAATGATTACTATTGTGCAACTTTGCTCGGAATAATTGATTTTAATCTAAATATCAAGCAATCAAGCTGAACACATCCTGTTCAAGTTTGCCATTCCAACAGTTTCAAGTACATGACTCGTAATCGGGTGTTTGGTGCTGCAGGCACTACTATAGAAACTGCTTCTAATTCAACTGCAAATGTCACTCCTGTTGATACTCACCATGATAACCAATACCACTCTGACAACCGTGCACACGAACAAACGGTTGATGTTGATCATGAAGATGAACAAGACACAGAAAGCTCCACTTTACTTGGCCATCCATCCACTATGCCTGCAGAGACCAGTACATTTGGGTTTTGGTGGAGATGGATACTGAATCAAACATCAATGGCGGTGCTACTGTCCATTCTTGTTTTGGTTTTGGGCAGTTGTGTTGGAATTCATTTTACAATGCTTAATGGACTGGGACTGCCTGGCAAAGTGCGATCTACTACAGATCCGCTAGTCTTGGATGGATCACATCCATCTGGTGAACTGGCCTGGCAGCACATCACCAACATCACTACTCATCCACACATGTTCAACAGCCACGAAAATCTCCGTGTCCGTCAGTACATTATCGACCAACTGGTAGACATGAAGAACTCTCTGCAGTCCATGTACTGTGCTCCTACATCTGATCCTCTTTTTGTTCTCGACACTTTTGACAACACTAATATCATGGTTGAAAATTCGAATTTTGCTCACAATCCTCCTGTTATCGACTATTACGAATCAAATAACGTTCTTGCCAAGATCCAGGGTCGATCTGCTACCCATGAGGCTCTGTTGATCTCTGCTCACTTTGACTCGGTCATGCTGGCTCCCGGTGTTACTGATGACGGAATCTCAATTGGATCTATGCTGGCTACATTGCAGAGTCTACTGATTCGTCACTGTCGATCCCCGTTTAAATACGACATCATTTTCAATTTTAATAATGGCGAAGAAATGGGCTTGTTTGGTGCCAATGCATTTGTCAAGCATCCTTGGATCAAGAATGTCAAGGCGTTTATGAATTTAGGTAGTATTTTGGATGATTGCATGACGGTGTTGATCTGGAATCGTCATTTTATTAATCCAACCTTTTGCAACGACAGAGGGAACTGGTGCTGCTCAGGGTACTCGCAGTGTTCTCTTTCGAACAAACTCGCTGCCTATTGTTGAGGAATACATGTCCAAAGCTCCGTTTCCACATGCTTCTGTTATTATCAATTATCTCATGGGTTCAGTTCCAAGTGAAACTGACTATCGTCCGTATACTGTTGATGCTCGACTACCTGGTATCGATATTGCATTTAGTGCAAACCGATATCTTTATCATACTCCAAAGGACGATATTGCTCACGCCAAGCCTATTGCTGCCCAGCACATGTCAGAGAATATATTGAGTGTCGCATTGGGTCTTTGCGAAAAAGACTCCATTTTGCCTACTCTTGGAATGTCACCAGATTTGTCTCACCAAGATACGACCGTGCTTCCTGTACCAAATTTTGCTTACTTTGATATTGCCGGTGCCATTGGTATTGTCAGATCACACGGCGCGCTCATATTTTCGTCAAGTGCACTGCTATTGATATGTGTAGGAGTGTCATTTCTCAAACTCGCTACCCTCTATTATCGTATCGGATTTCATCGCTTAGTCAATCAAGGAATAAGACCATTTTTTGAAGCCATGGCACTAGTGTGGTTTTCATTCTTGTCTGTTTTCTTGGCTGTCTATATGAGTTCTTGGATCAAACACCACTTTAACCCTGCATCTTCTTATGGTCGACCTCTATTGTCGTTTGCAGACACAATCTCACTTATTTTGGGATTATTTTGTCTTATTCAAATCATCTGGCCTGTGATAGCTGTAAAACTCGGTCTACGTGACTCTGCTCCACTGATCACGTATCATGAGTTACCATCTGAACCTCCACACATTGATTACTACGAAGATGTTGCCAATCAAGAGCAAGTGCCTGCGTCTCTCCAAACAGATGTTGAGCATGGACAGTCTGAGGATGCAAATTCATCATCCCCAATTCAAACAGGTGGCCATATTCTGCAATCTATGAGGGTTGTGACTCCTTCAGGCCCATCACTGGCCGCATGGCTTCCATTTGGTCTTCTTGGATTCTGGCTCTCACTTTGTACTGTCAACCTTGTGTTGAATCTTTTCAACATTTCGGTCATGTTTTATGTATACATTTGGGCCTTTTACTCTGGCGTTGCCTGTATTCTGACGCTTGCACTCGAATCTTCTTTGCGTCGCTGGTATCGTCTTGGTGTTGCTGGGTTTGAACACGAAGCAGATCAGCCTGAAGATCATTTAAAGTATTCTATTTTAAAATACTACAACCAGTATTTTTGGCTTGTGAATTTTGTCATTGCAACTGTAGTTCCTTTTATTCAAACATTTGATTTGCTGCACGAGTGTCTTTTGGATGTGCCCAACATGATTGCTGAAGGCTTATCTGGCCCAATATACGATACTATTGTTTCCGGTCTTGTTGGGCTGTTGCTCCTCAATACACTTCCTCTCCTATCTCTTTGCCATCGTCGATTAACAGCATCTGTCATGATTTTCATTTTTTGCGTGCTATGGCTGACTGCTGTCATGACAAACGGATTTTCTCCCGATCGTCCTCAAGGTATGACATATATGGAAGCGTGGGATATCAGCAACACCACCAACTCTACATCACCTTTGGTTACTATGAACATTATGTCTACCATGCAAGCTTCGGAATGGAAACATCGTATAACAACTAACCCAGCCATCATGAGTCAGCTATCGACAGTTTTACCCAAAATGGAACTAATTTGCGATAATAGTGACAATACATGCTCTGTGCTGAACGCCGCTTTGCCAATTATTGATCCAAATCTCCCTACAGACCAATTAATTACAATTGACATGATGGTGAGAGAAACTAAAACTGCCATGACAGTGGAAGGTACATTTGTTGGTTTGCCCAACTCGCGTATTTGTCAACTCTCTACTACAAGTGACGAAGCAGGCGAGTTCTTGGTCAAAGGCGCATGGATCGATCCCTTCCAAACTGGAAAGTGGATCACAGGATCTAATAGTACAATCGAAGTAGTTGGTCGTCCCACACCAGGAGTCGACTATTCTGTTCCTCTAACAATTTATCGTCGCGAGTTTGAAGGACAGGGTGTGAAGGATAAAAGGATTCGAGTTCCGTTTATTCTTCAGTTTGATCGTGGCCAAAACATAAACAAGGTTCGAATCAGTGTCACTTGTTTTTTGGGAATCCAAGTAAGCCCTACCTTTAAGGTTTTTGAAGAAAGTTTGCCTGATTGGATGATGTTCAAGGATGGAAGTCTGAAGCGACGATTGTTGCCCTTTCCGTTTGGCCGTGCTGGAGCTGTTGGGGTCACAAAAACATTTTTTGTCGTCTAGTCTGTTGTACTGTTTTTTTATTTACAACCGTATTCATGTAAATGAACTACTTGTGGTGGCCGTCTCTGGAGTAAATAATGGTTGAGTACCTGTGCTTTCCTATCAGAGATTGCTACTTTAATAAACAATGACCATCATATAATACATAGTTTTGAACCAGAGTGATTCTCATTTGGCATAGCTGTACATTGTACAATTACCAGATGCATCCACTACAATCCAGATATTGAGTTTGTTGTCAAACTCTATTCTCTTGTATTCTAAATATCTCGGATGCGTCTGTGCTCTAGTTCAAGAAAAGATTGCAACGATGCATGCCAATTACTAGGCGGCCAGTCAAGTTTGTCAAGGGTTTAGAGTACACAATGCTGATCAGTAAATTTGGCACCCATCACCATGAAGCCGGTCATGTATGATGCACTGACACTTCAGTTTCGTTTACGTGATATGGCCGTACTGATACAAATAGTCAAAGTTTCAAATTCGGGTATCTTTCTAGCTTGAGTCACCTTCCGATTTCAATGCGCAAATGGGTCGAACTAGCACATGCACTTTGCAAGATTGTATTCAGACCCCTACTTTTGTTTGGAATGATATAAAGCAGATAGGATCCAGGCTTATTGGATGCATTGATCCATTACCAATCAGGTGTATATCGTCGAGTCCAGCAAACCATCTACTATCTGTTGATAGCATACTGCCCATATATATACTTGTTTAGCACTTTGTTAATTCTATCCTTGCCTCGCCGTTTGCTCAAATTCATTTGGAGCTCCAATCCTGAAGATTCCAAGCAATTATCACCAAACTTGATAATATACACCATGTATCAGACTTTTTCGCCGTCAGTGTTGGTTGCAAAAGACTCGTGCAAAACTTCCGAAAAAATGCATGCTTATGCACCAGCCCTTTCGATTTCAACACTGGTTCCCAAAGCTCACAATGTACAAGCTTCGAACATGTATCGGAACGGGTGCGCTTTCGGAAAGGTGGCTGCAGATCGGAGACGCGTCTATTTTCAACAAACCTGTCAGCGAGAATTGGATCATTCACAACATTATACTTCATCGCACCGCTATCCGCATCCGTCCTTGGAGCATTGGTATTCCTTTCCTCAAGCCAATACCAATTCTCAGTTTACAAGACCGATTCCTATATATACACCCAATTCTCATTCTCGTCAGGGAGTTTATTCTCGTGTATACCCCACTCCTGCTTTCCAGCCTGACACTACTGATCTTTATCATTCCGGCCAGCATAGGACTCTGCGCAAAACCCATCCCAACTCTCTTGATCATTACAATATGCCTAAACAACTCTCCTCTGTCCAAAAACAGCGCTCATCTACTGCTGGTATTACCAAAGAACGAAAGTATATCTGTGAATGGGAGTCGTGTGGAAAAAGTTTTTATCGCCGTACAGATGTTACTCGACACATGAAGATTCATTACGATTTACGTCCATTTGCATGCGATTGGACTGACTGTAGTAAAAGCTTTCGCCAGCGTTCTGCTCTTCGTATACATAGAAGGTTGGTATTCATCTTGTTTTCTTTATATACTACTTCTTGAACGCAGTAGGCCATTGGGCCAAAGGTGGGCCATTTCACCACTGCACATTATGCAGATCTGGGTATTGATGGGCATTGTGAACATTGTGAACATTAAAACAGCACCAAGTTTTGGACTGGGTGTTGTGTTCCAAACCATTACGTTATAGCTCATTGCAGCAATACATGTTTATTTTCTCTACTCTACACTATTGATCAATAAGACTATGGCGTCATGAATGAGTTGAATTTGAGCTTTGACTCATGTCACAAGCTATTAGCGCACCTTATCTTGATGCATGTTCCGACCCGATTCCGAAATCCCATTCCAAGCCTGCTGAGGATTCCCAACAATGTGCTTCAAAACTCGACTATTATTCTCTTTGCTCACTTGAATCATCTGCTCGTTGCCAATCTATTGGCCACTGCTTAGTGGCTCTATTTCCAATGCACAAGAGCATTGTCTGGACTGCATGTTCCTGTAGAACCATGCATCATATCGACTGCTCAGCATCGAAAATACCCGTGTTCATGTTCTACTGTTGGTTTGTTCTGATAAATTTGGCTTCCGTTGATACTCCTTGGTGCTTGTTTCTAGGGTCAATGTGGTAATAGTGCATTATTAAGGTTAATTCAAAGGATTTGTCCTGCTTGGATTCAAGTTGAACCCCTTGAGTGTGTTTTAGCCTGTTGGTGTTTAGCATGGCTTGAATGCTTGTTTGTTACTGTTCATGGCTGTTGTATTGAAGAGACTCATGGTCACATCATAACAGCTTATGATCCACCAGTACTATCAGATTTTCGAGTCTGTTCCCCATGAATTGGGTATGGATGACCACACATTGGAAAATGTTGGGAAATAACACTTGAATTGTAATTCATCCACTTTATGACTTAAACTTGCATTATTGAATAGATTGCTAACTGCCTGTTGTAACCTGAATACAAACAGAACCCATACAGGTGAAAAACCCAATGCATGTCTTTTTGCTGGATGCAACAAAACATTCAACGATTCTTCATCTCTTGCTCGCCACAGACGTATTCATTTGTCAAAGACGGGCAATGGCAATCGCGCTTCTACTGCCATTGTCCAAAAATCCAAAAGCAGTTGTGCTACAATGGTAGATTCCTCTTCTAAGCATAGTGAGCGAGATGATGATGACGATATGAGCAGCGATGACTTGTTTACTTCAGAAAGCGAAGGCAGAATGGATAGTCAGCAACATGCTGATTCTCATTCACTATCAAATGCCTCGACTCCTACCAAGAATCCTTCATCTATGCTGCCTACAATCAGTCTTTTTCTTTCACCTCAAAATGAGGCTGCTCACAAAGTCAAATCTGCTTTCTCGCCAATCAGCGATCAAGATCCCGATTACCCTTCGTCCATGTGCGGATCTCCAATTGAGGCTGCGTCGGGTCTTTTATACATGTCTAGATCACTTGGTGGTTATGCTTCTCCGTCTCAAACACATTCTTACTCAAAAACTGATTATGCGTGTCGTGCTGACGAATATCAGGAATCTGCTTATTCCAGGAATCAAAGGGCAGCCATGGCATGTGAAGATGTGTTGTCGCCATCTTCCCTTGTCTCTCATCATGCCTCTTCTCCTATATATAGTGATCCTCAAACACCAGGATCGCTATTGCATTGGGTTGACAAAGCAGAGTTGGTACACTATCCAATGCCACTTACTCCAGCCATCAGCGATTTGGGCGATGCATTGGATTTTCAGTCAAGCGACTCTGACTATCGTATCCTACCCCATTTATCCGGAAGCATGCCATACAGCAAAGCTTCTGACTACAATCAACTCCAACATATAAATGGTTCACAATTCCAACCGCGTCCTGAACCAACCCTGGTAAAACCTCAGTCCGATACTATACCTGCTCTGCGACTTCCATCTATCCAGCAACTACTCTCGGCGACTTTGAACCACGATACATATGCATAGATACTTGTTTTAAATATGATTGACTTCATGGCTGATTAGTCAATTAGGTTTCACGTTACATTCTCCTACATCCATACATTAACCTTGTAAATACTACATTTTCATTTTTATGAATTAAATTCTTTTTTTGTTTGAATTATAAATTTTAAATCGAAAACTAAAAGCTAGACCATGAGTGTTATCTTTTACAGTCGTACCCACGTAAATGGTTCATTTTATGTGGGTACGACTGTTTTTTGGGATAAATATGGTTGGATACTTGCGCTTTTTATTGGACATTGGCCTAGTAAGCATTCTCGATTCTTCATCAATACAACGTCCACCATACAATACAGATTGTAGTGTTGTATTTTAAAACGTGTATGTTTATGATCTAGTTTAAACAATATATTGCACATCCCAAGAATATAATGTTGTTTCCACGCTGACCATACAATATCATACAATACTTTGAAGATTAAAAAGGTGTGAATGCTGCATCAAACATCCACTTTGTATTCTTGTACAAAAATGAGCAGATCAAAACCAGTAAACTGGAACTCATCCAACATGAGATGAGCTATTCATGTGTTTTGATTTTAGCGTTCCATTTTAGGTGAATATGACTGTAAATCAACATTTCAAAACATAGCAAGTTCAAAATTAGATGTGATGGTTTAATCCGTATCAGTTGTAATAACATCTTCATACATCAGCGCATAATGGTATACCACGCAACCCATTCAAAGTAAAAATGGTATTGGGGTTATCTACGACGTGGGCTTTGGCTGCGTCGTCTGTCATCACTTCTTCGGTATCTGTCGTTGCGACGATCATCTCTCTTATCGTCTCGTCTATAGTCTTTACGATGACTTTTTCTGTCATCATACCGATCGCGAGATCTACGGTCGTCACCTGTATGAGAGGATCTACGATCATCGCTTGGACTGCGAGATGAAGCAGCAGAATCTTTTAGCCCATCCAAGCTTTTCCCTTCAATGATTCCTTCAAGTGCAGCCCACCGTCCATCATCTTCATCATCATCATCATCGTCTTGCTTAACTACATCTACCGTCTTTTTGATTCTTCCAAAATCATCCACTTCGATTGCAGGAGTTGTCGCAATAGGCTTGGAGGGTATTTTAGTCGACTTTTTCCTCACACGTCCAAAGTCGTCGTATTGGTCTTCAGTGGTATCAAACCTACTCGATCTATACTCGACCACATCATCACGTTCTTTAAACCCACCAGCTCGGCCTTCACGGTCGCCAATCATGCCTGGTTTGGGTGCATTGCACTATAACAAAGCAGTGAGTAGAAAGCATAAGAACAACGGGCTAAAAACTAGAAACCAGTACACACCTGGTTACATGCTTCTCGTTTCTGCCAATTGATATTACAACATGCTGGACATTTCCAATCCTAATTATAACCCAAACATATCATCCAGTCGAGACAATAGTTTTAAATGTACCGAATTGAGCAGTGGATTCAACCAATCATGAAACACAAAGCAATAAGTCAGTTACAAGTAATGAATGAAACTACATGTAGAGCTTCACCTGATGAGGCAGCAATTGAAAGTAATATGAACAGGTAGCATATAAAGTACTTTTGGACTGAATAGACTGTTCATCACGGCTGGTTGATTGAATTACAGAAATCAATAAATGTGTTGCAAAGTTTTTCGTTTATTTCCATACATAAAACGCCAGTATTATCAAATCCAAATCCAAATTCAAATCAATCATCCCAGAATATGACTAATTTGGACAGCTTTAATGCGCTTTTCTATTAAACATTGACTTGAATAAACATTCATCTTTTTAATCTTCAAGACATTGTATGATGCTGTATGATATTGTATGGAAACAGCGTTATATTCTTGGGATGTGCAATGTATTGTTTAAACTAGATCATAAACATACACGTTTTAAAATACAACACTACAATCTGTATTGTATAATGGACGTTGTGTTGATGAAGAATCGAGAATGCTTACTAGGCCAATGTCCAATAAAAAGCGCAAGTACTCAACCATATTTATCCCAAAAAACAGTCGTACCCACATAAAATGAACCATTTACGTGGGTACGGCGGTGATATTTATTCTGATAGACAATTTCAGAAACTTGCCAAGCCAAATATGTAAAAAAGTACAAAATTCAACAATGATATCAAAAAATGAGTGCCACCACAAATGTGTAAGCACCAAACAGTTTTTTAAACTGCTTGACCACTTTTAAATCTACGATTTGCATAAGTTGAAATGATTGGATGCAACAGATGATTGTTACAATCTTGTACACTTTTGTGCACGGTTATACCAGTTCAAGAATCTGCAAGTCAAGGATGTCAGGTGGATAGCTTGAAACAGATTGAAACCCATACGACGCGTTGGTACCCTTTCTTCAATCCGCCCATTTGTGGCTTTATTCCCACTTGTGTATTTACAGCCATATCCATGTAAAATAAAACCTTTTATGTATTTATCTTGTATTGCTGTATGTTGCTCCGGAATAAACAATGGCTAAATGGTTGTTGAGAATTGATGGTTTTATTGAAGCTGTATTGTATCCTTAATATCAGATACCTTTGCGATCTAGTTCAAAAAAGAATTTCAGGAATGAATGTTGATTCCATAATGGTCATTTGGTGTTTGAGTTGTAGGTTGAAAAGATGACAAGAATATGGAATGTATTGGAATAGAAATGTGAGCATTTGCTGTATTTCTGTACAAAAACTAGACAAAGACTAGTTAAAGACCAGCAAGATTGGCACTCATCAAACATGAGATTGTTTGTGTAGAGGCACCCTTATTTAGTGTTTCATTTTTACGTGAATACGGCTGCTATCGAGTTGAATTCGAGTTCTGTTAGACTCTTTTTTACCATTGGAATTCATTGACTTGTCGCAGACTCTTGAACTGGTTACAACTTATTTCTTACATACATATACATTCCACTTGAACTTGTTTCATCCGGTCAACTATTTTATTTCAGTATTGATTTTTACTAAACAATCGTCAATTGCATAACAATGCTACAAGCTCGTAACGTCGTTCGAAGCCGCAAACACAATGTGCACACATTCAATTTGCTTGTGGTTGGACATGCTCGTAGTGGAAAGTCTTCGTTTGTATCGACATTGTATGAGACTCTCAGAGTGCATAAACTGCATTACCCTACACAACCAACCGATGCATCCAACAATGCTACCAGTGATGGTAAAAGCATCTTGACTATAGGTAAAGACTCGAGTGGGTTGGCGTCTGGCACTCACTCGCTGTTGGAACTGCAGTTGCAAGCCATGTCACTTGTGCCAAGTGATTCGCCATTACCTCCAAAAACTTCCCTTCATCCGATGCCTTCTCCTGCTAGCATCGAATGTGATATGCCATACGATCCCAGCGAGCGTCTGTTACTCAACTTGATCGATTCGCCTGGTCTTGAAGTCCCGCCTACGTTGTTTTCTGCCTCGTCCTCTTCTGCCGATGCTACTGCTGAGCGGATTGCTGCGACTTACCTTGAATCTATCATCAGATACATCGAGGCGCAATTCGAGGCAACTCTCATGGAAGAGTCCAAAGTGCGCCGCAATCCTAAATCTCCCGACTTTCAAACTCATGCCTGTGTATACATGCTAAGTCCAGACATCATCATTGCATCCAATGGTCTTAGTCTAGTCGATCGTCATGTGCTTACTTCTCTGTGTTCCAGAGTCAATGTGATTCCTTGTTTAGCCAAATCTGATTTACTGACTGTCAGGCAACTCAAGTCTGTGCGATCGTTGGTTGCTAATGATTTGGTAGAGTACAAAATTCCCGTATACAGTTTTCCTGAAGATGATGATGACGACGAACCACTGCAGGCCGATCCAGATGCACCATTACCACTCAGCACGTTTGTTCCATTCCGTCTTGTCAACTCTGAAGTCACTCAAGTGGATGATGAAGCGATATTTACTGGCTTGGTTGTAGACAACAAAAAGATTCTTGGCAGAGAGTATACATGGGGTGTTGTGGAGGTGGAAAACACTGAACATTGCGATTTTATTGAGCTCAAAAATGCACTATTTGGAAGCCATTTGGAAGACTTGAAACTCAGTACTCGCGAATCGTTGTATGAAAAATGGAGAACTGAGCGTCTAATGGATGGAAACGTTAGTGTCAAGAGCCCGATATCCCGCATGTCTACTCTACTTAACCGTACATCTTATATGGCTCGAGAAGAATAGGATCTCGTTGATTAGAGCCGTTTTTGGTCTGTACTGGAATGAGGTGCGAGTCAACCTCAGTAAATTCCCGATCATTACTTTATCCATAATTCTATCGAGTTACTCCTTGGCTCTTCTTTTCATATAAAATCCTCTTACATTCTGTCTTGAAATAAACCAATTCAAACTTTCTCTTGTTCGACTGATTGCCATGAAGCCTCGTGACGGCATTCCATTGGGTTGAATTTTGTCCAGAATTGTATCGAATTTATTATATAATTGTTGAGTTCATTGAGAGTATAGTGACCATGTCTGCAGCCATTGAAGCCGCTGTACTCACTCCTGCTTCGGATACACAATCCATAACACATTCAACTTGTACGAGGCCCAGTTTATCTACTCACACTCTAGGCTCAGAAATGGCATTCTTAAACCCATCTAGAAAGCAACCAACACAACCTACCAAACTTCCTCCTCAGTTTGAAGACTTGTATGTTGTCTTGTTTAAATTCTTCTCAATGTGAATGTTTATTCAAGTCTGGATTGTTGCATAAACTGCCAACAATCGGACGTTTGAATTGGCATGAATGGTCTATACAGGCTATCAAGATCTAACATACATACAAAGTTTTAAATGTTTTATATGCTTTGAGAGTCTTCAAAAACCTGTCATGTGTCCAGGATGCTCTAAAGTCGGATGTGAATCCTGCGTCAAGGTATTCATTCATTTTTCAAAACCTCGACTCGTTCAAGTATCAAATAGAGCCAAATAATCAATACATTATATACTTTTTTAAACTATAGAAATGGCTCCAGGAGGAAAAAAGTCAATGTCCGCACTGTCGAGCTCCGTTAAATCCATCTCAGCTTGTTCACTGTCGATTCATGGACGATCTGGCACAGGTAAACATGCAAGTTGGATTCATTGTAACGTTGAATGATTCATTCACGTTTGTTTATTTGCTTGATAATGGATGGATTAGCAATTGAATCTGCTTGCGTTTGCATCTCCAAATTCCACCCAAGACGTATGTCCCGATCACTCTGCACCCATGTACTACTACTGTCACGATTGCCAAGAAGGTCTGTGTGCTGACTGTGCGGTGATTGAAACAAAGGTGATTTTACCTTTTTAATGTACTTGATGTGTTTTCATGACAACATCACTCATCACGTTGCTGCTGGGCCGAGTCTAGCACAAGAATCATTCATTTGAACATCTCCATGCAGTATATAGACGCCATCGAGCAAAAATTGACGAACGTGCAAAACTCTTGTATTCTCGGTTTAATCAATATGGCGAGTTGCTGGCATATTTAGACGACCATGCACTTGCCATTTCTCATGCACGACAAACTGTAGGTTAAGCAATTGTACTTTAAACTGATCTGGGTAAACGTATATTAACTCGGAATCTTTTTTAAAGGCATTGGCAGTACATCAAACTTTATGGGAAGAAGATGTGGAAAGTATTGTCAAGCAAGAAACATTCCACATGTCTCTTCTTTCAGAATGCAAGCAAAAAGTAGTAATGCAGGCTGATCAACTGCGGGTTACACTAGAAACGTTAGAGAGCCAAATGGCTGGTGCATGGCAAACCGACATTATTTCTAATTCAGCCGACATTATTCACTTGGTTGATCAAGCAAGTAGTGAATTGGAATTTAAAATTAAAACATGATTTCTTAAACCAACTCATGCTAATCCCAATTTCACTTTATAGCTTAATCCAAGCCCCATAAGCGAATTTAATATCCCACCCGAATCAATGGAGTTTGATAGCTCTACCATTCCTGCTTATGATCACGGTGTATTTCTTATTACCAATTTCAAGTCAAAAATGCAATTTTCATCGCCCATCTACTCGGACACCATTTCAGTATCTGGACTTGAGTGGCGACTAAAAGTTTATTGTTCTGGAAATGGAGTATGTAGAAATGAGTCTTTATCAGTGTTTGTTGAGCTAGTAAAGGGTGTGGCTCAGCCATCCAAGTATCAATACCGTGTGGATCTGGTAAGTATTGTACCTGGTATTTTGTCGACTATTATTACGATTGATACATACATTTTGTTTTTTACTAAACTTGGATTTATATCATGGGATTGAATTTTTTACTTGACAAGATCAATCAATCTCGGGGAGTGATAAAGAAACGAAATATCTCGCGCGAATTCAAGTCCGAGTTTTCTGTAGGCGAGTGCTGGGGATATAATCGTTTCTACAATTTGGATCTTATTGAACAGGAGGGATTTTATGACTCTGACAGTGATTCTATCAAATTGGTTTTTTACGTGCGCGCTCCCACTTATGCTCAAAAGTGTCGTGATTTAGAATTTTACATATCCAATCTCAAGCTGCATCATGACAATACGCCCCGCATCAACGAATCAACCACAGTAAAGGCAAACGTCTCGAATACGACCGAATTGAACCCTGACCAAACAACAAGTGATGCCATGTTACCCGAGTGTGATATCACTGAAATGGGTGAGCATTCACATGGACTGGAGCGTGCTGTTACTGTGCAAATGCCTGTATATACTAGTGTAGCATATGCTCCTTCCGCTGAGCCTCCTACTGATGCCAATACTCAAATGCCTTTAACTGGAGTAGAAACATCACTTTCTCACCATCCAACTTTACATGAAAACACTGCCAACTGTAACTTTCCCACTACACGACCGCTGAATTATCATTCTAGTTTGCAACAACTCAGATCTGAAATGACCGAGTTTGAGGTGAAATATGTTTTTTTGTTTAAAATGGATTGTTTTGTTTAGTGCGTTTTGCTGACATGAGTGTTTGATTATTCGAATATTAGGATTTTCTCGGTACAGTGACAAACGAAATTGAGTTGTTTGACACTATTGTAAAATCAACACCAAAAGAATTAAAGTTGGATTGGACGGATGAGTCTATAGAATCCGAGGTTGGCCAGCAAGTGACTTTACCCCCACCTGCTGCATCCAGGTCTTTTATAACATCTGGCTCTCATAGCGATGCTGGCTCGCCATACTTGTTTTCAAATACAAATCAAGCCAAATATAATTCATATGTTGAATCCAGTACAAAATCACGCACAGTTCCAAGATCCAGCACATCATCTCATTCAGCAACTCGACCCAACTGTCCATCGACTCAGTCCATTACCTATGATATTCCTTCATTGGACAGCACATTATTGCGGTTAAATGCGAATGATTCTACTAGCAATACATCACCATTGAATGAGATGCGCAAGATTGATTCACGAGACGGACTAAACCTGGTTCAATACGCTGCGTTGCGCGATTTAATCATGACAAGATCATCAGCATTGTTGAACGAGTCTGATGCTATTTTGAGTCGATTTCCTGGACTATGTAGTCTGAATACAACTGGTGGTGAGTTTTTTATCGAGTATCTTGTTAGACTGGTCTTTAAATATGTTTACAAATTAATCAAACTATGGATTGTTTTAGACGATTCATATTTACAAGATTCATCTTGGATAAATCCGAGACGAGAGCATAATGATATGGGCCATCAGGATGTCAGTTCGATCATATGGGCAGCGAATGGCAGTTTGGACGAGTCAGGGATAGATGGAGCGATTGATTCACTTGAAGATGATGCGAGTATTTCACCAGCTAGTCAAGTTGATCAAAGTGAAGATAGCGAAGATAGTGAAGATCAGTACAGAGATGTTCATTCTGATACGTACGACGACATGACAGAGCTGGAAGACGAGACGCAGGTTTATAACAGTGATGCTGAGCATCGTCATGGTGCTGAACTGTACAGCCTAGACTTTTCCGAGATTCTAAACGAGACCACACTATCTCCATATTCATTAGATCGACGTGGATATTCATATCCTACACTTGCAGGCAATGAAGATTAAGTCGAGATTTTATTGTGTAATGTGAAGAGAAATAAGCTAGAAATTGAATTTCAAAACCGAGTCACGTGAAAGGCGTTTTGCAGATATTCAAAATGCACTCGACTAGCAAGCTCATCCATCAGAAGAAACCAGCCATGAACTTGTTTAGAAAACCCAAACCCAAGACATTCTCCATTTATGACTTGCCACATCCGCTTACACCACCACAGGCTCTGATCGACCGCACAGTTCCTCCAGTCCCAGAGGGAGTGTGTGACATTCAAGACCCACTGTCTGTTGCCATTTTTTATCATGAACTCAATCAACTGCCTGTAGCCTCATACTATTTCTCACTGTCTGCAGCCCAGGGAAACCCGTTGGGATTGTTTCTGTTTGCTATATCCATGCGACATGGATGGGGTATGCAACGTAATGAAGAAGAGGCAGTTCGTCTACTTCAAGTTGCCGCTAATCAAGCAACAGGTGAAGTGGCGAAGCAAGCAGCTAGTCTTCGTCGTCTACGAAAACGATACAGCTTTGCAGGTGAGGGATCGATTCATAGTTCCAGCAACACTGAAAACAATGGCACAGACTCGAGTAGAGCTAGTGGATCTCCACATATTCCGGGTCGATCGTCATCCATCTGTGAAGGTACAACAGCTTCTCCATTAGCCACAAGTGGTAATCATGGAACTTCTGGTCCTCAAAAACTCCATCCTAAACGGGATACTCTCTCTCGAGCCAGTAAACAAAACTCTCCATCTCCTCCATCTCTCAACGAGCTTGTTTTGGCTGTTTATGAACTCGCTATTTCTTTCAAACAGGGTTGGGGCGTTCCCAAAAGCAAAATTACTGCAGTATACTATCTCAATATGGCTGCTGAATTGGGAGATCCTGATGCTCAAATGGAGTTGGCTGAATGCTACCTCCGAGGGGATGGTATCAAGCCCAACAAGCAAAAGGCTGCCTTTTGGCTTCGCAAGGCTGAACAACAAGGTGCCCGATTGGTGCAAATGCAATGGATTTGGAAGGATAAATACAATGTCGCTGATGAGGAAAAGGAAGAAGATTCAGACTAATCATCAACACACTCAAAGTGGTTGGGCTAATCTGTCAAGAAGATGGATTGCTGTTTGTAATAATAAAAATACTACTTTTTTGTCAACATTAATAATAAAGTACTGAATTGAATGTTTATTTCACAGCTGTATTCACATAAAATGAAAACTTGTATCTTGAATCAACTACTCTAATAATCCATGATTAAATCGTGTTTGTGCTAGCAATTCATTGCAGTCTCTAGAATTCCTCGATTTGATATCTGGAATTAAACTATCCCAATTCTTGAGTCATTTCCTGCATGTGAATGTAGCTGCAATCTGCACTGTTGAGCAGTTGGTAAACCGTGTCTAACCAGACAGTCGTTTTACAGAATGGAATCTTGTCTAGAATAATACGTGCATTGAGTTGAATAAAATTGGCGTACTTTATACACTGATGACAATGACAACTTTTTATCTTGTTTCCATTTCCATTCTCACCAGTCATAAATAACTGGAAATGCAATGTCTAGCAAACATGCAATTGTATTTGACATTCTTGTCTAGTTTTATTTTCGTGACCACGACAGTAAAACGCACGATTTGATATTCTTCAAACTGACCATTTCAATCCACTACAAAATGGCTGCTCACTCAGCATTCAGGATTGGACATCGCTACTTGGTTCATATGGGTCTTGTATCCCCATTTCAATCATCATTTCTGTGGACTAAATCTACTCTCCATTGTATGTCGGGGTTGCCATTGGCAGCATCATTTACTAGATCTAGATCGATTGCTGCAACCAACAAGACCGCATCACTATCAACCATGTCGAATAGTGTATTTGGATCAAAGCAGAATCAACTACCAATAAAAACTACTATCCAGTCATCTGTATTCACCATGCTGGTCAATATAAAACGCACTAGTTATCATCCCAATGGCATCCAACTCTGTTCTTTCACATCGATTTTGGGATTAAAATCTTGCCGATCCATGTCATCCATTGCATCAATTCATGCATATTTCCTTCCTATCAAAGCAGCTATTCAAAAAAGAGATTGGCCGGTATCTTTATTCCGATCCAACTTTCGCAACAATACTCAGAGGGAACTGTCTAATCAGAATCGTGATGTCTTTCAATGGATGGAAGATTGGAAAAAAGTGTTTGCTATTATCCTTATCATCAACATTGCTGGTGCGTAATCCGAACATGTTTATATAAGCAACTGCTCATCTCATTCAATCCTTTATTTTCATATGTTTCTAGTATTGCTTATGTGGAATAGTGCGAGATTCATGGCTGTGAGCATGAATGATGTATCAAGTTTGAGATGGATGGTGGACCATTTTACTGTAAGCGCTAAAGGACTTTTTCAAGAACACCGATTGTGGACTGCTATGACTTGCTGCTTTAGTCATTCTGATCTATTACGTAAGTGATGACAGTTTCCATCACGGTATGATTGAATCATTCTATACTAATTTTATCATCCAATCTACCATGATAGATTTTGGCATGAACATGTTTGTACTGTATTCTTTTATTCAGCCTGTAAGTCGATATTGGATGGATCTTGAATGCTGCATCGTTTAATCTAATACTTGAATGTAGGTGGTTTTATCACTTGGAGTTTCAACATTTATTGGATTGTATCTTGTATCGGGTATTGGATCCTCTCTTGCATCGGCACTTCATATTGCTTATCGACAATCTGTCCGAGATCAAAAGCGTCGCGATCATCCTTATTCCCAATGGGCTGCTCCAACACCCAATTACAACTCAATGGGAGCTAGTGGGTGTATTTCCGGACTTCTTTCATACTTTGTTCTTAGATATCCAACATCACAAATTCTGTTGTTTTTTGTTCTGCCAATGCCAGCATGGGCTATAGGTGGGGCTGCTGTAGCCTATGATATATATAGAACAGCTACCGATACAGGCGGACAGGTTGATGGTGCTGGGCATTTAGGTGGAGCACTTGTTGGCATTCTGTGGTTTTTAGCAAGAGCTAGATCAGGACGAGTCAGGTTTTAAAAGTCCTGATGATCCAACCTCGAATTAAACCATTCACGTCAAATGAAGCATTGAGTGAAAATGTCAACATACATAATAAACTGCCAATCTCATGAATGATCATCCAAACTACATTTTACTTTTTAAACTCTTGGAATTCTTTTAACGGTTGACGTGAACCCATCCATTGCATTCTTGAAATATTCTGTTAAACTAGAACGTAAACGTATCTGATATTAGAATAGAGTTTCAATAATAAACCATTCATTTCCAACAACAACAAATATGTAACGATTGTTTATTCCAAGACAATCATTACAAAAGTGTTTTACGTGAATACGGCTATAAAACGCGACTGTATTTGACATTTAAAATGATAAAAAGTCTTGTTGACAACATCAGGGATGGATTCAGTTTCAAATCGGACGGTTCTACAATATGCGATTGTGCAAAAAGGGAGGAAAGGGCGGATTTAAAAAATCAGATCAAAACCATAATTTGATTTGTATAAGCATCATACGATGGCGGTATGTTTTGAAGAGGCAAGATGAATGCAAGTGATCATTTACGTGACCATGGCGGAATAGCTCGGAGTGCATTTATCACCGTGTATTCCATTCAAGCTAATCTAAATTTGGATATAAAACCACTGACACACTATAAGAATGCAATGGTATACCACTTGCTATTTTTTCACTACGGTGTTGCATGGTGTTTGCGGTGGATAATTCTTTTGTGCAATATTTATACTCCCTGTAACATTGATGATTACAGGGTGGCTAGTATGAAATATACTGAAATTAAATTGTCAAAACAAGAATCAAATGTGTGTGCTATAAATCATCTGTGTAATATCCTAATCTTTGGTTAAAAAACTCACTGGGATTGTCATTCCAAATCCATTAGATACACTCATCATGCTTCGATTGATTCTGTTTTTACTTCAAGAGGTTGCTGCAATTCAAATTCCATTATTATATCCTTCAACATCTCACATTCAATCAAACAATAGGCTATCAAAACGATCACCCGTTGAATTGGATGGTGCTGTTACAAAATGTTTCATAATGAAACTCAATGTCAATGGAGTTGATGTATGTATCCTATAGATTATAGCAATGCATTATTTGAATCTAACCATTCTTGAATTGTTTAAACTAGCTAAACTTTATAGTTGATTCAGGATCTTCCAATTCAATTGTACCACTTCTTGGCTTGAACCATTACAATGGACCCGTTTTGAAATATGTTCCAACAACTGAAGATGTGCTTTCTGATAGTTACTTTGATGGTTCCTTTTGGAAAGGAGTGAGTTTTACAGCTACCGTAAGCATACCAAAAACTAGCATATCTACTACTGATGCTCCAGTAATAGGAATCTATCAACAGTCGACAAGATCACTTGTTCTCAACGATCAATGGAATCATGGAATTCTTGGTATTGCTTATCCTTCCCTGACACATTCCAAGATAACATCAGGAGCTACTATAATAGACTCGTTCTACACCAGTGGGTCTATCAAAAAAAACGAAGTTGCCTTTGAGCTATGTTCCTATGAACTGTCCAAACAGAGTTACATTGATATAGGCAATACAGGCACAGTTTCAAAATGTGGAACTGATGGATCTCCTGTTGTATGGGTCGAGACACCCATATTGAACTTTTTGACTGTCAACATCAAGAGTATATGGATTAATCATCAGAAAGTACAACTACCCAGCACATTTCAATATAATCCTAGCGGTGGAATCACCTTGTTTTCGTTTATAGATACATGTGCTGCAAAAATACTTCTTCCTCGTATACTTGTGATGGAATTAGTCAACGAGATGATCAAAAGCCGTGCATTTCAACCCCGTCCCAATCTTCAAGAGCTTAAATTATTTTATTTTCAAGATTATACAATGAAATTAAAGGAATTTACTATCGACTGGAAAAAGTTGCCAACGATTTCGTTTTTAATGTCTACAGGGACTGCAGCATTACAAAAAAACCCTTCTTCCATTGTGAACATTACGCTAGGACCCAAAGACTACCTGCAAAAAGCTGGCCCTAAAGAATGTAAATATTTGGAAATGTATGTAGTATATGTGTTTTGGAATTGAATATGAAGCTCATAAACATGTTGAATGATAGATGTATTTGCTGTCGGTATTGGATCAGATCAAAACGCGATTCTTGGTATATCCTTCATGACCCGACTTAGAATTGTACTGGATCGAAAGAATGGACTTGTTGGATTTGGTCCTGGGTGTGGGTGTGAAGCTACAACGGATGGATATCCTGTCATTGCAAACGAACACGGGGAATTATGGCATCCGTCACGTTAGATCATCACGATTAATGACTAGGATGCTATGCATTGTGTTGAATGCTGCTCATGTTCAAACTCAAACGGTTAAATCCCGTCAAACATCAATTCCAAAATAAAACGGTTTAAAGTTTCGACAAGTGGTTCAACTACTCATATCAAGCGGTGATACCACACACAGTACAACACATGTCTGACTATTCAAAGTACTTGTAAACAGATTTAACCTTTATAAAGAATACCGGAATAGACACAAAATGGAATTGTTTTTAAACTGATTATCCAGTTTAGTTATCAAAACCAATCTTTCAATGATACTGATTTTTATTCATCAAAGAATAGATGTGAACTAGTATTGAAATGATGAAATGGGTAGACTTGTAAAATACAGTTTCAAATAGAGAATGTAATAAAAGTTGTATCTGAGAATGGCAGAGATATAATCAAAGTAGAATAAAGGCAATACGCAATAACAAGATAATGAGCTAGCTCAATGAACTATATGGAAAGGATTAAGTAGTAAGATTGATGACTTGATGTATATCCGACTTTTAATCTATTCACGCCTGGCATATTTATAGCTGCGTTGGTCTTCGTCAGCATGGTGTCGTGGGTATGGAGCCGAGTCATCTTGAGACCTGAATCTGGGTTTTGCGGCATGGTCACGGGATTCAGATCTGATTTCAGAAACCGAGTCAATTGGATAAACACTCTGATGGTCCTGCAAAGAGTGTATACCTGGAGGAGTTGGCCAGCGATTGGGATTAGGTCGATGGGGAGTACGAACATTAAATGGAGCATGTCTCACAAATGTTAGATCAATTTCAAATGCCAAGGTTTCAAATGAGCTGCCGCTTATTTCAGTAGACTCGCGATCCGTAGCAGTATGTTGACTGAATCTACCACGACTGCTGCCACTATCATGAGACTCTCTATCACTATTGCGACGGCTACGGTACTGGCCAATAGGAGATCTACTTCTACGACGGTCGCCATCTCTGCTTCTGTCAGAGGAATAAGTAGACGCTCGATCATAAGGTCGGTCACTTTTGTGATACAGGGAATCTCCGCCACTACGGTAGTCAACATCTTGGCGGCCATCTCTGCGACACGAAGGATCATTATTGTCTCGAAAAGATGAGCGACCTTTATGTCTGTCGTCGTAACCAAGTCTTGAGCTCATGGGATTGTATTAGCAAGGGAAAGCCTACAAAAGGCTAAACAGTTGGGATGCAAGACCGGGTATCACAAGTTTAGTTTGATGAATAAGAAATACAGCTGCTTTCAAGACAAAGCAAAGCCATGGCAAGGTTTTTTGTAAGGAATAGGATAATATGGTAAAGCAATTCGTCATTGCAGTCGTTATAACCAAATCATACAAGAGAATATGGACTAATAAACGACAAGCCACATATGTAGTCAGTTATACCAAAAGTGGTTTAGACAGCATAAAGTAAAACTCGTATAAATGAATACAATAGTAGTAAATTCGATATCATGGACATCACTACTGGAGCAGCAATTGTGATATTGCTTACAGATTACAACTCGAAATAGTCGTGACAATGATTTGCAGCTAAAAACAAAAGTGATGAAAACGCAGAAAAAACTGTTTATATTTCAACAATTCAACTTGAGCATATTTAATAGACATTCTGAACATCAAGTAGACTGCATTTTAAAAACAAGGGTTTTGGTTAGTAAAGTTGTACGATCGGCTCAAGTCAATGCACAGACCAAGTGGAATGCCAAAACTCTCGTGTCAGAACAAGACCAAGTTGAATAAGCAACTGCCGCTAGACCAAACGAGTAATGTTTTATATTGAATCAAGAGAATTGACAGGTCGCTCAATAAACTGGTCATGTCAACAAGTCGGATTGTTACTATAAAACGAGACACGACAATGCTCATGCCATTCAAATATTAAACAATTTGTTAATATTTAAACATACTTTCGGACTCGACAATCCGATTGTAGTAAACTGGCAACATTTTGACAGCAGATACGCTTGACAAGTGCAGAGTAACAGGTGAAAACCATCTCACTTGAATCATCATTCGACGCACTTGTGGATGGAGCAAGCACACGAAATGATCTTTCACGCTTCAGTACCTTGACATTGTGCTTCCAATTTCAACAACTGTTACCAACCATCACCAACCGCTACTGACCACTCAATGCTCGTTCTACTTATTGGAGACTTTCATGTTCCACATAGGAAAATTGACCTGCCTGCTAGGTTCAAAAAGCTTTTAGTTCCTGGCAAGATTCAGCAGATCCTTTCCACTGGCAACTTGACTTCGACTGACATGTATGACTATTTACGAACTATAGCACCTAATGTTGTTACTGTCAGAGGAGACATGGATGAGTTTCTTCCTGGATCTGGATCTGGATCTGCAGCTACTGTCACTCATAGCACCACCCATTCAACCACTACATCGGTACAGCAGCCTCCACATGCTAAAGTCATCCAGCATGGTCTTATCCGCATTGGACTTTTGCATGGCCATCAGTTGCTGCCTTGGGGAGATGTTCAAGCTTTAGGGATTGCTGCTAGGCAACTGGACGTTGATGTGCTTGTTTCTGGCCACACTCATGAATTCGCTGCCTACGAGTATGAGGGTCGCTTTTTTGTTAACCCTGGATCAGCTACTGGTGCATTCTCTCTTGTATTTCCTGGCACTGCAGTTGCTCCACAAGACTACGTTCCTCCTACTCCTCCCACTCCTCCTGCTGCTACAGTCGCTGATGGATCTCCTACTTCCAAAGACTCTGATAGCAATGACAATCAAGATGATGCTGTTGAGCAATCAGATCTACCCCAATCTCCAACCACTAATATACAACCCTCATCCCCACCACCTCATATCCCACCTTCCAGCCTTGTTGAAACCACCCCAAGTTTTGTTCTGATGGATATTCAAGGCACATCAATCGTCCTTTATGTTTACAAACTGATTGATGGGGAAGTCAAGGTCGAGAAGCTTGATTATGAAAAAAGTCTAGACATCACCAACCCAATTTAAAATCTATTATTATTGTTTTAATGCATTTATATACCATAGGATTGGACATAAAGCGTATAATTTGTATTTTGGTCCAGCTTTTTTGGATCGTTATTGGTAGAAAATGCCATTCGAGGCAAGCATATTAATGTTAGACCACTGAAACCGATATGCTGTTTTTTTCTACAATGTATCGTGTTTGCTCGTAATGTAGACTTGAATGGATACCTAGTTGGAAAAAAGTATCCATAGTCAAGCAAATAAAACATCAATTCATGAACCATTTTCCAACACATACAGCATGTATGTGTATGGAGACCTTGCAATGTTTCATCACTCACGATTCAAACTTTTTAATGTCACAAGAATCGCTGTGAATTGAATCCAATAGATTGTGATGAGCTCTAGCGCATAGATTAAAAACATGTAGCACCCATTCACATTAAAATGGCCATGACCCATATGACTACAGCAGTTGCGTTGGTATATGCAGCTTTTGGAAATGGTGCAGGGCTGATTAAACATTGATCCACCTTACAAGTACCCTTTAAAAGTAATCTATTGAATACCTGTCCCTGTTTCTAATATCAACGAGTTAGTTTCCATACATGCTGCACTGAATAATGTACAATAATGATACAAAAATGCTAGAGTACCCCCGATTGGAAGGCGGGGTAGTTTATTCATCTTCATCTTCATGGTCAGGACCAAACGCTGTGTAGTCGATCCGCTTTCCTCTGGTTCGGCGACCACCTTGAATAATATTGCTACGATCCAAATGAGCCATCTCATCGCCTGTAAATTCCAGTCAAATACACATAGACTATGATTAGTCGGGCATTTGGAGATTGTATGTGTATTGCGAATTTTCTTACCAAGTGTCTCGTCGTCACCACTGCCTGCATCAGAGCCGCTATCGCCGCTCTTGGATTTTCTGGTTGTCGTACTGTTCCTTTTTGAAGAGTGATGAGAAGTGGAGTGTCTAGTAGTGGACAATGAGGACCTGCCTTTTTTCTTTGGTTGCTCATCTAGTAAAAACACCAGATCAAATGAATCAGTTATAGCTGACTATGAGAATTAAAGAGATCATTACGACTAAAGATCCATTATACATGTATTGTCCTGTGAACGCACTACAACTGCAGATCACACCTACTACAGCCATCATGGGTTGATGCTGTCGATTGATACATACCTTCACTATCCTCATCTTCAGCAGATTCCTCGTCATCATTCTGGTCATCATCGTCATCTTCGTCTTCATCATCCTCTTCCTCTTCGTCATCATCAGAATCGGCATGCTTCTTGCTGGGTTTGGATGGTTTTTTTGCATGGTCTTTGCTAGACTTGGATACACTATCATATAGTTCAAAATACAAAGTAGGAAAATCAAAGTGATGATCAGAAACAGTTATATTGAACAATGGCCATGCACAGTTTCCAACAACGACTGCCTTAAACCATAGGTTAAAACAGTAACAAAAGTATGTACCTAGAAGAAGACTTTGCGGTACCAGTGGCAGCAGTAGAGCCCTTTGCCAGTTGCTGAAGCTTGCGCTTCCTATCCTCAGCCTCGGTCATTTTACAGTCGTATTCACGTAAAATAAAACACTAGAAAGAATGCCAAAATACATCAAGAATCTCATGAAATGATTGGTGCCAAATTGGCTGAACATTGCTTGAACTCGTTAGTTCATTGAGTCTCTCTTGGTGATCGGCATGTATAGTTGCATTGCTGAGACGTGCAATCTTTATTCTCTTGAATTAGAGCGCAAACGTATGAGATTTTAAGTTGTTTGTGCAGAGTTTGAGAGCATCGGGTATGAATCTGGCTTTACATTTGATGATCATACAATGTATGATTGCCAACAGAGAGAAATTCCAGTTTGACACTATAGTTTGGTTGTGTTGATTGAAAATTGAGAATATTGAACAAGTGCAGCCAATCACTCGGACATTGTTTATTCTGAAGCAATCATTGCAAGATCAACAGGTATTGCATTTTACATGAATACGGCTATGGAATAAACTCAAGTGCTGCAGTGCGTCAAGTTTTGTAATTTGTTCATAAATTCATATCTACAAAGCTTAATCATCACTAATGCAACTTTTTGATACACTTACAAAATGTTTTCATTTTCAATTATATTGCAAATTACAAAAGCAATTAGGGCTAACCTAAGCATCTGATTTTAATCAGTTTCCTCTAGTGTAGTTGTAATGAATGGTCTCGAGTATTAAAATCGATTAGTAGCAGCAGGGGCACTGCTAGAGGATGAAGTAACCTTGCATTCATCTGGAACTGAGAAATCGTTGTTGAAATTAGCAGCCTTGACTCCTAAGCCGCGTTTGGCGAATCCTTTCCAGATCTCACACTTGTTGGCACCTTTGTAGTGGGAAACATCCGATGCAATAAAGGCATCACGAGCATCGACCAAGCTGGGATTGCATGGCTGGTGCATAAATCCACCAATCATATTCTGCATAGTAACAATGTTGCCAGATGTGCCTCGGGCATCGTGGAGATTGGTAGAGAATCCACTCTTGGTGACCAAATTCCAGTAGACTTCCCAAAGCATGGCTGCCCACACTTCACCAGCAGCATGAACTTCTTTACGATTCTTGAGATCGGCATAAGTCAAAGGATTGATTTTCATGTCAGTCGTATAAGGATGGGTGCGCATGCCATCAAACTGATTTGAAGCGTATCTAGCAAAGGGAATCGAAGTATCGGCTTTGTGGGTTTTTCTGGCAGTTGTGATCATAGCAAACATGTCAGACCAGCCTTCGCTCATACCCAGAGCCTCACTGTTAGTCAAGCATGCAGCTGTTGCAGATCCACCAGTTAAACGACTTGAAACACCGTGACCATATTCGTGTACAACGACTTGATTGTCCAAACCGGGATTGTGGTTGGGTCTGGATGTAGTATATCGGTACATTTTCATTTGACCCGGTTGTCCATCAGCAGGAGTGTGAAATCCGGCATTGTTGTTACTTGAAGTGTCCAAAACACTAATGCTAACCGCATCGTTACCCTGACCGCCTTTTCCAAAGTTATCATTTTGGAAATTGCCAGCAGACTCGGTGAAGCCATACTGATATGTGATATCGTGCATCAGGTTGGCAAGATAAAACAGATTGACGGCTGCTGCTTGAATGTTGTCTGGATCATCAGGCTCGACATTATCATTGAATTTAGTAGCAAACATACCATTAATACCAGTTCCTGGAGCCGGTGGAGATTGTGAAAAGTCGGCAGCATTAACGTTGTTACCCTGAGTGAAGTTTCCATTCGTCCATCCATTGGGCGACGATGCACTGTATTCCGGGTTGGTGATATTGGCAAATCTATTCATACCAGGACTCAGATTAAGAATTGGAATAGCCTCGTATGTTGCATGATGACCAAAATCAACAGCCTGAACCAGTTTGCCTAGTATCAATCCATTTACATTCAGATTAGTGCTGATTCCACAAAAATCAATACCTGAATCCGAAATACCGTACCTGTGTTGGCATCGGCCCAAACTTGGATCCATGAAATAACATTCTTGTCGCGAAGCTGGAATTTGTAAGCATAAACAAGCGTGCCATCAGCCTGTTGAACATACTCGAGCTCATGTTCAAAGTCAGAGTAAACTGGCAGACCCTTGGCTTTGGACACAATATCCGCAACCTGTTCAAAAGTCAGTTTGGCTTTGGGCTCTGCAATTGAAAGCTCACGTTTAGCAAGATGGCTTTTGGTACCAAACGAAGCAGAGTACGAGATAATTTGGCCGTCTTGGATATGGACAGCAGCTTGGTGATTGGATACAGATACGCCATTAACTAGATGTGCACCATATACGTGAGTCACGCCAGCACCGTCTGTAAAATTATTGTAAACCTTGAACTCGTTGGGTGAGAGATTGAGTTTGTCACAGAGATACGCAACACCAGTCTCGACTGGATCGGTATTGGACGGAGCCATGAGGCTGGATGAATGTTCATAAGGAATGTTGTGATAAATCGATTTGGGAAAGTGGAATGGAAGACTGTTTGAGGTATCTTGTGTGGACGGAATGGTTGGAACCGCAAAAACTGCAGAGGTGGCAAGAGCAAGAACAAGAGAAACGGTAGAAATGAACATTTTGAGCAATATTTTCAATATCTATAGTGTAAATGTAGCAAATACAAAACTAAACTGTTACAATGATGGACTGATTTGACTATTTTGTGCTACTTTATATCTCTAATTTACAAAATGTTTTATAAGTAATAATGCAGAGTGTATCAAATATACATGTGCTAATCATAAAATAGAATAGCGTGACATGTGTAACTGCATATATTTATGAATCACATGTAATCAAGTCAATCATGTAATGTAGGCACGTCATTGCATTGCTTTTGATTGAAATGGGCGCATGAATAATGCATCAAGAAGAATTTATTTTGATCACCACCATATTCATGTAAAATCAAGCACTAAATAAAAGTCTCAGTAAATGAACAGTTTCACCAAGCGGTTAGTGTCAGTTTACTAGAAAATGTGTAGTTCTGAACCACCAACAGCTGGTGACAAAAGGCATGAGAATGAAGAAAATAAACCAAAAAAATTCAGCACTCATCGTCTTCAATGTATCATGTGTTTGGGGTTGTACTTGCGTAAAATTCATTCAGCCGCACTTTCGTGTTGGTCGGGTTTAGTTCTTATTTGGAAATGTTCTTTTGAAAATATCGGTAGATTATCCTTGCTGATTTGAATGACAGCGACTATCAATCGTGATTCTTGTGCCACGTCCAGTTTGCTGAGCAATCTGCTACCCGTCTCAATTAAGCAGGACGTTTTTCCTTCGGTCTAACGCGGCCGCTTGGTGTTGGTCTGTTCCGACGCGAGAGCTTGATGCTCCACCTATAGTCTACGCTAACCTAGCCGTGCAGTTTTATAAACCGAAAGCTCTCGTTTCCAAAATGTCTATCAAGCATGATGACTGCTGACAATTTCTCATTCACTACCATTTTTATATCCTTTATCGCCAGCTGTAGGCGGTTTAGAAAACACAATATTGTCCAGCAAACTGACATACATCATTTCATGAGATTGGCTGTTTATTACCCACTGAAACTTTTCGAGTCTCATTCTGCATAAATACGACAGCATATGAATAGGTGTAGCCACTATTGGCATTGAATTATGGATCAAACGCCAGTGTTATGGTTATAACTGAAACAGTTCAACCCAGAGCTCGGTCATGTTCCTTGCCAAATTCAGCTCATTGGGTGTTAGCTTTCCAATATGAGAATAATTTACACCCAATGGCGAATCAAGCTTTCCATGCAAGCAAAATGGCTCAGTAGCAATCTCCCATTTTACATTAGCCCCAGTTCTTTCAATGGCCCAATGCTGGACTTGTGTAATGCCAAGCTCCTTGGCAGGTATACGGGATCCAATGCCGCCGTTAAACCATAATGGTCTGTCCATATCATCTGCATGATACAGACCACCACAAACCATGTCGGCACCATCGCTATGAATCAATTGCCCAATTGCACCTCCGTTGTCACTTGCAACTGAAAACGGGATTCTCAATGCTTCATGTGCTAGCCAATACGTCTCCTTGTCGCCTAACAGTATTGAGATTCAATAGTTAAAATGCAATCGCATTTCAAGAGATAAGAGCTTCTAAAAATGCATAGATTATTTACCCCAGGAGTTTGAATAAATATGATTCTTGAATGGAGCCGAGTTTAGCAAGCAGGTTAATAGGATTGCTGGCATCGCTTTAGATTTGTTCCAAACGACTACGCCTGAATCAATCTCGTCTGAAGTCATATGCCTCATTAGACGGTTTTCCGAATACAAGAGTTGATTTTTGAATGGCTTGGCAATATCCATGAGCATGTTCACAAGATTTTGCCCTCTCCCATAAGTTCCAAAAGGAAGTGTGCGATCGCGGAATAATAGTGTACCTGTTTCTTTATACCGTGGTATCTCAAACAGCACTTCTGGTGGTTGGAAAAATAATGCATCTGCGTCTATCAAAATAACTTGGTTAAACCGTGAAGCTAAAACTGCAAATGGTTTGTTTTCCCATCCCTTTTCGCATCTTTTCAGTCCAAGCACAGAGCGCATATCTACTACCCTGACATTAGGCAGCATAGAAAGCATTTTAAACTCATTAGTCCCAAGGTCGTCAGCGCCACAATACATGATTTCTATTGGAAGCGTGCTTTTGATCAATCTTAGCATAGTGATGGTGTGTTTGGCAACCAAAGCATATTTCGAGCCAGTGGTTATGACAATTCCACGGCCAGAGGAATTAAACAAAGCCTCTATAGCTGAAGAGTGCATTGGACCATTGATGACCCATGGATAAAGCTTTTTTTCCAGTTTGAGCAACTCTTTTTCGATGCTGAGTTTCACTGTAACATTGGGCTGATACACAGAGATTTGATAGTAAATATCAAACGCATCCTTGTAGATTCGTGCAGCATTTCCCAATCCAGTCAAGTCTCGAAAGTGAATCTTTCGTTGGTTTTGGTTAACAGATTGCAGTTTGGAAATAACTGATATCATTTCCTGGACTGTAATCCTGCGTCTTGGTCGACATCTTTACAATATTTAATAAAAGCAAGCATAAGTGGATATTGCTTTTACATGATGGCATACAATCGAGCAAATTTTGTTGCACATACTCTGTCGGATTTGAATTTCTACAGAAGGATGGTTGACCATTTGACAAGCCTGTGGACTTGTTTAAATTGATGTAATCGTCCAAGACATTAGAATCTATAATTGATGAAGAGTAACTATAGCTGTATATAGATATTTTTGCCACTGTAACAAAAGCATTAGTCTATGGTATGAACTGATTACTGGAGAAACTCAATCTCAATCTCAAATGCAACATACATGCGTATAGCATTGTTGTCAGTGCCACGCTCAGGATAATAACGACTATTTTAGGACGCCTTATACCTAATAAAATAACGTATTTTCAAAGCTCATATTTTAGTATTTTGACAATATCAAGCCATCAAACTCAATATTTGCATAGTGGTGGATGAATCTGGTGGTCATATAATGCATGACTGTCAAGCGAGGATAGCTTCAGTCCAAAACCATAGCTTGATTTTGTATGGTGAATATCATGTTTTGAAGAATCGAGTATCCAAGTCAATTTCTAGTAGGAAATATTTAATTGCCGTCTTTCAAAACACTCGCTGCAAGAGTATTTCGTTTTACATGAATACAGATAATACTCTGTGCAAGTTCTAGCATGCACTTACCAATTGACCTTTGTGAAAAAACCATGGAGTAGCATGAATAGGAACCAAAACGAAACACCAGTGATCGTCTAGCATCACCTGGTTCTAAAATATGCACAGCAATGTCAGTACATCATTCAATGACAACTCGAAGCAAAAACAGTCGAGCTTGGTTTTAAATGCAAGGCCGTCTGGTCAGTATGGACCAAAACTCACCTAGCCGATTTGATGCTGCAGAAAATGTATCTTTCATGGTGATCCAGTCCAAGTTCTCAAAATATAAGTGTTATATATCGATCAAGCCAGTGAGTAAAGGTCACACAGCAAGCCAATCACAAACCTGACACTTGTGTGCTTTGAAAGTCCTTATCTTTCAGGACTTGTGTGCCGCTTGTGTCGACACCATCTCGATCAAGACACGAAAATACATGAGCCACCACTTGTCATATTGAAACTCATAAAACCCATTGTAGCACCACTCGTGAATTTGAATTGGGTTTTATTTTTAAACTTTCTCCAAGGCCAACCTTGGGCAGATGCTTCCAAAGAAACATGGACATCAGGACCCAATATCAACACTTAAAAATATATGAGAAGAGAAAGTGACAGTCGGTTAAGGCTGTCAGGAAGGGAAACTAAACTACGTTAAAATCTGGCATGGAACTAAAGCCAATGGTTTAAATCACTACAAGTCAAACTACTCCAAGCGATGCACTTATAATAGCGTGAAGAGAGTGGTAAAGATTGCTAGTGCAATCATCAAGGATACAGGTTGACTATTTCCAGACAAACCTGCGCTAGAAGTATGGGCAGTGGTAGTACTAGTTGGGGCTGGGGTGGTTGCTCCAGGTGTAGTTCCTTGAGGTGTAACACTAGGAGTGGGCATTGGAGTGATAATCGGTGTGCTGACCACTGTGACGCTAACAGTAGGACTGTTATATCCACCAGTAGGCGTTGGAGGTGTTGGTGACACGTAACCACCAGGCATTGTGGCGCTGGATGGGATAATCATAGTGGTAGTTCCATAGCCTATTGGTGAAGGACTCGAGACGACCGCTGTGGTTGGCGACACGTATCCTCCTACAGTAGTTGTGGTGTTTGCGGGAACCGTCGTGGTTGGGGAAACATATCCAGCTACAGTAGTCGTGGTCGGCGCGACAGTTGTGGTGGTTGGGGAAACGTATCCAGCTACAGTAGTCGTGGTCGGCGCGACAGTTGTGGTGGTTGGGGAAACGTATCCAGCTACAGTAGTCGTGGTCGGGGCAACAGTTGTGGTGGTTGGGGAAACATATCCTCCAGATGAAGATTGTGCTAGAACAAGGCCGACTTGTGCTTGGAGTGTCAGAACAATGGCACAGGCAAGAGAATTACGTGATGCGAAGCCAATCATTTTAGAAACTAAACTTTGAATATACTAGCAAGACATACCGAACATACAACCAAAAGTATTAGTTATATAAACATGTCGGTAGATTAGAGGTTTGGAGAGCATCTACTTTTACAAGATAGTATCAAAACACGCTCTTCAGTTTAAAAACTTCGAGACGAGGCTGTTCTCAATATCTCAATATGGAGAACGCGTAAAACAGTGTTTGGTCAAAAGGTCACTCTAAAATAGAGCTTTGGAATGGCAGGATAATATATTTAAATAAGTAGTAAGTCATGGAAAGCATACCTATATAGAGTTGATTTGAATATATATATGTAACTACGAAATCTTAAAAACGATTTTCGAGCAAATTTAATATCTATCAAAAGGATGGGTAGAGGGAAGGAAATAAACTTGGATTAATGTACTTTTAAAAGAAAGTTATGGCGAGAAAAACAAAACAATCAGAAAATATATATAGTTATTGTAACGTGGGCACTACTGGGCCAGTGAGTTTGTTTTTCATAAACTACTAGAACAATGTTCACTACGGAGCATGTAAGCGTGTTTGAAAACTACAACACTTTATTCAAACAAACTCCTAAGCATAATTGGAAAGAAACCTGCATATGCATAAAAACTTAAAATGGATATTTTCCTCAAGCTGGAAACAACATGAGGTAGCTATCGAAACTTACAAATCGGGGTTCACATAATTTCCACACAAAAGGCAAGTTTTATTTTTAGGTGTCATGTACAATATTGCTTATCAATGTTAAATACTATGGTTCAAACTTATTTTGAAATCTTGCAAAACAATATGAAAGATGAATAGTAAATGAGTCCTATATATCATTTCGAGTCCAAGCAAATACATTGTGGATAACAAAAAACTGCCAAGCTACTCTTTAGACCAAAAGTTTCTGTTGATATTTTTTATTCTAATAGAATCATATATAGTGGTAGGCTGATGGATAGGCCGTATATAAAATAAGGTTACTTGACACGATACAAACGCGCCATTAAGAATATTTACAGTCGTATTCACGTAGAATGAATCGCTTTATGTATTTATCTTGCAATAGCTCTATTTTAGTTGAAAATAAACAGTGATTAAATATTCCTTGTGTTTCCTACTACAAACGGACATTCTCAGTTTTTCGGTGTTTGGAATTACTCGACAAACAAAATCATTATTTGTCATACTCGAGTCATTTTATGTAGGGTTCGAGAATCGACAATATGGAGCTGTGATGTAGGCCCAATCCTCGCGACATTTGTTGGACGGTTGGTAAATCGTGTTTAATTAAGAGCTTGTTATTTTGTGGAGTGGAATGGAGTGGAATGTTGTCTAGAATAACATGCGTGTTTACAAATGCTGCATGGCATTGTTTAAAAAGTATTGATATATTACGGCATTGACGGCTCTCTTGATCAATTCTCAAACACAGTGACCATCATATGAAGCACATACTAAACTATAGTTTTCAACTGAAATTATTCCTTTTTCCATTTTTGACATAACCATGCATTGTACGGTCTTCAAGTTTCAAACCAGATATTGAGTTCAACTGTATAAAATCTACTTTGTTGTATCGTAAAATATCATGAATATGTTACGCTATAGTTTAAGAAAACAAGGATTGTAGGAATGCAGCTATACACGCCAATCATCAATGTTTGCCTATAATGAAAGGAAAGTTGAACAAGTAAGCGGTTTACTGAAACTGTGGTGCGGTGAATATTTGGTTAGCTATTAGTGTCCCATTTTACGTGAATACAACGGCGAGTACAGTAACAGCTACATTGTCGCTATAGAAACATATTTCTGTATGCAGGTCTTCACGCTTGGATAAAATAAACTCAAAATAACCACTACAACTAATACCACTTAATTTCATTCACAATCCAAGATCTACAAGAGGTTGATTCAGATGACGACTTGCATAGCTGATTTTAAGTGACAGAGAAATAGATAAGCAACTGTATGAACGAAGCCCATGGCAATCCAAACTTGACATTCATTATGAGACTATAGGCCAGTGTAGATATGATTGGAGATTATCGTTCTTTTTTCTTGTAAGAAAATGGTTTTCTAGTAAGAGCAAACTCGCCCAGTTTCTTGTTGACCATTTGTTCAGTAACAAAGACGGGAAGATACGATTTTCCGTTATGAACTAGAAACTTTTTACCCACATGAGAGGGGAGAATAGTGGAGGATCTTGCTTGGGTCTTGATGGCTTCGCCCGCTGCAGTTTTTGGGAATGGAACAAAGAAAGGACCTTTCCAAACAGCTCTTGGCATACTTGATAGACAGCGAGTTGATGTTCCAAATTTTAGCGATTGCTTTGATACAGTTTTAGTGATGAATTCAATGATCTGAAATTCATTCAATGAGTCACGTGTTTATTTGATTTTAAAGAAAACATTTTCTTTCTAGTTTTTGTCGGATTCAAGTCAGCGTGCAGGTCGCTTTACAGTCCAGAAAGTGCTGATATTGGTGCAGCGCAACACTCTAGACACATTTGATCCTTTGACTGCGTTATAGTCTGGTTAGTTTTTAATTTTAAATGGTTTAAACAGGATGTTTTATATATCTTTATTGCCGGCATTGATGTGTCAAACATGTATTTATATACATATAAACTAATCTAACCTTAATTATCAATCGCTCTCCTCCTTTTAAATACAAAGAAATATGAATATTTCTAATCCAGTTTCCGCAGAAGTTCGGTCGGTGCATTTTTCGTTTTATAGCCCACAAGACCTCCGCAAACTCTCTGTCAAACAAATTACAAACCCCATTATATTCGATAATCTCGATCATCCAACACCCCAAGGTCTCTATGATTCTGCTCTTGGTCCATCTGGAATAGATTCCACGTAAGTTTTTTTCATTTAGTCGTATTGAGTTGGATCCTAGTTTGCATGCAGTTCAAACGCTTTTAATCTAATCTACTATATTTAGTTGTTCAACCTGCTCATTGGGATTCTCCAATTGTCCTGGTCACTTTGGGCATATTGAACTTTCTGTTCCTGTTTACAATTCTGTCAACTTTAAGCTTCTATATAAGCTGTTGCAGTCCACTTGCTACTACTGCCACCACCTGCGTACTTCAAGATCAGTGATACACAGTTTTGTTGCCAAACTCAAGCTCATTCATGCTGGCTTAATTGTTGAAGCCGCCGAACTAGATTCAGCTTTGTTTTCAGAACCCTTGATTAATACCTCTGATAGTCCAAAAAACTCGTCATCCACTAATAAATCTTCAACTTTCATAAATGACGAGGCTGAAGAAGATCATGAGGACATGATTTCTAAATCCTTTATGAATGTGGATACTGAGGACTCTGAACCACAAGATTCGGCCGGCTCTGTGAATTTTGAAAAAAGAACTTCTGCTCAGATTATAGCTGCTATTGATCGTTTTGTTGATCAGGCGTTTGCCAAAAATCCCTATACTCGCCCTTCAAAGGTTACTCTTCTTACAGCAAATATTCGTCGTCTTGAGCGTCAGTTTTTCTCTGCTATTCCCGCTCAGACCTGCCAAAACTGCCGTGGTCAGTCTCCTAAATTTCGCAAGGACGGCGAGTCCAAGATTTTTGAACAACCATTAAACAACAAGCAAAAAATGTCTATGAATACGCAGAATCTAACTCCAGAAAACCTGTTTGGACCTAAAATGCATGCTGTTGATGACGATAATGAAAAAACTGCCCAGCAAGGTGATGCCGTTAGTCAAGCAATCGATTCTCAAAGGGAAATCTTTCTTACTCCTTTGCAAGTCAAGGCTCATATTGAACTGCTATGGAAACGAGAAACTGTAGTTTTGGATCTACTGTTTGGAAACTCGTCTTCAAAAAAATCGCCTCGTGTATCTAGTCCACTCATGTTTTTTTTAGATGTAGTTTCAGTGACTCCAAATCGTTTTCGTCCCATCTCCAAAATGGGCGATTCACAGTATGAAAATCCTCAAAACATTTTCCTGACAGCGATTCTCAAAGCCAATGTTTCAATCCAAGAACTTCAGCGCCAAGAAGAAGCGGCTTTAAAGGTGATTGCAGACGATCCCAAACTCTATCAACTACAAAAAGCCGAGTTTCTTAGGCGCATTATTGATGCATGGATGATTCTGCAAAACAGTGTCAATTATCTACTAGACAGCTCTAAATGCCCACTTAGTGTTTCTGGAAAGATTGCTCCACCTGGTATACGTCAATTGCTTGAAAAGAAGGAAGGTCTTTTTCGCAAGCACATGATGGGCAAGCGAGTCAATCATGCTGCACGCAGTGTTATTTCTCCCGATCCCTACATTGAAACCAACGAAATTGGTATCCCCCCTGTTTTTGCTTCCAAACTCACCTATCCAGAGCCAGTGACTCATCATAATATTAAAGAAATGCGAAGATGTGTTGTTAACGGACCATTAAAATGGCCTGGCGCTACCCACGTTGAGAACGAAGATGGAACGCTTATATCTTTGAGTTCTTTTGATGATGCTGGTCGAACAGCCATTGCCAATCAGCTTCTTACCCCAAGTATGCATCATGGTGAAACCAACCACTCGTATAACTTTGATCACGTCAACAAGAAAGTATATCGTCATATTCGCAATGGCGATTTTCTGCTTTTGAATCGTCAACCCACTCTACATAAGCCATCTATTATGGCCCATACTGCTCGTGTGTTGCCTGGGGAAAAAACTATTCGTATGCACTATGCCAACTGTAATACCTACAATGCTGATTTTGATGGTGATGAAATGAATATACATTTCCCCCAAAATGAGATTGCTCGTGCCGAAGCCATGTTGATTGCACGTAACGATCAGCAATATTTGGTTCCAACTGATGGCGGTGTACTTCGCGGTCTTATTCAGGATCATGTCGATGCTGGTGTGGACATGTGCTCTCGCGATACATTCTTTAATCGCGAAACTTATATGCAGCTTGTGTATATTGGACTATGTCCAGAGGGCAGTGTGACTAGCACTGTTGGAAACGGTAACATTGAGCCTCCTATAGTTATTGGTAGAAATGGTCGCGTTGTTACACTCCCGCCTGCAATCATCAAGCCTGTAGCTAAATGGACAGGTAAACAGATCATTTCAACCATTCTTGTCAACCTGATCCCCGAGGATCGTAATCTGTTGAATCTGGTGTCCAAGTCACGTATTCCTGCAAAGCAGTGGGGGCCTTCTGCGCCTGAGGAGCAAACGGTCATATTTATGGATGGCGATCTTTTAACTGGTATTCTTGACAAGTCTCAATTTGGTGCTAGTGCCAACGGTCTTGTACATGCTGTATATGAAGTATATGGTGCTTCGTATGCAGGAAAGCTTCTTTCTATTCTCGGTAGACTGTTTACCTCTTACCTTCAGTTTGCTGGCTTTACCTGTCGTATGGATGATTTGCGGCTTACTCCTGAAGGTGATGCTGTTCGCTGTGAGTTGATTGAAAGTGCAAGTAGTATTGGACTGGACGCAATTTCAGAAATTACTGGTGTGAATGTTGAGGGTATTTCGCATGACAAACGTACCATGTATATGGCACGTTCCAAGGGTGACAAAACTGCTCTTGCCAAGAATATTGAACTTAACGTAGCGCTCGAGCAAGTATTGCGCAATTCTGAAAAAATGGCTGCTTTGGATAGTGCAATGAAGTCTCGTACCAACAAAGTGACCTCGAAAATCATTTCATCTTGTGTGCCAGACAGGCTTCTTAAACCGTTTCCCCATAACAATATGCAGGTCATGACTGTATCAGGTGCCAAGGGATCAGGTGTCAATGTATCTCAGATCTCATGTTTGCTGGGTCAACAAGAACTAGAGGGTAAGCGTGTTCCTACTATGATTTCTGGAAAAACACTTCCGAGCTTTTTAGCGTATGATACATCAGCGCGTGCAGGTGGATACATTACTGGTCGTTTTTTGACTGGCATCAAACCACAAGAGTACTATTTTCATTGTATGGCTGGTCGTGAAGGATTGATTGATACAGCAGTCAAAACCTCTCGCTCTGGTTATCTCCAGCGTTGTCTCATCAAGCATCTCGAGGGCCTTTCTGTGCATTATGATCATACTGTGCGAGATATGGATGGATCTTTGCTTCAGTTTCAATATGGCGAAGATGCATTGGACGTTGTCAAGCAAACCACATTGCAAAAGTTTGACTTTTGTGCATTAAACTATCGCGCTTTGTTGAAACGATATGATCCAAGTGCTTTGGCAGGAAAAGTAGACGACGAGTCTCTTGAAAGGTATTTAAAAAAGCAGCGCAAGCAGGATCGCGAGTCTATTCGTGAAAGCGGCGGTTCATTCAAACCCAATCACGATCCTATTTTGTCTATTTTTAGTCCAAGTAGACATATTGGTTCTGTTTCAGACGGGTTCGCCGATGCACTTTCTGCATACATTGAAAAAAACACATCACAGCTGTTGTACACATCCTCTTCAAAAAAGACTCACAAAAACAGGACTGACGAAAACGGTGAAGCACGACCTGTCAAAGATACTTGGTCAGTTCCAAAAATATCTGCACGCAAATTCAAAGTTCTTATGGAACTTAGATATATGCATTCCCTAGTTGAACCTGGCGAAGCCGTTGGACTTCTTGCAGCACAAAGTATTGGCGAGCCTTCGACTCAAATGACTCTCAACACTTTTCATTTTGCAGGATTTGGTGCCAAAAATGTTACACTTGGTATTCCACGTCTTCGTGAAATCATTATGACGGCTTCACAATCTATTCAAACGCCTCTGATGCGCTTGCCACTTAAACAAGAAGCTACTGTAGATCAAGCACACCAAATAGCCGATCAAATCAGTCGAGTTGTGTTATCCCAGATTATGCATGGTGTGACAGTGTCGGAAACACTCGTTCCAAAAACACCTGAAAGGCAAAAGCGGGTTAAACAGTTTTGCGTGAGACTCGAGTTGTGGCCACAAGAAGCGTGCCAAAGACAATATGGCATCACTGACGAAGATATTGGAAATATTATTGAAAAGAAATTTGTTCCTATTTTAGACCGGACCATTATGCGTATGCTCAAGGTTAAATTTACTGGCGATAATGCATCTACTGAAGCTGACGAGGGCCAGACACTTGCTAGTCTTGGTTTTACAGAATCAAGTGTTGAAAAGACTACAAAAAGTAGCAAACCCCAAAACGACGGTGACGAAGACGAAAGCAATGGATTGGACAATGGGCGTAGTACCAACTTTAAATCGAGCCATTCACTCATAGACAGAGTGGTAGATGCTGCTGATTTATCTGATGCAGAAGGAGATGATTCTGAAGTGTCGGATGATGACGGTGATAATGATGCCACTGCTGTTCGTCAAAATACCAAGCGTCAACAGCAGGCAACTTATGATGGACCTGATGAAGATGACGAACAAGTGATTGAGCATTTGGCCGATATTGAGATGGCAAACGATGACGACAAGGTCTCGGTAAACACAGATCCTGACTCAGTAAATGATGCTGACGATGGTCTCGATTTGGATGGGTTTGAGACTGAAAAGCATACTAATGGCATTAACCGTAGCGTACGTATTCAACGTGCAAGCCGATTTGTATCTGGGTACAAGTTCCATAAAGGTAGTTTGCGATACTGTGAGTTGACATATGAGCTTTCAACCGACACAAAAAAGATTCTCATGCTACCACTAGTCGAAGAGGTGTGTTCCAATCTAATTGTTCGTCAAGTTCCTGGCGTGTCTCGGTGCTACTACCTTCCCAATGAATCTGAAAATGACAAATCGGTCAACGTGGGCACGGATGGTGTCAACTTGAAAGGTATTTGGGAGTATGACAATGTGATTGATGTCAACAAAATTGGCACCAATGACATTGCAGCCATATTACATACCTATGGTGTTGAGGCAGCACGTGCAGCCATCATGCAAGAAATTGCTGGAGTGTTTGGTGTTTATGGCATCCAAGTCGATTCGCGCCATTTGAGTATCATTGCAGACTATATGACTTTTGAAGGAGGTTATAAAGCGTTTAACCGCACTTGTATGGGTTCCAATCCCTCTCCGTTTTTGCAAATGTCATTTGAAACAACCACCAGCTTTTTGACTACAGCTACACTGACAGGTGATTCGGATCCATTGGACTCTCCTTCTGCAAGAATAGTCATGGGACAAGCTGTAAAGACTGGAACAGGCTCGTTTAGTGTTTTGCAGCCGTTGGTTAGATCTGCTCGAGGTTGATGACTTGGTATTGCAGCTGTATTCATGTGTCATGGAATACTTTTATATTCATCTTGCAATAGCTTTATTTTGTTTTGGAATAGACAATAATTAAATATTTGTTGCTATTAGAAATTGACTTGCTAGATATTTCCAATTTTTTAAAACACAATGTCCATAATACAATCAGATTATAGTTTAAACTTGAATTTCCGCATTTAGCAGTCATTGTACAATCACCAGATCGACTCGTTGCAGTTCAGATATTGGGATTGACTACTGTTGATGATAATTGACATTATTTCAAGACTGCTGTTTATTGTATTCCTATTCAATGTCCCACTTTACGTGAATACAGCCGTAAACTGTTGGAGAATGAATTATTTTGCAAACTATATTTTTATTTCTAGTTGTACTATTCATGTTTTTATTTACTTTGCAGTAAGTTTGTCCCGAGTGGCATTTATTCATCTGTAGGAGCATCTTCACTCTCACTCTGATCATCATGCTGATCACCTGTATTAGCGTCATCTTTAAAAGCACCGTCACTATCTTGTCCGTTCACGTCGTCATCACCATCAGATCCCAAAGGCCCTTGACCAGTGTTATTAACGTCCCCATCCTCGTGGTTTTCACTGGTTTCCTCTGTATGTAATCCTTGCGTGGAAACGCGACCACTGGCATTCTCCTGGCTCAAATCAGCAGCAGCAAAAGCAAGTGCTTCGGCAGCAGCAACCTTTGCATTCGCAGAAGCAATAGCCTTTGCCTCTTCTTCTTCACGTTTTCTATCAATCTGCTTAGTCAATATACTCATCCGTCCCTTTAGTTCGACATCGACACGTTTTCTTAAAGTCTTTTCCGACTCTACACGTTCTTTGAATGCATTGAGTTTCTGCCGAGTTTGAAGTGTGCGGTCGTGTATCTGAGCTGTAGTAGTTTTGTGAAGGTCGTGTTGAATGAGATAGTTTGCTAGGAATGTGATTGGGTCAATATGTGTTTCATAAGACGATGACGGGCCTGGAACATAGGGAGTCTGAAGAGCAAGTTGACACAGTCCCTGAGCTAGTATATCTCCTACTGTTGATTTGATGTATGTGGTTTCCATGACGGACTGTATTAAACTAGACGCGAGTTGACAGCAAACGAGAATAAAGCACAAATGAATGATCGTTGATCGAGTGCGTTCACTTTTGTTTAGTACAAAAACTGCATTAGCAAAAGTTGATAAATTGTCCATTTTACTGGAGACTGCAATTGCTATTATCATTGCTGAAGCTGGTGGACGAGTATTTAAAAAAGTGGTATTCATGGCTCATACTGGAACTCGAATTTCTGATATTGCTGCTGTTTTAGATTTGCATGCATCTACTGCCAATACCACCAGTAACAGTACAAAATTCAACCCTATCATCACTGCAAATCCTACCGAATCCTCTGCAGCAGCAGCTCATTCTATACTACTCAGACTTGCTCAGTCAAACCCAATCATTTCTCATTCAGATATTTTTAATCAACAGTCCTTGTCGAATCTGAATTCAAGTCTATCCAATGGCCAACTTCCATGGCATTCAGACTCGATTCATCAGAATTCTGGGACTCATGAACTCCTGTATCCGTTTATTCCATCTACTCAGCAAGATCATCCTCATTTTTATTCCAATGACCAGAAATTCGACTCTGAATCCATGTTTTCTCGTTTAAATGCTGCCATATCAAGCACACAGCTAACTACTGATGCGACGTCGGAACCCATTTCTGATCATTCAACTCGCGAGTCTTTAAACGCAGGCAGCAGCAGCAACTCTAATGACCATTCCACCACTGATTTGAATCATTCGTTATCCTCACATTTGTTTATGGAGCAAATGGTAGCAGCAGCAGCAGCTGCAGCAGCTGCTCAAGCTCAGACAGGGTTAGCCCTTAGTTCGACACAGCAGTTATACCAAGATAATCCGTACACTATACAATCTCAGTCCAATCATCAGAATTCTAATTTAATGGATGAGATTCACTCTACGTCGGGTAGAGGAAACGATGGTCATTTGTCGAAATCACAACCTTCTACTTCTGGTGACGGGTTTATTATTCCTGATACGACTGTTGATATTCCTGGAGGAGGAAGAATTGTTGTGAGACAGGACGCTCAGGGTAAATATTGCTGTCATTTATGTGACCATAGTTTTTCCAGGTAATTCAATGCTGATTTGTATCTGATGGCTTTGAATCAAGCAATGCTTTTAATCCTCACACATGTTTAGACTTTTTAATCTTCGGAGTCACATGAGTACACACAGTAGAATAAAACCCTTCCAATGCACAACATGCGATAAGCAGTTTTCTCGTAATCACGATCTAGCCAGACATCAGCGAATCCACTCTAAAGAAAAAGGCCATGTATGCACTGCTTGTGGTAGAAAGTTTTCCAGGTTTGATTGTATGCTGTAACTTGTACATTCAACTGTTTTGTTTGAGATGCTCATTGTATATTATAAATTTGTGTTTTTCCATAGATTGGATGCGCTCAAACGACATTCACGTATGGATAAAGGAGCTCGTAAAGCATATTGTGCAGATTTACCTTTTTCTGAGAAACAATCAACAGATGCCGAACATGACTCAACTCAATCCAACTTACCCCCACACGAAATCCAATTCCAAGAAACACAAAAAAAGCAACAGCAGCAACTACTGAATCATCAGTTGAAGCAACGACACAAGCAAAAACGACAGGTAGAGCAATTACAAGCGTTTCAATCTGCAGCATCGTATCCCAGTATTCACACCTCTAATCAAGACTCGCATCTATCGAGACATCAGAATGATGACTTTTTGTCTCGGCTTGGTCATTCGCCATTTCAATTGCAAGTTTGTCATCTTTCTAATAATGGTGGAGATGGAAAAGAGGATTCAACTCAGGGAGTCGTCGATATTTCCAACTCAACATCAAGAAATGATTTTACACGTGCAGTGATGGTTATTGAAGAAGCGACTGCGGCTGCTGTTGCTGCTGCGCTAGCATTCAACTCACATCTCCAATAATTCCAGCCAAAGAATTGACTTGTCTGTGCAAGTGTCATTCTAAACTACTTTTAATCGCTACATCTACGTTTAGTGTCTGCTTATACTTTATAAAAGCTTGGCATGTATATCAACTATTTATTCATTCAGATTCTGCTACCATCTAGTAATTTGCTCATTTGTCTTTTGATTTGCATTATAAATGTTTTTATTTTCAAATAGCACCAACATGCAACTCGACCAAATTTAGTTTGAAATATAAAGCAGAGTTGACTAGAGATTTTTTGACAAGAGTGGGTTGATTACAGCTAGTACATGTAAGACAGTTCTTGACAGAAATAAAAGATGGTTCAAGTGGGGCATTCACGAGCATAGTGCCCAACAAGACCACATTTGTAACATGAGGATCCGCTTGTACCAGATATGGGATTGGATGCTTGAGGTTCACCTCGTCCGCGAGACAGCTTTGCAGCACTTTGCTGGCGTCTATATGCCTCTAATGCATGATCTGTCAATTCAGGTGCTGTGATCATATCACCACTGTGAGAATAACCTGCATTTTCTCCAAAAGATTGGAGTCCAGTAAGTGGTCGAGAATTAGGGTTGGGTGTAGGAAATGCTCCACTAGTATGTATAGCGGTCTTTGAACCCACACCCACTGGTCGCTCGTAAGATTGTTGTCTAGCTCGTGATCGACTCCTACTGCGCGACTCTGACTGGTAACGGGACCAGTTGGGTGAGTCTGGCGGGTGTCGTTGACGGGAAGTAGTGTAGCGTTTTGGTGAAAAAGACCTAGATCTAGATCTAGAACGAGAGCGAGAACTTGCTGATCGAGATAGTCTAGAGCGTCTAGAAAGCGACGAAGAGCGACTGGATCTGGAGCGAGATCTTGAGTAGGAACGAGAGCGAGACCTCGATCTAGACCTTGATCTGGAGCGCACTCGTTCGACTTGATACTTTTTAGAAAACGATCCATGCAAGACTGGGTTTTTACTCCCAGATCCAGCAGCATCGTCCTTTGCGTACCGAGACAGAGGAACATCGCTCCAAGATCCAGATGATTCACCGCCTCTTCCCAATATGGGTCGAGGAGAGTGATCCGATGGTTTAGAAAGTGTATGAGTTTCAACAGGACTATGCGCTCGATGCGAGCGAAAAGTGTTATCCTTTTTCATAGACCAATCTCCACCTTGAAGTCGCTGCTTGTTATGCTGAATCCATGTATTCAGATATTCCGACTCCCATCCTTCGTCTGAAAACTTGGCTATAGCGGCCTTTGTCACACCTGTATTATCTCCCATATTTAGTTGTGCATCTTTCTGGTCATCATTTGCACACAACTTTATCTTGAAGCATTGCAATCCCATATCGAAATCAGTCATGATAGCTTTCCAGTCTCGATCAGTTGAAGGCATATACCTCCGTCTAGACATTTCTACCATTGATGCAACAGTAACGGGTGTTCCAGGAGGCAAATTGGATTCCTAATAAACAGACAATCAGTTGGAGAATAAACCAACGCATTATCCAATTTAAACGGCTTGTAGAAGCAATAGCCACGAGTTCACATCACTTACTTGGATTACTTGTAACATGATACTTGATGGCAATTCTTCAGCCAATTTATCGTCGAGTAATTCATCCAACTCTTTAAAGTAGGCATCACGCTGCTCCTTTAATTTCAGTTCAAGTTCTTGCTGTTCCTTCAGTCTTTGCTGTTCTTTAAGCTGATGGAGTCTTTGATCAGCTTGAATCTGAACTTGTCTCAATCGCTCTCGCTCTATATCTTCCTGTGAAGGAGGAACAGTGCTAACGATTCGATAAAGAGTGTCAATCTGAATTGGATTCAGCATGCTCTTTGCATGCCAAATATCAATCAACTAGCAAATTGTACAGGTTGAATTCGGTAGGTTAAATATCAAAACATCGATCATATTCAACATTGTTCATAAAACGCAAGTACCTTGCGAAGACTCAAAATTCTGCCCTGAACAATCAAATGCATGTCGTAATTCAAAGGATTCTGATATGCGGCCTGAACTGCCAAAATAAATAATGGATCGATACTGTCCAGCAAGGAGTAATTTATCAACACTGCTAGTTGTTGTGCAACTCTAATAAATAAAATAGATTAGTTTCGTGCCATTCATTACAACATACATGACTGAATAGGTCAGTATGATTAGATGTACCCATGGAATAGTAAATCGTTGACAAAATAAAGCAGATGCAGACGGTCTTCAAAGGCTGCAGGAGGTAAGTTTTGAGAAAAAGAAACCAACTGCATTCCTAGTTGATTGAAATGAGGAGGAATTCTGCAGATCGATAAAACAAAGTCTCTTGCGTCCTGTTAATAGTCATAAATGTATGGAGCATCAATGCATAGTTCTAATATATATGTACTGCATTTGATCAATGATGCAGATTTATGATATAAATAACAATATGTATATGCTCACCTGTATATGATGGTTTGAACAGTTTCGACATAGTTTTGTTAGTAACTCCCATAAAAGGGAGTCTGGTGGAAACAGTACGACTGAATTCATTCAGCTATATTCACGCAGAACGGAACACCAAGAGTCCAAGAATAATAAACAGTTTTGTAAAGTGATTATTGGACAAGATTTGCAAATTCAAATCACTCACGATTATTGACAAAAAGAATGAGAACAGAGTGATGAAATAAATTGAGAATTCAGAAACGCGTATCACGTGTATTGAGATACTCGCATAAATCTCGACCGCTTGAATTGAATTGAATTGTCTGCGATTTCTGTCCAGTTTACAGTCTTTCTGAAGCTTAAAAGACTGCAAAAGTGTAGTTTTGAATTGTAAACTGTAAAGTCTTTTATTTCCAAACGAGTAATTGAAGATTGTGTGCATTTATGATTGACAATCTTGCTTAGTAAATCATCATTTCATGAAACTGGCAGTCTTATTCTGAATATCAATCAACTTGAATATATTCTAAATAATAATCAACTTGAATAAATTCTGAATAACAATCAATTTGAATTTATTCTGAATAGCATGTTCATTTGGATCCCGAGTTCCACCACATGTATAACATAACCAAACCTACAATCAATGCAACAATATCCCAGCTATTGGTCGGTGCGTTTGGTGCTGCTGGAGCAGCTGAGCCAGTTCCAAGAACTCTTCCTGTTCCACTAGCAGCAAATCCGCCTCCTGAATGTCCACCAAGTTCCTTTACAAGCTGTTCCACCTTGTTAATATCTGCGCCAACGACCTCGTTCACTTTGCTGCCCTTTTTGAAAAACTGGAATGTTGGCATTGCTCGTACACCATGCTTGCTTGAGATAGCCTGCAGTTGATCAACATCGACCTTGAGAAACTGCACATTGGGTGTCTTTTTTGCCAAGGCTTCAAATCGAGGTGCAACCATCTTGCATGGACCACACCATTCTGCAAAAAAATCTACAACAGTAAGCTTGTTGCTCTCAATAAGTTTATCAAACTCGGCTACAGATGAAATATGAACAAGCGACATTTGTGTGCTAGGAATGAATCAATTGTCAGTGCTGAGAAAACCAGATTTGGAAATGATGGTTTTGCTGCAAATCAAGAGCAATGTGGTAACTATTCAAGCATCGATATTTCTTGTAGTAGCCTCAGGTAATATTTACAGCTGTGTTCACGTAAAATGGAATACTTTCTAGTGATTGCTTCGAAATAGGCATGACTGGATATTGATCTGGTTTGGCACTCTCGATTCTTGAATCAACACATTATCCACTATATAATACAATCAAATTATGGGTTTGAGTTGGAATTATTGTTGACAGTCAACTAAAAAGTATCATATTGTTTAAAGTATTGTAAAATACACAATGGCTAAAACATCAAGCAGTTTGTCGAGATTTAAACCTGCAGCGCTTCAATCAATTTTACAACTTAAACTATATGATCGTCTTTATTGACTTTGTATGTTGCTAAGGATCATGGTGTAGAACACAACTCAAGACTGCTTGGAGATTGTGACCCACCAACAGTCGTGTCGCCTTCTTGCTTGTTAGGTTCAAGCCCGTCTGTATATACACTGGGCCGTGAGCTTCCACTCATAGATATCTGTCGTTTAAACTGCAATACAATCTGAACAAACAAGAATGTCTCAATAAACTAAGCCGCAAAATGCAATCAGTGTTAAAAACAGTAATGTTAGTCTATTTAACTCGAATAAAGGGTTGATAGATGAAACCCGATTAAAGATATTCAGGCTTACCAAATGAATTCCAATTACGCCAAACGATATCTGCATAAGTGCGTAATGTGCCAATCGATCCATATCTTCCAATATCATTGACGAGGAAATAAACGTGCTAATGGATAGCAGATCCAAAGCAAAAAGAATTATAATCAATATACGAATCATTAGAAAGCCTCGGTCAATTTTCTTTGTTAGTCTGGCCACACTAGATGGATTAAGAGCGACTGTAGTGGTAGAAGTTTGGTCGTCCATAGTAGCTGTACCCGGTACAGTCAAACCATCCCTATTTGCCACATAATTGGAATACATGCCTGACTCGTCACTATCTATCGGAACAGGAGGGACTGCAACTAACGCGATAACACTGCTATTTTGTCGCTGTAGTTTATGGGAATTAAAATTGGCGGGATTTTCAGATCTGGCTGCGCGCAATCTATCAAAATGAGTCCGGGTTCGTTTTAAAATATATAGGTTCTGCAGTACACCCCAAATCCCAACTAAAATCGTATAAATCGCGGATCCATTATTTGCCCACTAGTATACAGCATCATTTTGTAAATAAAAATAATCAGACGTCACTACAGCAATCAAATAAAATCGCTCCTACAAAAAAAGCTTACCTTTGTTGCAGTCGTTTCAAGATTATACGGAAACACCCACTCTTGTAAATATGTTGGCAATGAGCATATCAAATGCACTAAAATAGCAGCAAGACGTATCCATTTCATATTCTCAGATCGAAACGCCTTGATGTTGATTAATCCCTCGTTAAACACACGAAAGATCTCCAGTTGTATCAAATTAAGCAACAAAACGCATATTTGGTAGATAAAGTTGCGAGAAATAAGCGCAGCTGAAGTATATGGAAGATATACATAAGCGACCTCGGATAGTTGAAGAAGAATAGTTGAAAGATTAATTGCAATGAGTGTGATGATGGATGTTGTGAACCTCTTTTGAACACCTTTGCGAATAAATACAATCGTGCCAACTATGCCAGTTATAAACGACAAAGCGGTAAATAACATGCCGAAAAAGGCTAATGGAAATTGAATGATTTCAACATGGTGTATAAAAGGCATTGCTGGGCCAATCGTTTAAATGGCTGTATGACCGAGAAATGTAAACTTGAAAAATAAAAATTAGACCAAATATTTGATGGATTGATTGGAAAAGAGAAATTAGTTACAGCTGTATTCATGTAAATGGAGCAGAGTAAAAATATAGCAGACCATGAATTTCATTGGATGAATTTCCATCACATTTACTGGACAGTATTGTTTTTTGAACCTCTTGAGAAAGCCTAATGATCTTTCTCTTGGTAATTACCAAGAGTTAATGCTGAAACGTGATCTTTGTTTTTTCAAACTAGAACACAACCGCATTTGCAAGATTCTAGGATGCAACAAAGATGAGTGTTACAGATTTGAAACAGTTGAACTTAATATCTGAATTACAATGAATGAATCTGGTGACCATACAATGTATGGCTATCAAAAGAGGAGAAAAGGCAAGTCAAAACCATGGTTTGATTGTATTACATTATAGACGTTGTGTTTTGAAGAATTGAGAATGCCAATTGGGAAAACATTCAATTTGTAGTAGAAAAGCGCAACGAATATTTAACCGTTGGCTTATTCCAAAGCAAAGGAGGCAGTGACCGCAAGATAATGCAAAAATGATACATTTTATGCCGATACGGTTGTGATAATGGTAGAATGAACTTACAGACTACAATGTCAACAGCAAAGTCCACTGGAAACTAAATAGACAAAACTCGAGACAATGAGCTATCAAGAAGCCACAAGACAATCAAATGATGATGTGGCGGGAAACAATTATATGGTCAAAAGGTTGGGATTCCACGAGATTGTATAGGGAGGTATCAGACAATAGCTGCAATATTGCTTACGTGAATAGCTTAGCAAGCTTGGATTAAATGTGGTCGCGTAGCGCTATGGTGCTGTGCTTGGCTTCCTTCAATCCTTGACTAACCCTGACATTAACGGCGTGTCAATGTTTCGATTATTATTCTCAAAGCCAGAGGTAAAGCAGCCCTTGGTCATTTGCATGTTACAGCCATATCCACGTAAATGGAGCACTAAATAGGGTGTCAAAGCACGTAACAAACGGCCAGTTCCATGAACCAGTTGGTGTCAGTTTCCATTACATTTACTGTTCAACTGTTCGACTTGTCCTCTGGACTCCCTGGCGGATTACACACTCCAGGGATGCAATTGTTGTTTCCATGCCAGCCACCAGGGATAAGTTCCGTAAACTGCTTTTTTGGACTAGAACGCGAGCTTGTCTACTAGTCGGTACTGAACAGATTCAAATGGAATGTTGAATACTAATAGTTTGAAGCAATTTGGCACTTGATTCGAGCTATGGTTAGATCTGCACCATGTCTGAGCAACCACGTTTCCAAGACAGGCAATAGTGATCCAATGCATGAATGTGATATACTACACTGACTCGTAGCATAAATCAGTTTAGATGATTTCAAGCATGAATGCTCACTGTATTTGATGGCATTGAACATGGTTAAAGTCGTTTCAATTGAATGTGTATCCACGTTCTATCATAAGCTTGGTAGACCAAACACATCATCAAACCAAAAAGTCTCGAGTTCATTCCATCAACCAAATCTTAATGATAGTAAAACATAGATTATCCCAAGAAACTCGACTGTTACGCACCCAGAGCAGCAGCAATGAATGAGTAGATACGATAGGCAGCACGGGAGCCCCAAGTATCTTTAGGAATAATAAACAGAGACTCTGCGTTTGCATACATGATGGACTTTCCACCAACCAAATCTGCAAATTCACCACTGCCATACTTGTTTGCAGTTGCAGTTGTAGATGACGGATCTACAGGCTCAAAAAGACATTCTGCATCATGAGCTTCAGCAGTGAGATACACTTTACGGCCCTTGTGCTCTTTGATGCGTACACATACAGCAATGGTTTTATTTACTGGCATAGTGTTCTTGAAATTGATGTTGAGATTAGCAGTATATCCAATGTATTTGGATGCTGCATCTGCAAAGAAGAGATAGCCCATACAATCGTCAAAGATGGCGCTGATCAAACCTCCATGTACCAATCCTAAAGCAAACGATAAAATGCTCAAAATGCTCAATAAGCTGAATGAGTTTCATCACAATCACATCTGGGTTTACCTTTGTGGCCACATATCAAATCTCCCAGATGAACGAACATGACCAATGTCCGACGGTCTTTGGAAACCCATCCAGATCCATGTTCAATACCACCCTTTCGAAACAATAGTTTGCCTCGCATCAATGTACCTTCCACAGCATCCAATGATAAGATTTGGCTAATAGTTTTGTGATGTTCAGGATCGTTGTCAATTATAACCTGCTTTTGTCTTTTACCATTACTGTTCTGATCTGCATTCATGTCATCAGTAGAGTCGCTCAACCCCTCAATTCCGCCAACTAATAACGGATGATAGGGAGCTCGTTTGAAACCTTCTTGTTCCATAATGCGCTGGTACAGAGGCAGTTTTCCAATTCTTGTTTGTAATGAATGATCAGGAAGATAAGGAGTAGTTGAATCCAATGCTAGGTTGGATATGGGCAGAGCAGAGCGACGGAGATCAAAATAGCCAGTGTAAGAAAGAGCACCTGCAGTGAACACTCCGCCAGCCATGGCAGACATGGCCATTGCTAAACGACTTTTAGCCATATTGTAATTGATATGTTCAGATACGTTGATTGTGCAAGATTCAAAGTCTTTTGATCGAACGCGATGTGATGGTTTAGAAATCTGTCATCATCTGGAGCGACAAAGCGAGAGTTCTTGAGTCTAGTGTAAACTAGATGAAACTTTGAAGATCGTGTCAGATCAAACCCAAAGGAAGTTGTCCTATATTGAATCCCATACGCGCAGCAGATTACCCAGTAAACTGATTGTACCAACAGGTTGCTGACAATGTATCACTCAGTTTTCATACCCATTATTACTAGCTGTAAAAGTCACATCTTGACCCAAATGCACCTTCATTAAAACAACAGCAAATTAAATCAATATATTCATTGATATTATTGACACCACATTCATAATCAGACTTCCTGTCCGAAATCAGCCTATAATACAACAATTTAAAATAAGCAATAGTCGAGCATAGTAGCAAACAAGAATTATACATTCACATACCGTCCACTTGACATATTGTTCTAAATCGCTTTGATTTACTGATGGTCGGGCTGTAGCCGCCGATCGAAGAAAATCAGCAATTGTAAGTTCTGGTTCTAACAACTCATCCGATCCAACACTTGTCCATGATTTTTCAATTGCTCCTGGATCGCCTGGCGAGCATGGAGTAAGATGCACTGTCATGACATTTGGATCTTTTCGCGATGGAGCTTGTACCTGGAACAAAAACAGCATCATCAATGAGCTGAGATAGTCTGAATATACCGATTAAAACAAAACATGCATAATGTACCTGTTTAAAATGCGTAGCATTCTGAACTTTTCGAATAGGCTCCATCAATGCATCACGAACAAGTACCGCAATATCGGATCCAGAAAATCTAGTAATCATTGAATCAAACTGTTGGTACCATAACACAACTACTGCACAAGTTTTCATAAACAACACACCCTTCAGTTCGTTCACCCAGCATCCGAAAATCTTTTTGGCCTAGTCTACAGGGTGTCGATCCAATATCCAGACTGACCATGCGTGCACGAGCATTCAAGTCTGGTAATGGAATATAAATTCGTTTTTCAAATCTACAAGCAGTTTAAGAAACTTGATCAAAAAACAGGCAACTTGAATCTTGTCATATACAATAGAGTTTAAAGGGCATCAACAGGGTTATCCTCACCGACGACGAATAGCACTGTCTATCTGCCATGGGATATTTGTGGCACCAAGTACCAACACACCAGTAGTATCGTTTCCCACACCTTGCATCTGCACAAGAAATTCAGTTTTAATACGCCGCGATGCCTCGGATTCTCCTTCGCCACGACTGCCACAGAGCGAATCTACTTCATCAATAAAAATAATCGATGGTTTGTTTTCGCGAGCCAGAGTAAAAAGTTGCTTTACAAGTCTATTCAATCGAGTAAAATCAAAATAATTAACTGTAATGTACATGTAAACTACAATTGAATATTAATAAAAGTACCTTTCACTCTCACCCAACCATTTGGATACAAGATCTGCTGAGCTAACAGAGAAAAACGTAGCATCTGCCTCTGTTGCAATGGCTTTGGCCAGATATGATTTACCAGTACCAGGAGGCTATTGATCAAATAAAGATTAGCGTAGTAAACAACATGGTATATTTTATGTTGTGTCATACCCCATAGAGAAGAATACCACGCCATGGGGTTCGTTTCCCTGTAAACAAGTGAGGAAATCGAATCGGCAAAATAACAGCCTCTTTGAGTGCTTCCTTGGCACCTTCAAGACCAGCAACATCATCCCAATGCACATTGGGCTTTTCCTGTAAAATTGCTTCGGCAAGTGCCTTTTTAAGTTTCTTGGTATCTGCATCCTCTTTCTTTCCTTTACCATCTCCATCCTCCTCCTCATCGTCCTCATCACTGGATTTATCCTGATGTTTTCCTAGTTGAATTGATGCGACAATCAGCCATACACGATTCAAGACCCAAATAACGTTTTTGAATCATCCATTCAAAAAAACAAATCATAAAACATTCATACCATTTCCTCCAGAATCACCGACAGAAACCGGCTTTTTCTTTTTTTGCTGCTTTGCCAAGTACTCTTTGAGCTTTTCTGCACGATCCAGATACTCTGTAAACTTTTTGCGAATAGATTCTTTAAGCTTGTCATTTTTTTCATCTATCAAATTGGAATGGATCGTGTAGATACACAAGGTTAGTTTGTGATGAATCAGTAAACACCAATCATCAATTCCAAATTACCAAAAGCAAATTCAATGTTTACATTTCATGGCAGTCATAAAATATTCTAGACTATTCGTGTACAGCTTGTATGCTTCTTCAAAGTTGCCTTTGCCATCTTCTTCTGTAGCCTTTTTGACAATTTCGATTGCTTTCTATTTAGCATGGTTTGGTATCCAGACAGGCATGGGTTAGATTCAAAATGAGGTTGGACAAGAATCCAAGACAAGCAAGATAGTTGCAGGTTTTGAGCATGATCCAGTTGCTACTCGAGATATTTTGGATACAATTCAATCTGCATTATCCCTGGTTGCTCATGTCATGTAAAAAGTAATGATGTGGTTGGACTTTTGGAATTCAAAAACACCCTATTGAAATAACCTGGACCATCAGATACCATACTGTAAAGTGTAGTGGGTCATCTAGGATGCAGTTTGAACTACTGTCCAATATTGACCAAATACGAGCTGATTTAAACCCAATCCAGTCCTGGCTGTTGCAAAATATGAATATTTAAAAAACTCAGTAAAACATATAGACTCAACTCCTAAAAAGTCAACACCAGCCATGGTAGCGAACGACTGGCCCAGATGAGTTGTACAAGTTGATGTCAAATTCAATGACAAATTTGGCTTTTGGCAGTCAAACCTGATAGTGGCCAGTCGCTATCCCACACTATGCACTGCAAATGCACTGTTTTATTTGAAACTGAATTGAAGATTGTGATTCCAACACCGTCTGATGACCGTATACTCTACATGGATATGAATGAATTCATTTATAAATCCTCAAAGTTGAATCTCCAGATATAATGGGTAGACTGTATAATATACAGTGTGGTCTTTTTATTTTGCCGTTTCAGTCGCCATTTGTTTGTTCTGCATCGGCAGAAACCATTTGGATTTATTGCTGATATGGGCGGTGGTGATCTGGTAGATGCATGCTGTTGGATAGAAACTTGAACAAAACTTATTGTCGACCATACTAACCACGACTCTTTCGACATCTTGTAGAACTTGAAAAAGTCATGGCATCCAGGAACATTCCGCAATCAAGAGAATGTATGGAAGAGAGAACAAGCTGCTTTAGAAGAAAAAAAGAAACTAGACCAGCTTCGTAAAGAAAAGGCCGAGGAAAGAGCAAGGGAAGAACTACAAGCTCTCAATAATGGTCGCATCAAGTAAAGTGTTTTGCATGGTTCATTGGTTTACGAACCAAGCTTAAAGAGTCTGTTCAACCATTTACGTTGGTCTGGCATCTAACTTTCACTTGAAATTATCGTATGGAACTAAATTGTATGTAGGAAATCTGATACTCGGCTAGAATGGATGTATACTGTTGGTCCTGGAGCAGTGTCAGGAGATATCAGTGAAGACAAGGAAGCATTTCTACTTGGTAAAAAAAGAGCAGATAAGCTAGTCGAGCAAGGTACCAAAGTATCCGATGTGAGTACCATGAATTTGCATCGCTTGAATCTAACAATGTCTTGGCTGGTTTAAAGGTAATAAACTAACTCGGTGTGCATAAAAGATGTCTACTGCGGCTACATTTACAAAAACCAACTCAACCTTGTACGGAATGACTGCCAACTCTGTTAGAGATCTGCAAGCAAAAATCCGAGATGATCCACTATTAGCTATTAAACGACGTGAGCAAGCATCTGTTCAGGCTGTTTTGAATAATCCAATTCGTCTGAAACAATTGACCGAAATGAAAAACAAGGAAAAAAAGTCTAAAAAGGAAAAGAAAAGCAAGGATCGTCATGGTAGAAATGCGTCTCCTTCACCACCTCGCCATAGGCATAAGCGTTCCAGTGATGCATCGAGTCCTCGAGAGTCAATAGCAGTTTCTTTAAGCCGTGAAAAAGAACGCTCATTTGTTCCACTGGAAGAAAAACACTCGAGACATTCCAGATCTCCTAAGCGTAGTCATGTGGATAGACAGAGTAGATCTGATCGTCATTATAGTCCTTCATCTCGAGTACAGAAACCATTGCATCATAGTGATCGATATGAACAAAGCAGCCGTAGACATAATAATGAGAGTAGATACACTTCCCGGGACAGTCGATCGCGATCACCTAGAGATGGGCATAATACTAGACACCACGATTCGGATGCTCCTCGTACATCTGTATCTCGCCATACAAAAGACACATCATCTAGCTCACGATACAGATCTCCACCAAAAGACCGATACAACGATTCACCCAAAGACTACGCCAAAGCCAAGACACATTCATCAAATGCATCGCATCGAGCATCTCATGGTGAGTTGACTACCGCACCGTTAGAGTCGGCTGTAAATGGAGATTACGAATCCCATAAAAAACGACAGGAAGAAGATCGTATACGCAGGTTAGAAGCGATGCAGGGAAATGCGAAAAGGTTAATACAAGAGCGAGAAGAAAGAATCAAGACGGCACGGATTCAAGATGCTGCAGAACAAGCAGCCGAGGAAGATGCTCGACGAAAACGGTCGAGGGTTAGTGGATCCCTTACAGCTGAAGCTAGTTTCGAAGCAGACATGCATCTCCAGGCATATGTGACTTCAGGGGCGACTGCGGCAGACATGATTCAACGCAATCGAGCATTTGCTGAACGCTCTGTTGTCGAGCATTGAATAAAACTTGATGTATATCAGCCAAAGCAGTTGTCCCTTTATAATATGGAAATATGTGGCTTTCGCTGTGGTGTTAAGCGGCATAGATGGCATGGAAAGGGCTACTGTAATTAATTTAGGACGATTCGTTATTTTTAAGCTATTTATAAACGACTCTTTTTGCTTTCCATCCACCGCATACACTATGAATCTTATTCAATACTTTAAAGCCCATTTCTGCAAGAAATCTGCATCCATGTCCAGTGAGCTATGTTGAGATGCAATCATTGTGACTGTTTTTGCTGTTGCTGTTTTTGTTGCTAATGCTATGCAGAGAAAAACATAATTGTTATGTTCAAGGACGATACGTGCAAAGAAGTAATCGATAAAGCTGCTTCGGATTTAATCGCTCAAGGTCAGCATATACCATTCCAATTGATTAGATGTGCATCGATTTACTGTATTGTCACTCATTTATTTTTTGAATTTCTGCCAGGTGGAGTCGTCCACCATCGTTATGAAAGTTCTATTCTTGGATTCTCTGCAACTGTTCCATACAGTCTTATAAGTAAGTCTGTATTATTCTGATGAGTGTTTTTGCTGTGAATCCTGACTACTGTGACAATTAGGCGTCCTTGAAGCCAATGAGCATGTCGATTCTGTCGAGCTTGATGGACAAGTCAAGACTATGCCTATCAAAAACTAACGCTATTACAGACTCGACATAATGATTGCCATGCATTTTACTATTAATCCAAGATTCAATCAAAGCTGTATTCACGCAAAATGAAACACTTGTATTTGTCTTGAAGTGGTTTTTGACTCGATAAAAATGGTTAAATAATTGTGGGCTTTTCTATTAAAGATTGACTATTTTAATAGATATTTCTAATTCTTGGAATACAAGGTGGAGTTGTACAGAGTTTGATTGACAGTAATATGGTGGATGTTTTATCCTAGAACATCATATACGTCTATGCCCAGTTCAAGCAACAATGATCGTATATCCAGAGAATACAATTGTTTTCATGCCTATTACCAGAAGAATCAAAAACACTGTTGTTCAGCAAACTCGATCATTTCATGAGACTGACTGTTTATTATACTTGGCTCTCTTATTTAGCATCACATTTACATGGATATGGCGGTGAATTGGCAATATGAAATGCGTCGAGACATGCAGGAGATTATACCTGGTTTATGGCTAGGTCCATATTCTTGCGCTAGAGATAATTCACTGCTGCACCTTAAAGGAATCACTCATATTCTATGTGTGAGAGAAAGCAATGAAGAAATGATGGTTCGCATGCGGTTTCCAGAAGAGTTTCATTACTTGTGCATGTAAGTTTTACAATAGGAGCAGTCCTGGATACATTAGACTATCATTTCAAATTTAATCTTGCCAGGACATGTCAGAGCTGTTATGCAGCCATTACCTTGGTGTTTTGTAGCAGATATGAAGAACGATACCATTTTGTTTTAAACTATTCCAATCACTAATTCATGCATTGAATATCATTCCATTATCGCAACAGCCAAGCTTCCGACTCTCCACTTCAAAACCTCATTCCATTGTTTCCAAAGGCCACCTCATTCATTCATACTGCAATCACAAACGGTGGATCCGTACTAGTGCATTGCAATGGTGGCATATCTCGATCGCCAGCTTTCGTTGTAGCCTATATGATGGACATGCATGACATGCAGTTTGCAACTGCATTTCAGTTTGTCCAAAGCAAACGTTTCTGTATGAACCCGATTGAAGTGTTCAAGTACCAACTCAGAGTAAGCTTTGATTTAACTTGGTTTCAATGCAACTTGTTCTAACCCTTTGTCCTACTTTTTAGGAATACGAGCCAATTATCATGGCACGAAGAGTGTCTGAAAATGAAGAATTTGCCCAAGAATGTGGCCAGGCTCGTGGCAGTACTCGAAGACGACTCGAGGATGAGAACACATCTATAGACTTGCATATTCATTCCCCTCGTGTACGGCCCTCGCCCATTTAGACTTGATTCTTTTACATGCATTTTGCTTGTCTGGCCAATACACTTTACTAGAACTCACCAATTGGCAATTTCTTTAATGAATGAACAAGACATTCTTGAACTGTCAAATCAAATAGATTCGTTGATATGCTAAAATAAAACTAAAAACATTTATTCCTTTAGCGCATGCTGCACTATCAGGACTGCCAATGCTGAGAAATATGCCAAGGTCATTTACGTTTGCTAATTTTGACCATGAGTCCCTTTTTGAATCCATGAGTTATAGAGGTGAAGCGCTCCAGCTTTTGATTAGGCACCAGCTCAAACTGGAATTCACGCAGTAAATGAATCATCACCACTTTGATTTCAACCATGGCCATCTTTTGCCCAATACATTTAAACGCACCGTCACCAAATGGCAAAAAAGTGCCAGGGACGCATGGCTCAGCCCATCGGTCTGGATTGAAACGTAGTGGGTCTTTCCAATACCTTTCATCGCGATGGATATCAGCAATACGAAGCATGAATTGGGTCCCTGCTTTAAATTCATATCCCATGAGTTGTATGTCATTGGTAGAAACACGCATCACATTCTGTAAAACAGAGTCGAGTCGTTGAGCTTCTTTAATCACCCAGTCAAGGTATTCGAAATGCATTATGTTTTCCATGTCAATGTCTTTGTCGAGCTTGGAATATATCTCGCAAATGTCTGTAACCAATTTGGTTTGAATCTCTGGGTGAATACACAGCTGAAAAATAATAAATGTCATTGTACTGGCTGTTGTACTAAACGGTAGTTAGTATATTTCTACATGAATTATAAATCGGATTCAATGACAGTCGACTCACTCGTAGCCTGCAATAATAAAACCAATAATTTCACTAATAATCTCTTCCTCGGATAGTACCTATCATTGTATAATGTCAATAACATTCGAATCTTTCACATTAAATATTTCGTAATACTTACCAGATCTCCTGTGCGACTGTTTAGCAGTCTTTCGAGTACATCCATATGCAGTGGATCTTTGCTGAGCTCTGATTCACAAGATGCGTCTCTTTCATCAATGACCTTTTTTACAGTCAATCTCATATAGTCTGCCGTTTCACGAAGTGCTGGGGAATTGTCGGCAATATTTGCATAGCTCCAAAAGATTTTTGGTAGAAGCACACGCTGGTATAATCAATTGAAAGAGCATAGTCAGATTAAAGTGATAAACCCAAAAACACAATACATTTGAAAGCTTACTTTTTGAAGAAGTACTAGGAGTTTTTCAAATAGTTTGTAGCCCTATTCATCCAGCCATTAACGACTGTATTTAGTAAAATGCTTACAAATAGTGTACATTTTTATAGCATAGCGAACCTTTTCGTTGTTTCCAGATACTGTTTGCTTGACTGCATTAAACTCGTATTTGAATGCGACTTTTCCACTATATCAAACATTTGCTTGTTAGCATCCAACTGGATTGATTTAAATATCATGAATAAGCGTGTAACCTGCATTATATCCAGAGATAAAGATATCATATAGCAGTGAATGTCGATAATACAGCTTTTGGACGAATCGGCTTGAATAAAATTGTTTATAACAGTGGATATAACAGCAGCAGTTTCTTTTGATGCATGGACAGCTAGTCTCAGATGTGGCAAACTAAATGAAGATTGCAGCAATTTACGATGCTTTTTCCACAGTGGTCCACCAGGTAGAATAAAAAGAGCATACTGGAACAGAGATTTTGCAGCCCTAAAACCACTATCGGGACGAATAATATCTGTCGAGTTTTGGAAAATACTTTGAACAGCTTTGGCATCACAAACAACTACAGAATCGATCCCTAAAGATGGCAGTATCCAAATGGGACCGTACTTTTTCCTCATGGCTGCTAAATACAGATGCGTTTGATGGTTTTTTAAAAACCTATTGATCAACCGATATGACGGTTCAATTCCAAGATTGGCTTATTAATGACTATACGCATTCAGATCCCCAACTGAAGTAAAGGAATGCTTACATTAAAAGAATAGGAAACTGTCCAACAATAGGCCATGCATATGGACCAGGTAAACCATTGAGGGGCTTTGAGAGATGCCTCCAACATGCCAATCCAAAGCAAACAAGTACTGGAGCGATCAAATACACTGACGGACAATATTTCTTTTCCATAAATCCAAAATAGAGTGAGATTGATGGCATAGTGAATGGTATAACGCTCATAATTGTGGTAAACATTGGTGCTAACAACGATGGTGTTTTGTCCAGAAAGGCGAGTATTTATAGAATATTATAGTCATATTTGCGTAAAATAGAACACCAAAAAGAGTGTCAAAGCATCTAATAAGCATCTAGTTTTATGAAATGATTCTCACAGATTTATTGGACAACATTGTCGAGTCCTTGACAGAGTTGATTGGTAACTATTCATTTTTGTATAAAAAACTGAACGGATATTCAAAGCAGCGTTCACATCACGGTTCCAATAAATCGCACGTCCTTATACTCGTTCAATCTCCAACTCTCCTTTGATTCAAACCGATCATTACCAGTAAACATTGAATGAAGACAGCTGTTGCACTCCAGAGACATGCAATCGTTGTTTCTTGGAATAGACTGCAAACAGACGAGCTTTTAGGATACTGCAAACAAAAAAAGTTTATTCGAAAAGCAATCTCGGCTGAAAGACTATAGTTTGATTGTATAATGGCCGTTGTGTTTATTGGGCAAGCAGTCGATTTGCAATAGGAAATCCGGATATTTAACCATTGCTTATTTCAGAGTTTATAGGAACTCTCATAGCCCCTCATGTTTGAAAGTGCATTACAAGTAGAATGTCCGAGTTATAAATAAACGCATTGCTTTGGATTTTTATTAAAAGCTAAACTCATCGAGGGTACTGGCATTATGCTCGGTCATTTCAACAATCACAATTGTTGTGATTGCATTGGTGAACCAATCGATTCACAATTGGATGGTTAAATTAGTAAAGACTGCAAAACTGTAAACCAACTCCAATACTATCAGTCCTGATGGGGTTTGAATGGCTAAAGGACTCGTCTAATGGTTATGGGGATATTGATTGTATTGTCATTTTTGGTCTTGGTTCTATACATTTTGAGATCTGGAATTAGACTTGACCCTTACTCATTTGCCAGGAGACTGGATCAAAATAGACTGGCTTTGGATAATATATACCCAAAAGGCTGTGCCTTGCTATTTAACCAGTCTACACAATTAGTGATGTCACAAGTGTTGAAATGGTCTCAGCTACTTATTATCCAATGCATCTTCCCAAACGATTTATAGCCATGCTCACGCAAAACAAAACACTTTATCTTGCATTGATTCATTCATTGCAATCCAAATATTGAATTCGACTATTCTGATATTGTCAAAATTCTGCAACTAATATGTTTGTACTCTAATTCAAGAAAACAGAGATTGCACGATTTGGAAATACAACAGTTGTTTACATGTAGTAGCCGGGAGAAAGACCAAGACGTAATGCATGAGACTAGTAGTTCATTATACCGAGTCTTGTTTAGTATCACATTTACATAAATACAGCTGTAGATTGGCAAAAGTAATGTGCTTTCTTTGAATCTATGCTATTATAACATACGCGGAAAAACACAAGTGCATGCTGAAAGCTTTACCCACTCAAATAAGCTTATCCCACTCATAGATCATCCAAAGGAACTGCAACTGGGGATGGTTACCCCATCAAGCCATTGCAAAGACTAAGCATTTACTTGATTCAAAAGTCACTCGGCAATATGTCCACGCCAGGTTGTTTGAAATCCAGGAAAGCAAGGGCTAGTAACAGGTCTTGACATTTAGCAGCTCAACTGCCAAGACCCAACTATGTGCTGATTCAATGGCTAATATGTAAATGGACATGGAATGGTGAATCAACTTGGAAGGGATGGCGTGGAAATAGGTCGATTTTAGTTGGTCTAAATAGTAACAGCAGTTGTACAGGTGCCATCAGGATTTTTCAACCAGATCTACACATTATATCCAAAGCTCATTTGGCATCTCGTCATTTTTTCAAAAAGAGCAAGCTTCGCTCATGTCAGCAGCAGAGCAGAAAGGTAGAGAATTAGCGGCGTTTGGCTTCTACAAAACTGGCGCGTCTTTAGCTGTAGCTTCAGATCTGGCGGGACCATTCGCAGCCACAAACTACACGATTAGTGTATACAAGGTTTACTCCGCTTTCAGCCCCGCTCAGCACACCCAACCGCACCCACAAACAGAAAATTAGTTCAAGCCCCGCTCGGTTATATGTCTGCTTTCTATACACTTTATCCCCTCGTCATATTTTGTTAAACCCCCTTTCGTATCGGTTAACCCTGTTTCAATTCATCTAGCCTAAAATAGCCATTTCAATACTGCACCACCTCCTTTACTTGAAGCAAGTATCTTTTCTCGTCAAATTAACACTAATTCTATTTGCTTATTGACTCCAACTACGCCCGTCAATTCCACACTAAATCCAATTTAAATCCAATTCAAGCTTTGATTTTGACTGAATCTTACCCCTTGCTAAGTTTGCAGCTTTCCCTCATTGCACTTGTTGGCAAGATATTCCCAAGATCCATTTTACACATATAGGCGTGCAGGTTTGCATCAGCTTCAAGTATACCAGATACTCTTGTTCATTTAAAAATAATGCTGGCTACATTTCATCCAATTACTGCGCAGTTAAATACAACTAATTCAGATGCTGGCGTAGATGGTAAGAAACTTTTTTGCCATCTTGTTTTTATATACTGTGTTTGATATCAATTATAAAGGGTGTCGGCGCCATTGCAAGTGATGCGGCTATGTGTCGAGTACATTCAAATCCACCTTGAATATGCCATAGAAATGCTATCGAGATGCTACTTTCCCTTGTTCATCTTCATTGTAATTTAAGCATATGACAAGATCTGCCTTGATCGCCCATTACACAAATGACATTCGTGCCCATCAGATTAACAGTGTTCTCTGATGTTAATCCACAGGTCAAAGGCTTGGTTCAGCCCATCTGTCTGCACAAATGGCAAGAGACGACCGTTCTCCACTGTTCAAACTCAAAGCAAAGGTCAGAAAATTGACTCCGTTGACAATGCCATTGCAGCAACCTCGCGAGCAAATGAATTTAAAGTTGGAAAACGGCTTTGACGAGCAAAATCATTTACATCAGCTGTCACAAAGTTTCACTGCGCACCCAGGCGGAGGAAACTCATCTTTAATAGAAGAAGGCATGTACGATTCTTTGCATGGAAGTGGCATGGCCATGTCCAGAACTGCTCAAAGAATAATACCATCGAGTTACAACTCGTATGAATCTGGTAGTGTGTCGGCTATTGAGCTTAACGAAAATCGTGGCCCAGTAAACTTTTTGTTTATGCACGAACCACTATCGGATATGCAATTGCCATCTCAGCAAAATTTGAATTATCAGCTGCAGCAACAGCACCCACTTTTGATGCAACAACATACCCAGATGCAACATCACCTTATGCCTGCGTACTCTGCAAATAATCATAATCTTCATTCTTTTAATTCTGAATTCGACTTTAGAGCCCCACTGTCTGCATCTGGCCAGGCTATATTCGCTGATGGTGGAAACTTGACTCCTTCTACTATGAATCCCAACTCTTCAGCATTTAATTTTACCACGACTAATACCCATCATCCAGTTAACATGCTGTCTTCCACTGCAAATTGGCTGACTGCAACCACTCGAACATCCATGTTAAATGGAGGTCGAGTAGATGCCGCGTCAATCGGATCAGGCTTGCAAATCTCAGCACCTGTTTCCATTACTCCATATACGCTATGCAAACCGACCTTGCCTCGCGGACCAGTTTCGTACATACCTGCCGTATCTTTAAAAGAAGGCCATAATTCTACTTCATCTCTTGTTTCATCTGTAGCCAAGTCTATTCCAGCAGTGACCCGCCATTTTCTTCACCATTCAGCTTCTAATCCGCAGCACAGTTTTATTCACAGTCCACTTATTCAGCAAGATTCCTCTCGATACCAGAAGGACTCGAATGAGTTGAGCCTAAATCAGCGTGACAAGGTTCAGAACCCATATTTACGACGTGGCTCAAACTCGCTCTCTGCCAACTCTGCACTGTGCTCTGATTTAGAGTATTACGAACCTACCGTTCATGATTTGGCCGCTAATACCGACTCTTTATCTCTGGATAATAAATTTAATGGATATGCTATGCATAACATGCAGCATCAGACTAGTCATGGCATGATCAACTCTATGGACGGATACACTGACGATGTTGATGGAACAAGCTATGCAGGTTTGATGGACAACAATCAAACACTTGCTGGCATTTCCAATGAGGGTTCTAGCGCAAGAAATCACAATAACAATCATCGCCCAAAGAAAATACGCAAAACAGCACCTGCCGAGGTTTCTGATGAGGCTATGAGCAGTGATCCTGACTACTATGGATTTAAATCTGAAAGCAGTCGAAAACTAGATTCCCATGAATTTAATGTATATATTCTTGCATCTCTTCGTGCTGCTGGTAGAAGAGTTGACAAACTTCCTTGCGTGGATCGCAAAACACTTAATTTCTGGGCACTATACCATGGTATGTGTTGGTAATATTAGTAGTGGATGCAAAATGACTAGACTAACCTTGACACTACCTGTATGTTTATTCATTTTATTTCTACTATGCTTGATAGCCGTTCTTGATCTTGGAGGATACAAGGTGGTGACTATTCAACGTAAATGGAAGCGTGTAGCCGATTTGCTCAAGTTGAGGAAATCTTTGACAAGCTCGTCGTTCACGTTGCGCACGTATTACGAATATTTTCTCGGCGCGTATGATGAGCATGTGCTGGCTGCAACGGTTGGTGCCAACACGCAAGGTGCTGTTGCACAGAGCAATAAACAAGTATTAGGTGCACCTGCCGAGTCACCTTCATCTAAGCAACTGGAGAAACCTTTAGTTCAGCTCAAGCAATCGTCTTCCCAGTTGCAACAAGAAACTCGTCAACAACCACAGTTGCATACCGTCAAAGATAATGAGATTGAACGGAGTAGAATATCATCACAATGTGAGCAGATTGCATACACTGATTTTGGTCCAATGGAACTTGTGACTGCATCTCCGTTTACATCATTCACAACTACAACACCAAATATGCAGTACGCCAATCCACCCACCATTCTCCCAGAAGTGCTTACTCAAATCCTGCAACCTCACCATATGGATCTCGTACAAACATCCAGTCAGCTTCGACTGGCGAGTGCTGAATTAGCATCAACTACTCCATTAATATCGCATGCTGTTCTTGATCCAGCCTATTCAAATACATCGCAGCACAGTTTATTGACCACGTCGACCGCAACGACATTGCATGATCCAATAGGCACACCCAGACTTTTAACAGATATGATTGGAACAACAACGCCTATAAAACAGCCTATGCTGGGTATGTTTCAGTTTGAAGACTTGATAACAAAACCAGAATGGACATGCCAGTCTTTATCCGATACTACCAAATTGACAAACCACTTTGATTCAGATTCAGTATCTGATTACCGTACTCCGGTCTCATCGTTTGGAGCACTTGATTCATCAGTCTGTGTTTCAAACGAAACCACCGCACTTGGAACTTTGCTTCCTTGTTTATCAACAACAGAGACTCAACCCATAGAGGATATGGATACCAAGCATGCGTTGGAAGCTTGTTTAACGTCCAATACTGAATTTAATTTTAATGATTCCCAAACAGATATGATTAATCTAGAAATTCCCAGTAATACAGATTATGCGTCTCTATTTACATTGATGTAAAAACAGATGCATGCCTTTTCGGAATACCGTTTTGATATTGATTTCAAACTTTTCATTTATTATTTGATACTTGCGTTTTTTACTTGAATATATTTATGTTGGACCCTTTGTTTATAGTTGCATATTTTTGGATTGTGGTTGATATTAATGCCAGATTTTGCATTTAGAAATTGTTGAAGTCCATTTCAATATTTTTCAATATATTCAGTGTTGAATTTGTAAATCTCAGACAAAATGACAGTGAGGGGTGGAAAGAGTATCTATAGGGGAAAGGTGGAGTATCTATATAAAGGTGAGTTTCAAAATTTAGAACGACGCAGTCTTGTCAATCAAATTGATGATTTCACATAAAGCCATAACACGTCGCATTTTTGTAATCTTTGACAATTGCTGCTCAGGACTAAGTGCAGTAAGCAGTCCAGTCAGTCCATTACGTCCAATGATATCGCCCAAATCCTCTGCTTGGTTGAGTGAAAAATGTGAAGAAGAAATAGGCTGGATAGCAATGTTGGTCGACTGGGGTCCTTGGCGCTCAAGGCCAGAGTGAGTGGCCATGGATTGGAAAATTGCATGAACAAGGTAGCTTAGTTGTGGCGACTTGGTCGTTAGCATAATGTTGGAGAGTCGTGAAATGAGGCGCACATATCTAAATAATAGCAAAAATTCAAGATCTACCATGAGTCACTGGAATATATTTGAATTATAAAGCAACATGCTATACTTACAATGGATAAAACACCGTGGGCGATTGGCATGCAATAGCAGCAAGCAACCGGTAAATCTGCAACATCTCGGGTTCAAACTCGCTTGCCTGAAGCAAGACCTGCAACAGTCCAAGCATGAGTGCCGACACCGTAGGATCGTCCAACGGTACCATTTTAAGCAGTCGATTACGCCAAGTCGGTCCACCATAAATAAGATTATCGCTGCCATTTCCAATAGCATTTGCTTTACCAACTGCAGAAAAGGCTGAAACAGGTTGCTGTATACCCGATAGAAATTCTTCAGATCCGCCTGAATCGTCAATTTCCCCTTGAGAGTCGCCATCGTTTTCATATCTAGTAATACCTGCCAAAGACAAGAGCGCATCCGGTCGTTCAGAGGTGGGTAAAAGTGCAATCACGTATCCCAAGGAGTCTTTTGCAAAGTTGTTTGCTTTGGCGTCATGGGACGGTGGAAACGCTGGGTCGCCAGTGGTGGATTTGGATGCATGTATAGTATCCGACTGAACAGATGACATTTGCAGCAGCATGCTTAAAACTTTAGTTGTACGTTGCTTAAGCGCTGGATTGCAAATACCCTTGAGCAGTGTACCGGCAATTGAAAAGGAAAGATATTCGCCAAAATAAATCTGTGTTTCGTGATCGAGTTTTACAGCTTCTTCATGAATCAGCACACGACCATTAAGCAACATCTTGGTGAGCGTAGTTCCTCGCAGTTTGGGGTTTTCTTCAACTAATCGCAAAACTACATTCAAGAGATCTAGTCCGCTATGGAAAAATGGAATATATCCAACTTGAACAAGTCCAATGCCTAGCCAAAACAGTGGTACAATAATATGCTCGTGAGCAGGCGCACTATATAGCGAATTGCATAAACACATGACGACACTTTGCACCAAATGCGGTTTGTTGTCCTCAAACCGAAGTAAAGCTGACCGCAAAGCAACTAGTGTTTGATATAGTAAATCACTATCAAATCCTTCTTTTGCCAGTGATCCAATCATAATGAATGAACGAGTTTGTGCCGTAAAATTGTCTTCAAAGGCTGATCGTGCAGCAAGTGAGATCCACCTGGTTTTCCATGTGGCACAGACTTCCACCGATGAGGCTCCATAGGAAACAATATCAATCAAGGTGCTGACAAAGAAATCAATGTCAGGAAGAGCCAAGTCACGCACGAGTTCACCTTGAACTGTTTCACTGTTGAATACAAATGCAGGAGTGATGAAATGACGAAATTGATCTGGTCGAATACGACCAAAAGATGTGCTAGACTGCATAGTAGACGAAATATGCTGAGTGGATAACCCAAATAATCTTGCATATTTAGGATCGTGGAATTTATCCAAGGCCACATGCAATCCAGAGATACTCGTTTCGCTTCGTCCAGCGCTGCTTAATAAAATTTGCAAGGTGTTCATAATGATTCCATGAATAGTACGGCGAAGAATCGGTGACCCAAGTCCAACCACCAACGTAAGTGCATGAAACAGGTCCGCAATATACAGTTGAAGACACAGTTTATCATCAAATGACAGCATAAGAACAAATCGTAGTAGAACTTGCACAAGAGGCCATGCTGTATGATCAACAATCGAGGTACGGGGTTTGATGGCGGTAGATGTTAAAGCCTGTCTAAGAGCTTTGATAATTAATCCTGCAACAATATGACCATTTCGTGCCGCAAGAGTGATCAGGGTATTTGCCAACACTTCCGTTTCACTAGCGCCAAATGGTAACTGCTTCGCCGTGTCAATAAACAGATCAATGATAAATGGTATCAAGAGCTCGTGTTGTCCAAGAACACTCCATATATACGTTTGGATTGCTAAAAAATTCTCTCGCTCCTTCAATGTAAGATGGATCAACGATGTCAAGACTTGAATGACTTTGTTGCGGGACTCTGTCACTTGAGCAGGGCTTTGAATTGAATCAGTGGGTGTAAGGTATACAACTAAATTAGGTAACCAGGGCAAAATGTAGTTTAGCATATGCATCTGAAGTTCTCGACTGATACGTGAATATCCTAAAAGTCCTTCAGCGACAAACTCGAATGTCAATGCAATTTCAGATTTTGCAAGAGCCGTACTAATGTCCTGTACAAATCGATGCGAGTTGAACGGAATCGCAAGCCCTTTGGTGCTGTGGAGGTGTACACCAGCATTGAACCCAAATCCATTTACAATCGCACAGAGGAGATCGTAGCTAGCAACACGAAGAGCAGGCTCCTCACTGCACAGATTCAAAAAAGCAATATTCAACAAGGTTCCAGGCAAATCGCGTGGTGACACATTCCGTTCGTCAGCATTAACGGGTGGTCTAGACAGCTGGAACCGAGCAACAGCTGACCTCAATACTTGCAAAATCGTATCTCTTCTTGGTGAAGACAAGTAAATGATTGTGGCATTTCCTGTTTGCATAGTATTGACCGTTCCGTGCTTTTCGTGAAACTTGACGTAAAACTCTGTATCGCTATTCTTGGGATCAGTACAAGACACGCCAACATCGCGAATATCCGACACATGAAAAATATCAACAATAGGAGGTTGCAAGCCCATAAGCTCCTGTTTTTTTGCCATGAGCAAAATCAACACACTTTGTGAAATAGACAACGTCACTCCAATCGATGATCCCTTGAATAGATGCACCTGAGTCTGCGTGAATGTGGTCAACTCATGGTCATATATATTCAAAGTAGTTTTTGGAAGATGCAGTTTCTCCTTGGCAATAAACTCGTATAGATCCTTGATACTCGAGCAAAATACAGTTCGTTTGGCCATCCGACTATGCAACAGTCGTGGTGCGTGCTTTGCCATAACCTTAAAGTAAGTGTTGGCATGCAAAAAAAAGATTGTGTGTAGATTTTGTCTAGCCTCTATGGGGAACATCTTTTCAAGCGTATGCAAGGTCTCCAATTGCCACTGATGCTCTCGGCCAGCAAATGATAAATCAACAAGCAGATCAAAAGGCTTTGTGATTAGGTTTGCACATTGCTCAATAAGAACGTGAATGAGCATGCTCATATCAATCGATTCAGGTTGGACTTTGCAAACAATAAAGTAAAGCACAGGTCGCCCATCAATGGATGTACCAGACTCGTAAAATACACGTTGTTCTTTAACATACTTTACTACGGATGGCTTGGTTGGAAGTGCAGCTTGACGGCGCATGAATTCTTGCAATGCTTTGCTTGTGTTTGACCTGGTTGATGCATCTTTAGGCATAAGTTCCAAATGACCCGATTCTGAAATCGATCCGTTGCGCAAGTGACCCCCAGTCGCTCCCTTGAACACAATGGTATCTGAAATCAGAGGTGCAGGCCCTAGTTGTGCCAAAATAATCGATAACTGATCCAGAGCAGCTTTTTTCAAATTAGGACTACCGCCAACACCTGAAATAGTATGCGGGGCTAGTATTTCCAATGATGACATCCTGGTATTAATTGCCAGCGGTCCGTTCAAATCATCCACAGACCCATTGTCATCTCCACAAGACTCTGTTTCAAGTACTCCCGAAAGACTAAAATGCTTCCCTCCTCTAAATGTGCCATACTTGCTCACATTAGGAATGGACTGACTCTCTACAACACTTGTGGTGACTGATCGCTCCATCTTGGTGTAGTAATTTTCCAGCTGTCTGTGAAGAACAACAGCACGCGCAGTAAGCTCTTCAGTTTGAACAGCAATTGCAAGATCATCAATGGACCGATCTGGTGATACAGATGTAGATATCTCGGACAAGAATGCACGAACTGCATCTTGATTGGTCTCTAATAGTCCATTGAGACTGATCATAAAAGCTTCCTTTGCGCCAAACAAGACACAATTGGCCAAATTTTGCACAACTTTTGTTATAAGAATCAAACCACGCCGCAGTTCCTTTTGGTGAATAGGTGTGCGTGTAAGATTATGGGCTTCTGGTGCAACAATAGCGGGACAAATAAATCGCAAAAACACAAAAGCTCCTACGCCCAAAAGTCCAGCACTTGGAAATTTGCTTGTAACCGATTCTGATACCTTGGCACAAATAAGTCTCAGCTTGACAGGAAAATGTGCTACATTGCCAAAGATGTTGGTCAAAAAGTCTTGAGTGACAGATCGGAGATTCGACATGTTGGTCGAGAGATTTTCGCCTTGGTCTACTCTTGATGGATCAATTTCAAATGACAAGGGTGGGTTCATCTCTGATAGAGTACGAATAATTGGCCTAAGAGTAACATACAAAAAGTCTTGCGCTTCATTACGGGCATACAGCGTCAATAATTTTGTTGCAATACTATTTCTTCGAAAAATTCCGGCAGCAACGTCCGTGTGCTGAATTTCGTCCTCGATCACTGTAGATATCAACTTGGAAGCTTTGCCAAACTTTTCAAAAATATCCAGTAAAGCAGTTGCAATATCATCAATGTCATTGGACGAGGTAACATCACAGAGCGTGAGTACAATAGCCAACTCGTCATCTGTAAGTAATTCCAACAGTTTGGTGTACTTGTTATCATGCCATTCGCCATTAAGTAGCCCAGAAACACTGCCTCCATCAAGAATATTTGCCAATACGTGCATAAAAGCAGCGCGTGTCTTGGTATCATCGTAGTATGCAATGGACAAGGAATACTTTAGTCCAGCCTTGATATTTGCAGAGATTAAATTTGACAAGGCAAGAATTGTGTTATCCTTTAAAAGACTCAAATGCTGTGCGCTTTCCTTGGACTTGTTGATCAGAATTCGAAGCTCTGGTGATATCTGCTGCCGAACCGAATCTATGCCCTCTACAACTTTACATGTTTGCAATACCTTGAGGAAAAATGTCAGATTGGTTGAAAACAGTTTTGATTTGGCATTGTTTTCCTCGTCATCATCAGTCTCAATCAAAACACCGTTGGATTCGTTGACAGGAACTAATGGAAGACCATCCAAAAGTGACACAATGGCCATTATCGTCATGCCATCCAGCTCTGCATTGATCTTCATCATACCCTCAGCCATCTGCATTGGCTGGTGCTGACTTTGATCACTAGTTTTGATACTAAATTCAGAGTTCCATTCCAAAAGTACCTGCACCATATGGTTTCTAAACAGCACATCCTGTTTGATGCCAACAGTGCCCCGACGTTGATGAAGATGCTCCAACAGCTGGCAAATACGGATCTTGATACGCGTGGCAGATAAAGCCTGTGAGGGTACTATTGCCATACGGTTTACAAACTTTGCCAAGTGGATAATGATCCAAGCAAAATCAATGGAGTAGAGTGATAACTGTACAGCAGAAGACAGAGTGCCCGTCTCACCTGCTCCAGAGTTTTCACTGTAGAGATCTTCAGATCGATCTAGCACTGATCGCGTAATGATTACAATTGTTTCAATAAGAATAACGTTTCGCTCCGAGCATATGTCCTGTGCACCAGTAGAAAAAATGCTTGTCAAAGATCGCTCAAAATACATGAATAAAATTGCATAAAGCCCGCCAGATGCTTCTGTGGCTAGCAACTCGCGAACAGTATCTCGAATCACTGGACCTGTGTGTATCATCAACTCGACAAGTTCACGCACAAACCGCTCAACAGTTTGCTTTGCACGGCTGTATGACACTGTGAGTTGAGAGTTGACTGACGTTCCCCAGTTGATGGCAGCAAGAGATTCTGCTTGGGCCGAATTCGAATCTGAAAAAGCATTGCCAAATGCCAAAGAGTTTGGTTGCACTGGTGTGTCATCAGATGAAACCACCGAATTCAATTTGGGTTTCTCTGCAGATCCAAGAAGACTCGACACACGAGCAGGTTGAGCAGAAATCATTTGCGACTTGTTAAGTGTTAGTATTCTATCCAATCCACCAGAATGGCTACCGGAAAAAGTACTTGGGGAAGCCAACCCAACTGTCTGTGGGTTAGATGGCGCGTTGGTAGAAGGCTGTAATGAGCTGCTAGGAGAAGATGCAGCTGGAGCAAAGCTAGAGACTCCATTGCCAAGAATGTTTGCTCCGCTTGAAGGATTTACAGAAGTTGAAATAACCTGCTGGCTTGCCAAAAGACAGACATTTCCCAGTGAGCATAGAAACCCAGTATAATTGTGCCATTCAGCTTGGTCCTCGCCAATCCCAAACAACAGGTCTGAACCACTTCTTATACCTTGATTGGTACCAGTTGATCCAGGCATACCAGTACTTGTGTACTCATTTCCGACACGAATGGATCCCTTCAGTCTGGCATACCTTCCAATCTTGACCGATTCCTCTTCGTCGTCTATGTTGAGTTTTGCTGAAATCAGTTTATCACCTGGTCCAGTAAGCCCACCCGTGTTGATGGGAGAACTGATGGGTATATTCATTTTAAGAATATTCTGGGATAAAATATGCCATCGACGATATACCTCCTCCCAAGCGCCAAGGTTTCCTGGTGTGGGCCTTTCAGTTAACTGCAGTATCTTACGCAGCGCTTTTTGTTGAGCCTTGTTACCCATAATAAGAATATTTTTTTCTGAGTGGGAGCCATCAAATAAGTTTGAAAGACCGCGATACACTGCTAAATTAAGAACGATGGGAAATACAGGCATGAATCCAACAGCCGTGGCAGTCGCTGATGGCTGAAAAAATGCATTTCCTGGCAATAAAGACGCACTGCTTGTTTTTGGACCAGCCGCAGATTCTGTATTGTTTGTAAGATTTCCAATACTTGCATTTAACCAAGGCACCGTATCACCAGCACCACCAAGAGTGAGTAAATCATTTGCTTCGCCAGTAATTTCTGCTTCTTCCACAAGCCGCTGGAAGCAGACTGTAGCAACCCTAAAAACGGCTTGTTCAGGCGAGCAAATCAAAAACAGTAGTGAGATCTCCATGGATACACTTGCAGCAAATCGTTCTTGAATAGCGCAGCCAAAGGATGAAGCTATGCTGTCTTGTCTGAGTTTCAAAAACTGGTTGCGTGAAAATAGCAAATCGCAAAGAAGAGAAACAATTTCAAGCACAATATCCACGTCAATATCTGTTTGTGCGTGAATATCGAGAAGTTGGCGAGCAATAGAAAGCATAACAGCTGAACTTGTGCGCCAAAAAATTCGCATACTCAATTCAGTAGGTGCGTGCGTGTCAGAATCAAATCTCCAGTCAGGTCGACATCCATCCCAATGACTGATAAACTGCGGGTCAAAAAGCCGGAGAAGAGCCTGAGATGCAGCATTTCGAATAGCCTCCATAGGATCAAGTAAACATGCAGTAATGGCTTGCATCATGGTGAGCAATTCATCAGGGGTAATTACTGAAGTGTCACGAACAATAGCAAGCGTGGGACTGGCTCCCCAACATTGTAAAGCGTTTAAAATAATTTCAGAGCGCTCTGTTTCCTCTGCCTGCATCTTGCGCATACGGCGGTCGCGTTGGACTTTGAGAAACTGACGATAAGCTTTGACATCACCATGTTTATCTCGTCCAACATATTCCAAAAACAAATGACGAATGTAGTCAGCAAGTGCAACATCGATTGGAGGGTTCCATGGAAGCGGGGCAGTATCAGCAACTAAATTGGCACAGCTCTTCATAAACAATATACGGTATAGCGGCGGAACGCCAGGTTCAACTAGCACAGGGTATACGCTTCGCAAAGTATTAAGCGGATTGAGCTTGAATAAGGATGTCAGACATTCTGCAAGTAAATCTTCATCGATTGTGCCACCATCTTCTACGGACAATGAAATAGAGCGTAGCGGATCAAACAGTTTTTCCTTGAGCTCAGTTTCAAATGATCCAACAAGAATACGCAAGGATGCACCATCGGATTTACTAGCAAACGTGGCTGCTTTGCACAGATCGGTGTAGCATAACACAGCAGTGTCGTAACTTCTGCTCGACTTGACTGCCTTTTTTAGGCTTTCCAAAAATTGTATTTTTTTTGCAAGAGAAGCACCCGACGAGCCAGTGTTGGTATATGCAAACAAATCCTCGGCAGAAAGCAAAAGAAGTATAGTTTGAGTGGGCCAATAAAGATTCTTTTTTCTGCTCGAGTCAGCATTCACGTGTAGGAAATCAAACAGTACTTCAGGATGTCCGTCAAGATTTTTCCGACTTTGTAAAAGACTGGCAAATTCAATAGGAAAAGCCTCGATCCAATTCCAAATAGCTCGTCGTACACCTACCACTGCAACAGCCATGGCCTTTTTATGAAAAATCTTTAAATGTGGCGTGATTTCTAAATGCAAAAACCATAAAGTTAGCAATACATCTCAAGACAGTAGATTTAGATTTAAAACACTTACCAGCAAGCGCAGTTGATAGTCGGTTAATATCCAAATTGCAGCACTCCAGCATCCTTAAATCTGCCAAATTGATATCCCCCGTGTCACCTTTTGATCCGCTCATATGAGACATCATGCCACCAGCACCAGACGGATTTGAATAAAATGACGATATTTTGCTTTTTAGTCTTGCCAAAATAATTCCCCAGTTTGAAGCAGACAAATAGTAAATGACCAAAGCTGCAGTACGCTCTAGCTCAAATTCGATGCTTTCAGCATCAAGAGATTGGAGAGATAGGAGAGATTGAATAACAACTTCATCCGACATGCGCAATGGAAGAGATTTGAAAAAACTCGACAAACCAATCCGAGAAGAAATATTTCCAAATTTTTCAAATGAAGACTCCATGTTGCTAAATTGTGAATTAGCCGACACAGACGAATGAGAGTATGTGTCCAGATTGATATTAGCCATGGGTGTTTGATAGAACCTCAAAGCCTGGTCAAGTAGTAGGATAGCAGTGGGCTCGTCAAAACGAGGAGGATCAACAAGATTGTCTACAGTTGATTTCCCCTCCAAATACTGGGGTGATGCAAGATGAGATGTGCTGCCCATTGAAGAGAACTGAGAAAATGAAGGATTCGCGTTGGAATTTCCAGTATTGCGAACAGACAATTTGCTACGAAGCAATGGAGATCGATTAAATTCGAGCATTTCAGTACTCTGGGAGCTTTCAGTGTATCTCAATTTATCATGGCCCAATGCAATCATATTTGGAATCGATGTGACAGAAGAAGAAGGTTGAGATTTCTTTGCAGTATTTTGGCGATGGAGTGACCATGAACGAGCAAGACAGTTGGCAATAATTTTCAATATAATAAGCTGAGATTGGGAAGCAAGATAGGACAGTTGAGAGTTTTGGCTTGCAATCGCATGATCTTCGGTCTACAAAAACAATAGCAAAATATGCATTAAAAAGCAGTTTGAATTCCTGTTGAATTTGATAAACTGCCAGTTTGAATCTACAGTACTTGAATAGTGACCCACAAAACCCACTAGCTATGCAATCCAATTACACTTACTTTTATGATATTGTCTAGAGTACCAATTAGACCTTTGATAATATCATGAATTTTCCATGGAGCAAGCTCATATACCCAAGAAATGTTTTGAATGAAGATGGGATCCGACGATAGGAACGACAGTGACAGACCCGAAGCCACTGGCAACTACAATTAGCAGAGCTGTGTTAATTTGAACGATCCAACAGTAGCATTTTGCACTAGTGAATGCCAAACCCTGAGATTCAATTTATGCAAATGCAGCAGCATGCAGATTGAACATCATAGAACCAGCCATGACTATGGCGATATTCATCATTGAATTTATAATTGAATTCAACAGTTCAATTCATCTGGCTTTGCAGTATTCCCACATATCAGGACTAGTAAATTGCAAGCACATCAGAACTGCTATATTGACAGATTTCAAGAATCGAGTTTTAAAAGTTGTCATTCATGACAGCATTGTGATGTTCGATTCCAGAGTCAAAACTTGCCAAGAAACTAGGATTTACAGTGTTTGAATAATGCATCTGTAATAATCATTGAAGGTGTATTTACAGGCTTATCGCCATTCACATCAAGATACGCCCACAGTGTGGATTACATTCAACTATGGATTTAACCCAACAAAGTCTTGCTAAATAACAATAGTAATACGGGATACCTTGTCAGAAATCCGAGTCAGCAAAGCCAACAGCAGTCGATTATCGTTCATTGGGTTAATGGTTCCAGTTTGTCCAAGCTCGCTTCAATACCAAATCTGAGCTCTTGCAATTGTATTCACGTAAATGAAGCACTTATTTTGCAGTGATTTTCACTGTTTTGCTTTGCAAGTCGTTAATATTTGACAGAAATCAACTCGATATTCTCAATTCAATGTTCATTATAATAAAACTATGGATTTAAACCGTAATCCTTTTTTTAATAACCCTGCATTATAGGGTCATATCCAAATATTGTAATCCTGAAATTGGACTCGACTGTTTCAATATGCAATGTACTGCAGCTGTATGTGAATATTGCTTTGAGCACTCTTATTCAAGAGTGACCAAGACCCGTGTGGGCTTTTCAAGAATTTTACATGGCACAATACTCGGTTAATTTGGCCAAAACTATCGTTTTATGAGACTGGTGATTTATTACATTTTGTTACGCGAATACAGTTGATTTGAAATAAACGGGCTCGCAAGTGTCAGGATTGCCAAAAATAAACTTGTATGTATGCAACCATTCATTCTACTCCAATATCATACGCTGTTCTGGAAACACTTGTGATTGGGAATGCATCACATGCTTTAATCCACGATCAACATCCCCATATACAAGAGCCTGTGCTGCAACAACAAACAAAACTATATCTAGCATTACTACTCCTGACGCTACTCAAATCAGCTTTATATTAGCTCACATGTATGAGCTTGACTTTACTATTTTCAATACTACTCACATGCAAATGTAAACCAGAATTGCACAATCACAAGCATGGGAAACGACCAAATGACAATGGTGAGATATCCCAACCCCAGTATGTTTGCCAACGTCAGCAATAAAACGCACTGGAGTATTTTTACACTCGGGAAACAATACATATATGTAGTCATACTATACAACATGATCTGTAAAGCTGTAATCGTTCCCCAAAGTGGTAAAATGTTCAACAGTCTTGAAGTTTCAATCGGATCACGCACAAGTATTGTGAATTCTGTCGAAAATGTCGTGAGTATGAGGATGGCTCCTGATATTTGTATTACGTTGCATACCATGAAAAACAGTTTAAGTCGATACATCATGCTAAAAAGTTTATACCGTAGTAGTATTGCTAAATTAAAGTTAACATGGTAAAAATATGAATATATCCGCTGCTGATCGGTTTGGGTTTACAATCAAATTGTTGATTTCAAGTTTTAAAATAATTAGGCTACTTGCATTGCACTTGAATGCTTGCACCATGCTGTCTCAAAACATCCCATCCTTGAACTTTATAGATCTTGTAAGCCAGTGTGATTTGCAACGCATCAAATACTATTACTGCTACAACGCACATGGCCGAAATAATGATTATCTTGCTGTTATGTCCCAATTTTCGATTCATTGCATTATGCACATCATTTAGTCCATTCAATACTGGAAATCTCATGTTTTGCTGATTGTGAAGCGAAACTTGAGTAAACTGTGTTGTAGATGCTGTTATGTAACTGGGCGATGCACAAAGCAAATCTGTTCCAAATTCATCAACAACTGATTGTGTTGCCAATGATGCATTCGTTGATCCAAGTACAGTTGCATCCCTCCATCGCAAAGTACACGATTCCAACCAATTGATTTGTTGTAATTCTAAATCAAATACAATTGGTGATTAGTTTGGTGCTCGAGAAGATATAATAGTTGTATGTTTGGTATTGGCTTGACCAAACCATGCATAGTTTAATGAAAGCAATGATTTGGCCAAAAATAAATGCATTGACTTGGCTCCTAAATTTTAAAATCAAACGACTTACGCAATGCAGAGTACAAACCAATAATCGACATCAAGAAAGTGACACCAACGGTTTGAGGAGTATTTAGCTTTTTGACTGCATCCATAATCAAAAAGACATTGTAGCATTCATATGTAATAAATACAAATGAATAGATGATGGTCATTCCAGCACCTTGCGAAAAAGCAGTTCCAAATTGGATATTCAACGATACTGATAGCAAATATAAAAATGCGATCTGAAGAGCAGAAATAGTCAATGCCCTTATGGTAACCACAGTGAGTAACCACCGAGACCAGCTGGTGGATTGTTGATGGATACGACGAGTGTTGTATAAATTTGGTGTATGTTTTAATGGATGGGCTGTTGATGGTGGTGCTGGTTTAGTGGAAATACATGGCAAGACAAGAGAATTGTGACCCAAGGCAGGTAAAGAGTCAAGAGTATTGATATCCACATGATACTTTTGCTTCATGAGTCGATAATGCACGATTAAAATAAATCAAAGTAATAGCAGTCAATATGAACCAGTTTAAATGATGGCTGGTGAAATAAGAAGAGTTTATAGTCGTATTCACGTAAAATGAAGCTCAATTTATCCTGCAATCACTGCCTCTTGCTTTGGAATAAACAATGCTTAAATATGTCGTGCTTTCCTACTAGAAACTGACTCGATTAGACATGTTCAATTCTTGCTCAGTGCCTGGAATCTCTTACCGCACAAAGTCATTTTCCATTACACCAAGGTAATTGTTGAAAGGATTCCATAATCAATAATATGAAGCCATACCTCGCGACATTACTGTCGAACAGTTGACAAACCGTGTTTAATTAGTAAATTTATAGCTTTGTGAAATGATACGATGTCTAGAATCAAACAAGGATTGGAAAATCTTGAATATCAAAACATTTACAATTGTTTTAATCAACCATCAGACATTGTGATTATATGATGCCATTTATTCTGAACAGTTGCTGCAACATGGACTTTATTCAGCATTATACCCATCCAATCATACAGTGGCGATTGGAACAATCACCAGTACCGTCAAACCGATATGCTTCAGGCTGTTTGCTGATACAAATCAATTACAACGGATCTGTGTACATACTATGCATGGTAATTGAATGCCAATGCACCACCTGAATCCAACTCGACTCATTGATTTTATTGCTTGAAATGGTTGAATATTATGATAGATTCAACATTTCCGGTCCAGTTTTACCATTATACTTGATTTTTAATCGTGTCCGTATCAGTTCTTGGAATATAGTCACATTGATACAGCCAACACCAACATGTTGAATATGTAAACTTGTTGCATGTATATGATCACAATACTATTTGACTATCAGTGTCAATGTCAAGCAAATACTATCCAATGGTTTCAATATTCATAGCTTATAGTTGGACACACTCGGTATTCGTATACACATGATGTGATTGTATGCATTACACTTGCCGAGTCGTGCATTTGTTTGAATCATATCGACCAGTGATTTGATATGCATTCTACCCAATATGCGACTTGAATGCTCAATCTCTACATTCCATGTAAAAAGCAATCCATCAGAACATTTCAAAAACTGAACCAGATCGGGTGGTAGTGTCAATACGGTTTGTCCATGAGTACAAGTCCATCGCGACACCAGTGCGTGCGGACATGGTGGATACGCTGCTATCTTGAGGTCAGTCACATCTGGACACGACTCGAGATATGAAATGACACCAGGCATCCATTCCTGATACATGTGTAGTGCAGATGAAGTGTGTTGTATATTCATACTTTCTAAAGACATGCTTGATGTTTTTGACATTAAATGCAACGATATCGATGTGGTGAATTTGATTCAAGTTGCAGTCCAAGTGCTGATATTCTAATTTGCATGCTAAAAACAACCGAGTTTGACCAACACTTGATTTCCAGTATAAAGTTGACTACTTTTACTGGTGAACTTACTCTGCGGATCCAGATAGTATAGAATGACTGCTCCAGCTACTCAAACAGTAATTACCGTTGGACAGACGCTCTACATCAACAATATAAACGACCGTATCCGGAAAAAGGGTACATTGAATCAGCAGTATTACTAGCTGGAATGAGAAATGACTGGACTTGCCAACTGCTCATGATTGCAGTGTCAACTGACATTTTAAACTGTTTATTCTACATGCTGTGATTACATTAGAACTAAGAGAGTCGCTGTACTATTTGTTTTCACAACATGGTCGAGTACTGGATATTGTTGCTCTCAAAACCATGAAAATGAGAGGTCAGGCATTTGTTGTGTTTGATACTGCACCAGCTGCCACTGTTGCCATGAGAGAACTGCAGGGATTCCCATTGTATGACAAGAACATGGTAAGACTAGAGTTTTGCAGATCGTCATGTTGCATTGATATTTCAACTGGATTTGGTTGTCAATGCTTACTGTCGAGTAGAATGGCTGTAGACTAACATGAATGTGTTACTGTTATTTGGCATGTTTGATTATCACTTGTGAAACCCAGCAAATTGCATATGCCAAGACAAAATCCAATGCAGTCAAGAACCGAGATGGCAGTTACTCGAAGCGATCTCGTGCAGCAGCTATAGAAATGAATGGTAATGAATCTGATGCATCAGATGATGATACACTACACAAGCGACAGCGTGGAGATGAATATGATTCAGTAACTACAGGACGACATTTAAAGGACAATGAGGAGGAAATGGAAGAAGGTGAGTTGCACTTGTTGACTCTTGAATGCATGGATTCAAGTACGCTTTAAACTGTAAACGGATATCTGATGCGTTTATGCATTTCATTTAGATGACACAAACGCGATTCTTTTCGTCAGTCAGTTGCCATCATCCGTTACAGAAGAGTCGCTATCGACGTTGTTTGCACAAAATGAGGGATTCAAAGAAGTGCGGATTGTTCCAGGTCGACCAGATATTGCATTTGTCGAGTATGCATCATCAGCACAGGCAGATCAAGCACGAATGGTATTAAATGGATGTCAAATCACTCCAGATCAAGCCATGCGGGTAGAGTTTGCACGGCGGTAAAGATGTTGCATTATGCTGATTGACAAAAATGGTATTGTTGAATAAACAGATATGTTTTGGCATACATCTGATATTGATTGGTGGATATGCATCCAAGCCAAAAAAACATGGTGTATTGTACAATGGATATTTTACATGCCATGTATCGATTGTGATGAGTTGCACATTTTGCTTACTGTTCAAGATCCAGTGCACTAATCTGTAAATAGGTAATGCTCGAATTGTCGATACAACAATCTGGCATTTGTCATTGTGATATTCATGGAATATCTTGGTCAGTGAGTGTATCTGCAGTAATCCAGTACACACCTTGGCCAACTGAACTCGACAGTGAAATACCACATTTCAATTACACGACTGCCGAATCTCTGATGTGTTGATCAACCATTCAACAACTTGAAAGTAATTTTAAACACTTGTATCATGCTGTACAGTATCACTACTAGATTGAACAAGTTGCTTGATAGTTGTGTACTTTGCAATGCAGTGTTGCTACAAAAGTATGCACTTGACATGTTTCCAAAGCTGAACTTGGGTTGTCAAATGAAACACCAAGTTACAGATTGCTCAACAGTTGTTCAAGCCAGATTGTCGAATTAGAATACCAATTACACAATTTTCGGTATTTTCACAAGCAACGAGTGGTATGATTTGATCTACACACTCGAGTCAAGATGCTACGAGACCAGTCTTGTTTAGTTTTTGTCAGCATTTTGAATGAGATACAGCCAGAATAAACATGAATGCATAGACTAGCCGATGCTGGAGTTTTGAATAGTGAGTTTGAAGATATTTGAGGTTTTGCATCATCACACTTGATTCAGACTATGAATAGTTGGTTACCCATGTGTCATTGCGAAGAGCAACACCATGCATTATTTGACCTGTTGTATTTCCATTTACTAATTGTGTTTTTTGATATTTCATACGTCATTGCCGATTCATCAGAGTTTATTCCCAATATGCAAAGTTGGAACGCGCAAGATAAACTTGACCCAATATCCACGCCAATTCACATCTACAAACATTCTTGACCACTCTGTATCTGTAGTCTCTCCATCCTTTGCAGCAGTCGTTCCCGTATAACCATGAATAAATCATTGAATCACTGTTCAGTTACTTTACTTTTAGCATTCCATCAGAGTTACCAATCCGACTAGTTAACCTCCACATTCGACAACCAGAAATCATCCTTCAACGCCAGAAACAACACTGTCTGTTCAAGACTTGATATCAGCCATCCAAGACCACTCATATCAGCACTGAAATGCCTGAACGTACACTGTCTGCATTTGCTACACCATCTGCAATATTTCTAGGAATCGCGCTCCATGAGCTCATATCAACCTTCTTTTTTCTAGTTTCCGCATCCAAAACCTTGTGGAGCACATCACTATTCCAGATTTCTGTTGTGGCATGGAGTTTATGTATACTGCAGTCAATTTTACAGATTGTGTTGCTGGATTACACGATATCACCGTATGAGACTGCCAATCATTCCATGGCATGGGTTACGATTTTTGCTATTTGTGCCAACTTTCTAACCAGTACATCGTTGGCAAGTACCAACTATGGCAAATATTGGTTCATTTTGCATGTTGTGTTTATTTCTGACTTGTTGATATTCAATGGCATGTTTAGCTTGCTGTCATGGTGGTTCGATTACGAGTATTTCATTCGGGATCATCCTTGTCGTTATGGTTACTGTCATTTATTGGGTTTGCGACCTTTTGTTTTTCTGTGCCAGCCAATATTCTCGGAATACTATCCAACGTTGATGTCGTTGCAGATCGAAGTTCCATATTTTTTTCCAGTCCGCTGATTGGAGTAAGTCATATCGAGTCCAAGTATTAAACATGCCATTTCAACTTTATTAACAACCATGTTTTTTTGCAACTACTGCATATATAGCTTACTCGCGAGTTGTTTGCATTCACATTCGTATTACAAGGTCTGTTTACATCGTTGGCATCAATATCATTTCTCTGGTCACTCTGCAAATCCATTGGATTTACAGGAAAAGGATTCGTATATCAAGTTTTGCTAAAACGGGAAGGTCCTCGATTTATTGTCATATTTGGACTCAACATCATTGTTGCTGGATTTGCAGTGCATTCATTCCTATATGATCCGACGCATATTACATTTTCTGGATGGTACATGCCTCCCATGATTTATGCGATCGAGATTTATACGTTTTTATTGACGAGTTACGTCGAGCCTAGAAGCTTATTGCGACAAGTGCAGATGGAAACAGAGTATGATGGAAACAACATGAAAGAACAAACTACTGATGTAGCGAGTCAAACTTACAGAGTGCCTACCAATAGTCCATATGAGATACTATAGTTTTGAATAGTTTCATTATTTGATTTTGAAATAGATGAACACTGCAGAAATGAAAATCAAATTGTATATCTGCCATTCATATCCAATTGTTGATATAGCGATCCAGATCAGTTTCAAGCAAACATCCATTAAAAGTTTAAACCATTGCATTAGATGTACACGTTTGTGTATAATATTGTCAACGAGTTTGAACACAATGACCATGCCAACAATCTCGAACCAGTGTTTTTAGTCTGCTGGCATACAAATTCCAGTCGACAACTACAGTGATATTGACAACACCCCATACTATTGATGCAACTGTCCATATATGCTACCAGTAAACTCGTAAATTGGCTTAATATATAGTTTTAATTGTGTATTAGATATTCGGGTTAAAATCAGCCCAGGTATATCCAGCAATACCAAAACAATTGATGGTCAATACAGCACTATTGTACTGTCAACGTTGCATTGCATTGGTTGAATAGCCAAATTATAAAACATCGCAGTATTTATCCAAACTTGATATGATTTTCGTAAAATTTGATAATCTAAAACAGGATCAAGAGATTAGCATGCTACCCTATCCAACGCACTGTTCAAGACAATGGTAAATACAAATAGTAATCCATTCACCTTTTGTGGGCATTTTGTATTGGCTACTTTACTGGATACAACCGTCTTTTTGCCATTTTTCCAGTTGATGTAAACAGCAAGATCATCTTCACCTGTGGCAGATGCTTCCATAGTTTCGATATTTACAACATCGTTTTCCCACGAGGCTTTGTCAAGTACAGCCCGACTTAACGAGTCAATCGAATGATAGACTTTGCTCAGGTCGTCTTTTAAAACCAAGTTTAGTCAATACAAATAAAAACTATATCAGTGCCAATATTCTTGATATATGTCTTCAAGTGATCACGCTTTGAGTTGGGTTGACAAAAATGGCAAATATATTGCAGTGGATGCGTACCTTGTTCATCAGTATCATCAGTATCCTGTTTTGTGAATGAGTCCAACTCTGAATTTCTTTTGTTGCCTGGTTTGGATTTTTGGGATTTAGTCTTGTTTTTAGCTAAACACGGTTGGCATAGTATATGCATTAGTCTTACTAGACATGGGCATATCGGGATACACGGAAACCATCAAGCCCATCACAAATCATATCAAACACAAAAAGTTGCAGACAACAGTACACACCAAGAGTGTTTTTTTGAGACTGTTATTTTTGATGGACAAGTAAACTAGAATTAGCCAAACTCGTTTCAAACGCATACTATTCATAAAAACAACACTGTATGATGTATTACAGGCACCTTGAGTAATTTAGTGTTGGTATCCAATTCATGAGTAGATTCGGACAATTTTGTGGCATTTTTAAATTTTGGATGCTGATTCCAAAACTTTTTTATTAATATCGGTGCCTGAACCAATGATCAAAAACGGGTTAGATTACTCATCCATTTGGTACGACAATGCATGTTACACTTACATTTACCACATCTATATGTTGTCACAATGGTTCAGGTGATTAAATAAACAATGTCAGTGAAATTCACTGCAAGAGCATACTTGTGGAACAATTGATATTAAAACTGTGCAATATTCAAATGATTGGATAGTCATGAGCAATTTGAGCATGCAGTAGACTACATGGCTGCAGACATTATCTGCTTGGCGACATTTGAACAAAAGGTGTGTTTAGAGTTCATGTGTTGTAGATTGGAATAACATACCAGCTGATTCCCAGGTGTTTTCTACAGACGCATAACCCTTCCATTTGATAAAGAATTGCTCTTTTCCCTATTCGGACAATAATGTATATCAACAACGAATAGTCGTAGTAAAAAGAGGCTGGAAGGTTAGAGTAGTTGTATTGGGGTGTAAAATGGACTGAAACAAAAGGCAATAAACAAGGGTTGGTATGCTTGTCGAGAATGAGTCGAGTGTTTAAGCAGGATGTCAATAGTCCAGTTTATAAAACTCGGATGGTTGTAGTACTGCTGTACAAGGTATGTGTTGAAGCAATACAGCCATCACTCTATGATAAGCATCAACATGTGTTCTTTATCATTGACGAATGTCCAGTGTGGTTGATATGCAGACTGCCATTCATAATAGTATAACCAGCAGTATGTATTGACAAGGTTGTAGAAACAGTTGAACTGTCTGTAAAAGCAACCCCACACACCTCATTGATTCTAAAATCAACAATAGCCTCGACTTCATACACTTCATCGTCTAATGCTCGTTGTCGTTTTCTTGACTTTTGTTTTAAGCCCATCTGAGTTTGAATGTAAACTCGTAACATTCACGCAAAATCAAACACTTTATTTTGCACCAATTGTATTGCATTCTTGCTGTTTTGGTAGATTATATCAATTAAGATATTCTTGAATATTTGTGACTAGTTTACTGTGTTGTTTCAAGCCAAGATAATTTATTGTGAATTCAAACTATTTCTACCAATTATCATGTCATTGTTCAGTCTGCTGAATGCCATTTTGATTACTCTTTAACTAATATTATCAATTCTACACATGACTGACATATTCAACGTTTGCTTGGTTTGTGGCAATTTGCATTATATAGCAAACACTATGAATCCGACTCAAACACTTGCCAATCTCAGCACATAGATGAGTGCATATTGTTCAAACCCACCAACATCACCTAATCAAAACCCATTGCATAACAATCACATGGCAATACCACAAGATCCAATAATCGCAACAGATCCAGTCCTGGTACAAAGCATAGTCCCAGAAACCATGCACTTTGTCAACTCAGCCAATACTGCTGATTTGCATGCCGAAATGTGTAATTTGGATATTGATGCTGCGTTTGGAAACGGTTTGGATAAACTGACAGTATTGTTTCGTCAGGCTATATTGGTATTCAAATATCATTTGGGTTGTTCCTAGATCTTGCCATGTATTACATTTATATGACGGTGTTGATTTACACCCAACCATAACTCGTGTGTTTTTAAATGGTCACCAAATTTGTAATATGGTCTGGCAACATGTCTAACTGGGTTAACACCAATGATATAAACAGGCCGATTATACCATTTCAAGAAACAGGATAAACGAGCATCACAAAGCAGAACTCGATAGTATACGACAAGCACATGAGTTGGAACTAGATGGCTTGAATGGCAAGATGGATTCTGTGATCAAATCTCGAAATCATAGCGACAAAAAACTGGTGGATTATGTCCAAGTAGTCAATGCAGCAACAGCTTTCCTAACCCGCAAGGTATTTTGACAATTATTTGGTTGTGTAGTTGCAACCAATTCAATAATATACCCAAACTTGTATGATGAGCAAAGTTGGGGATCTGTAGATTTGCACACGATTATTTTAAAATGTGATTTATTGTATTGGTATCTACGTTAGCGCAATCAACTTGCAACTGAAAAATGGTTCGGTAGGTGGAAAGTTAGGCAGATGGAGCTGAGGAAAAGAAAATTTGCAATGCATATTGCTGCTCGACATCATAGGAAAACCATGATGCAGAAAGCTATATTGGGATGGCATTCTGAAGCTGGAGTAACGTGGCGAAAGGCAACTGAAAACAGAATCCGAGTACGTCTAGTCAATTGGGTTTGTGAAACTTGATGTATGATGTTTATTAATTTGAAATCTAATATTCCAGATGGAAGCAGAAAAGCATATGCAAACCATGTCGGCCGAATATGAGAGTCGCATTGCACAGGTATGTTTTGATATGGATGTACTATTTTAATAAATCTACTAGCACAAAACTACCATGATGCATCGGATATTCAAATTGCAGTCTACTAGTAGTTTGTTGAACAACTAGTTTAGTTTATGTAAATCAGTGAATGCCAAAAATACGTTGTATATTTAATCCATTTTGAATTCAAATTTGATATATGCAACGTAAATAGTTGTCCAAGAAACTCAACAAAACCCAAATGCAGTTACATTTGTCAATAGAAAAGCAGCACATACAGCAGGAAGACATGAAGCGAAGTTTTTTGCGTGGTGTGTGCGCATTGAATATGGAAACTATGGGAATATTTCGTCAAGATGAGATGCATTGTTCAGAAAGCGTACAAAAACAGTTGAACTATCCAATTACAAACATGACTGTCGAATGCAATCAGTCTAGTAAACCTACTGTTCGGTTTATTAGTGATACTGCAGCAGTACCCGACATTGCATGCGAGACACTTGCAAAAGAAACTACAGATTGTATTTCTAGTAGAACTCGTGGATTGGTCACTCGGCATTATAATTGAAAATTATCAGAATAAACGAGATGCAGCAAGTTTTTTCATACTGCATCGATCTTGCATTTCTATTGATGGAATTGATAATTTCAAGCAGTTATTTGGATGAAATGGGTTAAATTCACTTGATCAGAATGATACATGAACCACAATGTATGATCATGCCATTCAAATCAGCACACAATCTACTGGTATATGCAATACAACACCACCAATACAATACAATCAAACCCGATCACAAACGTGGTGTTGAATCCAATGCATGCGAGTACTTTTTAAACACATGATACACACTGATGGTGATGGTTGCTGACAGTCACATTGCAGTGTACATGTCCAATAGTGTCCACTGTCATGTCGATTATTGCTATCCGTGACATCCAACTAGACCGCAATCAATATTGCATCAAAATATACGTAAATCATATAAACTGCAATAATTTTGCATGTCATTCGACTTTTACATATACTATAACACCTACACCTTGACATTTCATATTGAATACACGATTGGTTTGTGGAAATCGATTTTATAGTGTTGGTAAGCTATAAACACTTGTTACACCACTCTGACAATTGGGTTTGATATCCGACTGTATTTCTGAATATATTCAACATTGTAGTTGATAGATTTGACTAATAAGCTGACTGGTTTTATCGATTCAACAATCCAGTCGATTACTAAAATTGACAAATGTTCAAGCAGCTTCACAACACCTGTTTTGCAGCAATTGGTTTAATATGACTGGCTTCATATGCAACACAATATTGAATTCAATGTTTTGTATTTGCAACAATTGAAACTACACCACTAGAATCATTCATGTCAGGATTTTATATTGATACTAATGCTGACAGAGATTTGTACAATACATACAAACCCAGTCAATCACCAGCATCCACTGTACCACAAACACCTGTGGTCAAGCATGTCTCTCTCAGTCCACTACCACTTGATTGCTTCAGTTTGTCCAATCTATTCAGTCCAATGTCAAACTGCATCGTCTTGATCACTTCTGCAGTGCTGATGGTGACTGGATTACACGATCTGTGTCGGGTATTTCATCCATGTCATTGGGTGATGAACAGCCATTGGTTCGTCATGTCAGGAAGTACTTGATCGCAAAATAAGGCAAAGGGAAACCAGGTGCTTGTTACCAACTAGGATCAAACAACTTTAGAACTTTATTGATAAAACTGAGGTAAACATACATGACAAGTATGGTCTATTTATAGACCTCAACAAGAGTACAGCCGTAAAGGGTTCACACAGGTTCTTAGGGAGTTGCGTGTCCCTACGGCGGTCAACATGAGTCCTTAGGGATTCGATCGGTCATAAAGAGGTTAATATCAGTCCTTAGGGTGTTGTGTAACCGCAAGGTCATTAATCCAAGGTCCTCATGGCTGTGATCCTCACACAAATGTCCAAATCAGCACTCAAAACACATTGCAAAACTGGCTGTCACAAATTCAAGCAACATGCAACAACCCAACATCATGAATCGACTGCTCAAGGTCGTACTCTTGACACAGTTCTCCAATATCCGCAACTCAATTCAACTGTTAGGGTTGTGTCAATAGAGACAAGACAGTCAGGCACTTTGAACTATGAATATTTGAGTCAAGGGCTTTAATCAGACTGAGGAAACCCAATTGGAAACAGTAGGAAAATATATAGTTTATTGATGGGCTTCGAGGATGTCAGGATTGCAACGTGCACGTTGAATAATAGTAATATGTTATCAAGACCATGTTGAATTATGCAGTTCTGTTACTAAAAATACAGAGTTAGATCAAATAAAGTGTGCCATTCTGTAATCGAATAACACACTCAGGGTGTGATCATCACAATTACATGCACAATGTTGTGTCTGGTACACATCCAACCCTCAACGCGCCAGAATAAAATTGAAACCACTTGCCAATAGATTCATGGCGCTGTACTAGCGTATACGCTTGGTCTGATGGTGACTAGTTGTATGCCAAACATGAGAGCATCTAGCAGTCAGCCCTAGATGTTGTGCACATTTGGTGAATACAAGTACAGTTGGATGTCACGGATAGCAACAATCGACATGACAGTGGACACTATTGGACATGTACACTGCAATGTGACTGTCAGCAACCATCACCATCAGTGTGTATCATGTGTTTAAAAAGTACTCGCATGCATTGGATTCAACACCACGTTTGTGATCGGGTTTGATTGTATTGTATTGGTGGTGTTGTATTGCATATATCAGTAGATTGTGTGCTGATTTGAATGACATGATCATCCATTGTGATTCATGTACACGATGACAATCTGACCTGTTGACACGGCCAGTTTGTTGAACGACCTGCCAATCTCCAATTCAATTATAGTACAACGTCACTCATTCGATGTAGCGGCGACAGATTGCCGAGTTTGATGTTGATCATGTTGTGACACAATCAGCAGTGTTTGATATATACAGTCTAGATTAACCTAAAATGACTGTGCAGTCATACCAATGGAAAAGTCATGGTTTGAAATACTGCAACAACAGGTTGTTTGAGTAGTTCAAAATATGATGAAATGGCTATTGAAGTATGAGAGTTTACTGTATTTTGGTAATCAAAAACAGTTTGTTAGTCAAAAAGGAGTCAAGTACGGGGTTGAACTTATGATCTTAAATCCATACAATATGGATAAGCTTGGGCATGTCACTAAAACCCGCTCCGAAAAACCATTGATGGTATAAATTCATTATAATAATATTTAATCATTTCATTAAACTACAGATTGCTGATGATAAAAATCAAACAAGGAATGCCAACAACCATTACCTTTTTTGTTTCATCCATAAATGTGACAAATATTGGCTTATTAAGTGAAATGGGTTTACCCGTTGCATTGCATATATCAAACATACATGCTGTTGATTTCTGACAATCTATTGTAATTAGATTGTTTAGTTCAAAAGTGTGTTTTTTTGGTGTTGATTTGAATGACATGATCATCCATTGTGGTTCATGTACACGATGAAAATCTGACCTGTTGACACGGCCAGTTTGTTGAACGACCTGCCAATCTCCAATTCAATTATAGTACAACGTCACTCATTCGATGTATCGGTGACAGATTGCCAAATCTGATGTTGATCATGTTGTGACACAATCAGCAGTGTTTGACGTATACAGTCTACATTGACCTAAAATGACCATGCAGTCATACCAACGAAAAAGTCATGGTTTTGAAATACTGCAACAACAGACTGTTGGATGCTGTTGTTTGAATGATCAAATACATGACCAATTGGACAATCAGTCAAATATTTGGTATACAGTGACAGTATATGCTGTGATAATGGATTGTAAATGTGATGATAACTATCCATAATCAGGGGGACAATTTGAAACTACCTGATTGCTGGATACATCACCGCAATTTGGAATATCAACACAGCATACTAGTCAAGTTGATTTTCCACTAAAAGCAAGGCTTGTATATTGGGTTTACTCGGTGTTTTTGTGGTTTTCCACCCTACAGGGCGTTTTTGGGTTTGTCCACTTCACAGGGTGTACTTGTGTTTTTTGTGATCATTCATTTGAAAATTTCTGATTGTCACCCTTGAAACTGCCGTCATTATAAAACGGCAGTCATCTACCAGATTCAATCCATTTTCATCACACTACTCGATACAATGTTGATTACTCTAGAATGCATTCTACTTGCGTTACAAGCGGTTGCTGCAGTTCGACTTGCATTAGAATCACCTTTTGAAATTACCAGTCCATCAAGCAATAGGCTGTCAAAACGATCACCCGTTGAATTGGGTGGTGATATCACAAAATGCTATACAATTAAAGTCAATGTTCATGGAGTTGATGTATGTATCATGTCATGCATTGTAGTTGGATATCAATTTGTACTAGGTCTAATTAATCTCACACTTGTCGTGTTGTTTAAAATAGTTGGATTTGCAAGTCAATTCAGCAATGTCTGATATAGTTGTACCACTTTCTAGTTCAAGCAACGATATAGGCTTGGCTCCAGAAAGTACTCCAAGTGGGCAACCCGTTACTATAAATTACAAAGGCAAAGAGTATAGAGGAATTAGTTCCACAGCCGATGTGACGATTCCGGGTACTAGTATAACTGACATCAATTTACCAGTACTATCAGTTGAAAAACAATCGGCAGATCTAGTTGGTATTAGTCCAAACCTTGATGGAGTATTTGGGTTTGCCTATTCCTCGTTGTCAAAGCATCATCCACCAATCACTGCGATGGATGTTTTGTACAGCAATGGTGTCATTCCCAGTAACGAGATTGGTCTTCAATTATGTCCGTATGATATGACTTCAGATAGCTTCATCAATATAGGAAACACGGACGTAACTGCAAAATGCGGGACAGATGGAAAAAGTATTGCATGGGTAAAATCACCATCAGCCGATTATTTTACTGTCAACATCAAGAGTATACTAGTCAATGGCAAACGAGTGAATCTACCCGAGGAATTCCAAAAAAGGGTGGAACATGGACGTACTTTGTACTCCATTGTGGAAACATGTTTTAGATATATGTATTTCCCTAAAGTAGTCGTGGCAGCATTGGTTGATGCTATTGTTGGTAGTGGTGCAATTACTATCAAAAGGATTAAACTCAAGCGCAAACTCTACCCAGAAGAAATTGATGACGTATTTTGGAAAGACGGTTTAATGGCTGAATCTAGTTTTAGTATCGATTGGGGCAAGCTGCCAACGGTTTCAATTACAATATTTGCTGAAAACCCTGTAACTGTTGAAAATCGAAATTCTGTTGTAGCGATCAAGTTGGGTCCCAAAGACTATATACAGAGATATGATTCTAAAAATTGTAAGTATTTGGCAATTGTATGCAATATGTTGTTTGATTAACCTGACTATATGCATGTTGGACTATAGTTGAATTTGCTGTAAAAGCTGGTTCAAATGACAAAGCAGTTCTTGGTATATCATTTATGACCCGACTTACAATGACATTTGATCGAGCACATAAACGCATTGGGTTTGGTCCTGGATGTGGATGTGAAGTCATGGCCGATGGATATCCTACTATTTCAAACGGTTATCAAATGCTCTGGCCATCATCACAGTAAGTTGTTTGATATTGATGTGTGGATGTGTTGATTGATATATTGATATTGATCATGAATTTGATGAATACTGTTAGATTGCCTGAACAACCAACTACTTCAGGTTCAGATGGCACATTTATTCGCAGAAGAAAACCAATAACTACAACTGATCAAGTAGCTGTACCTGAAAACACTCACCACGCTGTCAAGAGTTACAAACAGACTCTCAATAAACTCGACTGAATACAATTCATTAGTGACAAACTGATACTATACGTATATTTAATGTGGTGTGTTCATGTTTGATTGTGTGATATGTTCAAGCCGTGCATGTATTGGATCAGTCCAGTGTGTATTGTAATTGTTTGGTACACGATGATCACACATACTATTGCATTAGTAATACATGGTATTGATTGAATACACATGATCCAAGTGTATCAATCATGGTATGCATTGTTGGAATCCATCACTGTATATCTGGATGATCATGTCGATACTGGATGCGCGATATCAACAGTTGCAATATGGTATACTGCTGCAAATATCATGATTATCACATTCCATTGGTGTGTGATCATATTGCACCAATCGACCAGTATACGATCATTGAATACATCAACATGTGTATAATGACCATATTGTTGGCATTGTATATTCAACATGTGATACTTGATACACGACACAGTTGACACTGCGACTGATGTGTGTGATCAGTCAGGCTATTGATGCAACCATTTTGACACCACAATCAACAGTCAAACCAGTCAAACCAGTCAAATTGGTCAGATCTGATATCAACACACATGACTATTGTTGATATTGGTATTGCATGTGTCAATACGACATGACAAGCAATATCATATCGACACAATACACACATGTCAAGCAGTATCATATCGACACAATACACACATGCATGTCAGCATCATCAATGTGTACAACTATGCAATATACAATCAACTGTATTGTATTGTATTGGAAATACAAGTGTCAATGTACAATATGATATCATGCCAACCAAGACTGTGTACAATGATCAGATATAATGCATGCAAATCCAATTTTATTGTGAATTAAATCAAAAATACAGTTGTAGAATGATAATTAAATTGGTTGAAACAAGTCCAGATTAGCATTCAAATCAATTGGATGAATCGTCATTTTTGGATCGCTGAAAGAGTGATTTCAATCCATTCATAAACTTGGAAAAACCTTTCCGTTTATTGGAAGGAACTCTTTGTTCAAAGTATCCAGATACAGATCCAGATGGTGTATCCGGTGATGGTTGTGAATCTTGACTTTGCTGATCACTAGGTTTTCTGCGCTGTTGCTGATCACTAGGTTTTCGACCAAGACTCTTGTTGTATTTTAATGATTGTTTTTCAAGGTAGCTTCTAATGAAAGGATTTGAGTTGATATCATAAAGTTTGCGACCAAATAATTTAGGATTCCAAGATTCTCCAAAATGAGATCCACAAGCTCTACATTGATTTGCTCTACTTTAACTGTAAGATAACTATACTTGGACTCGCAGCCTTGAAGACTTTTTTTAAGATTGGCAAGTTTGGATTTTTGGATTTCAAAATCAAGCTTATTCTTCCGAATTTCACCATTATATTCTGGACCGTCACCGCTTGCTTGAGATATATATCCCAAAACTTGAATCTTTTTTTTCAAGCGCTTTACCAGTTTATGTTGATGGTCATATTGAGGTTTTAACGAGCCATATAGTTTTTCTTGTTCATCACGACCATGCTCTAGCTCTATGTACTCCTTGAGCAAATCCTTGATGATGTTTGGAATTGGATCAAGACCACCTAAACCTATACCGTTTGGATTATGAGTTGGCGAGGTGATAGACTCGGTGCTTGTAGTTGCACTGGGATCAACTGGATTGGCAATAGTAACCGAGCAAGCAAGCAGGATTGATGACAATACAGCAACTGCGAGTTTCATTCTACTGGTTTGGTTGAGCAAGTTGTAATGTTATTCAACAAGTCAAGTTTTGGATTGTATTTATGTCGGTTATTGAGTGGATAATATTAAAAGCATGTTTTTGGGTAGCCGTCCTAAGGGTTAGTGTTGTTGTCAGGGTTGAATGTTGATTTGTTGTCAATGCCAAACTTTGAAGAGTCTTCCTTTATATGATATCCGCAACCTTGGTTGAGCCGCTATTCGATCATACATTCGAATATCATGTGGTTGATTATAAAGCTTCACTCTGAAAAGGGTTAGGGTTGAGAAATGAGTATAAATCAAAACTGAAATGAGCTTGACACTCGGCTATTAGTTGGTCATCAATATTGTTGTGATATTCCATGCTTGTTAAAATAGCAAGTGATTGGCATGATTCAACGTACAAGTAGTGTATAGTGAGCATCGGATGATACTGTTTTACTTGAACAAGAGTGCTAAATCCATTGGAATAAATATAATTTAGTCGTCTATTTCTGTACTACATTTTACACCCTCATTGTTACACAACATCAAATGTCTGCAAAGAAAACAGCTGGAAATGGAATGCGTTTGTAGGAATACGAAACACCATACACAAAATGACAGCAGTATTGCATACATACAAATCAAAGTATGCTATCATGATTGTCAACGGATTGATTGAAAACAACTTTATATCCAACTTGCCCATCAGCAACCAACAACTCTGCAAGATCCTTCTTGCCAATATCACAGTATCTGGATGGAAATACGGAACCGATTCAAACTGCTGTCAATCAATACTGTCATTCAACACTGCAAGGCTGACATTGACAAGTTGTTTGTGTGAGGATCACAGCCATGAGGACCTTAGATTAATTACCTTGCGGTTACACAACACCCTAAGGACTGATATTAACCTCCTTATGACCGATCGAATCCCTAAGGACTCATGTTGACCGCCGTAGGGACACGCAACTCCATAAGAACCTGTGTGAACCCTTTACGGCTGTACTCTTGTTGAGGTCTATAAATAGACCATACTTGTCATGTATGTTTACCTCAGTTTTATCAATAAAGTTCCTTGATCCTAGTTAGTAACAAGCACCTGGTTTCCCTTCGCCTTATTTTGCGATTAAGTACTTCCTGACACATTGATAAAACTCATATTTTCCTGAACCACCTGCTTGTTTACTCCTTGTCCCTGTTCCTATCACAACTTCAAACCTCGTCATGAAAAACTCTCCGGAAGCCCGTTCCAATCTAATCGACGGTTCCCCTCACTCACGACATTCCAGTCGCACTCGTCCAACGACATGCAGATTGACGCAGTCGTTCGAGGCCCGTTATCCACTCAAGAAAGGAAGCGCCAACGTCAGCTCGGCTTATGTTTATATTGTGGCCAGCCAGGTCACCGAGCTCATGACTGCCCTAGCAGAAGTCCTAATAGAAGAACGACTCCAGGTTCCAGATCCGTCGTTCGCCAAACCAACACCTTTGCCTCTTGAAAACAGTTATGGGTGAAGCAGTGGATGTAGCCCGTGGTATGCTTGACAAGGATGTTGATGTGGTAGTACCCTCTGGGGAAACAGGCTCTTTTACACAGACGCCCTCCACATCTCCTTTGTACTCGCATCAGCCAGCAAAACCCACACACCATGCTAAGTCTGTTCAATGTAAAACTCCATCCTGTTCATACCCGTTTCCTGTTCTCGTTTCCTAGTTTCCCCAGTTATTCCTTGTTTTCTTGTCAATGATTCACATTTCATTGAACCTCCTAGTTTCCCCAGTTATTCCTTGTTTTCTTGTCAATGATTCACATTTCATTGAACCTCCTAGTTTTCCCAGTTATTCCTTGTTTTCTTGTCAATGATTCACATTTCATTGAACCTCCTAGTTTTCCCAGTTATTCCTTGTTTTCTTGTCAATGATTCACATTTCATTGAACCTCCTAGTTTTCCCAGTTATTCCTTGTTTTCTTGTCAATGATTCACATTTCATTGAACCTCCTAGTTTTCCCAGTTATTCCTTGTTTTCTTGTCAATGATTCCTGTTTTGAGTTGCCAACCTCAGATTTACCTCGTATCCAGGCAACTACCACCGCATCGAAACCCAAGTAACCGTATGACTCCGAGACGTCGTCGTTTGGAGGGGAGATAATGTGAGGATCACAGCCATGAGGACCTTGGATTAATTACCTTGCGGTTACACAACACCCTAAGGACTGATATTAACCTCCTTATGACCGATCGAATCCCTAAGGACTCATGTTGACCGCCGTAGGGACACGCAACTCCCTAAGTAACTGTGTGAACCCTTTACGGCTGTACTCTTGTTGAGGTCTATAAATAGACCATACTTGTCATATATGTTTACCTCAGTTTTATCAATAAAGTTCCTTGATCCTAGTTAGTAACAAGCACCTGGTTTCCCTTCGCCTTATTTTGCGATTAAGTACTTCCTGACACATTGATAAAACTCATATTTTCCTAAACCACCTGCTTGTTTACTCCTTGTCCCTGTTCTTATCCCAACTTCAAAACCTCGTCATGAAAAACTCTCCGGAAGCCCGTTCCAATCTAATCGACGGTTCCCCTCACTCACGACATTCCAGTCGCACTCGTCCAACGACATGCAGATTGACGCAGTCGTTCGAGGCCCGTTATCCACTCAAGAAAGGAAGCGCCAACGTCAGCTCGGCTTATGTTTATATTGTGGCCAGCCAGGTCACCGAGCTCATGACTGCCCTAGCAGAAGTCCTAATAGAAGAACGACTCCAGGTTCCAGATCCGTCGTTCGCCAAACCAACACCTTTGCCTCTTGAAAACAGTTATGGGTGAAGCAGTGGATGTAGCCCGTGGTATGCTTGACAAGGATGTTGATGTGGTAGTACCCTCTGGGGAAACAGGCTCTTTTACACAGACGCCCTCCACATCTCCTTTGTGCTCGCATCAGCCAGCAAAACCCACACACCATGCTAAGTCTGTTCAATGTAAAACTCCATCCTGTTCATACCCGTTTCCTGTTCTCGTTTCCTAGTTTCCCCAGTTATTCCTTGTTTTCTTGTCAATGATTCACATTTCATTGAACCTCCTAGTTTTCCCAGTTATTCCTTGTTTTCTTGTCAATGATTCACATTTCATTGAACCTCCTAGTTTTCCCAGTTATTCCTCGTTTTCTTGTCAATGATTCCTGTTTTGAGTTGCCAACCTCAGATTTACCTCGTATCCAGGCAACTACCACCGCATCGAAACCCAAGTAACCGTATCGACTCCAGAGACGTCGTCGTTTGGAGGGGAGATAATGTGAGGATCACAGCCATGAGGACCTTGGATTAATTACCTTGCGGTTACACAACACCCTAAGGACTGATATTAACCTCCTTATGACCGATCGAATCCCTAAGGACTCATGTTGACCGCCGTAGGGACACGCAACTCCATAAGAACCTGTGTGAACCCTTTACGGCTGTACTCTTGTTGAGGTCTATAAATAGACCATACTTGTCATGTATGTTTACCTCAGTTTTATCAATAAAGTTCCTTGATCCTAGTTAGTAACAAGCACCTGGTTTCCCTTCGCCTTATTTTGCGATTAAGTACTTCCTGACAGTTTGACATCTCATTATCTCCAAAGAAAAACGGAATTCAGACCAGATTCGCTTGGAATGTCAACAACAACTCACTGTTTGTTGCTACATAAAGACTCGTCAGTACAAACCCACACAATACAATGTAAAAAGTATCAGGCAACCAGATACAAATGAACTGTTTGTCTGCAATATGCTGCATCATATTGGAATGGGTCCTGAAACTCGTTTTATCATTGCATCTCACAGCACCAAAACAGTCTACATTGCTATCAAGTATTGCCATGTGGTGCTATTGTCCGAGTTGACAAGGATACAGCAAACAATACCCAACTTTGATTGGATTTGATATTTCGTATCCTGTGTATATGCGATTGTGCTGTCAACTCATCAAACTGCGGTCAAGTCGATGATAAAGCAATGATTGTCAACTTTTGTATCCAAAAACAGTCAAAAGATTACATTAAAACAGACATTATGGACAGATTATACAAAGGAAATGGTAAATTCCATTATTCTGGGTTGATGCAAATCGCAGTCAAAACAACAAACGCTGTAAACATGGATACGATGAACAAGTCGTTGTAGCAATGAAATGCAAGTTGCTGGAGAGTATTGAGCGAGCCGAATCAGAGATTGATGGATTGGTTTAAAATGGGGTAATGGACTGATATTTGAAACGATTTACAACGATATGTCCATGATCTTGAAGCAACAGTTGCAGTTCTAATGGAATATTTTGTTGGTAGCATTCATCTTTAAATGTAGGCATATTGGTATCCAGCAACAATGGAAAATGTGTAATATTACAACTGTAATGTCTGGACAACTGACTGTCTGAATAACATTAACTATTTCCAGTGATGCTGATTTGTAAACACTCGAATTATTCAACAACACTCTATCAATGCATTTGCAAGAGTCATTGGATGTATCTGTTGTTTGAAAGTTGATTCGCATACATTCAGAAGTGGAAGTTATAAAGCTTATTTCCATGCAGACACAATCAATGTATTACTTTTTGTTGGATAGGCTGTATCATTTGTCATCAATTCAGACACACTTGTCAGTCCTGTTCTGTCAGAATATTTGGAGCTTCGTGATTTGTTTAATTGTAATAGTAGATAAAATAAAATAAAACCTGCAACTGTTAGTAGCTATCAGAAGAGAACAAATCACAAAGCTTTGAAAATTCTGACATTTGGCTCTAAATAATTTTTATTTAGATGTCAAGGCTACTTATGCTTGTAGAAATAAACACTTCACTTTCATATTCAGCGCCATCTAGAGTATCATCTTCAAATGAATGAAAGCTCGCTGGAGGTCTGATGAATTCTGGATCATTTTCATTAATTGGAGGCAAAGCTCCTTTCAAGAATGAAGACGACGTATTATTTAAAGTAGGTAATCGTCTGGCTTCATCACTATCCAGCCATTTCTTCCAGCAATTGAATTTATTACAAATAGTCGTCCAAGGTAATCCTGAATAAATAAACACCAGTCAGCTGATAATAGCCAATTTATAAATGGCATATTATAAGCTCTATTTAATTGTTTGAAAAGCTACTTTTACAGTCGAAAAGTCAATGGATTAGTTTATAATTGGTAAATAAATATATCTTTATTTGTAAATAGGAGTTTTGGCTTTAAAATGATTTTCAATTTGGATGTTGCTCAAGTTGTAGGAATAATTTATTCATTCAAAGTCAAGCGACCTATTGAGACTATGCTATCCAATTCAATCATGGGTGATGAACCCATACCATTTTCAGTATCAGTATCTGGCCAATGAATATCTGACACTGTCGATGAGTTTGAGGCAGGGGAAATTTCATGTTCACGATATCTTAAGAGTGCTTCTTTCCAAAACATACAGAATGTCATATTCCGAGGTTCTAGTGCCATCGCATTTGATGAGTGTAGATAATCTGAAATCACACCACATACATTCATTAATCTTATCCAACCCAATCCAGAGTAATAAAATAATGGAAACTCTTTCATAAATCGATCAAATCGTTTGTATAAATTAAAATCCGAGCGATTCAGATTGAAATGTCTCTTAATGTAATCCCAGAATGATTTTTCCGACTGATTATTCAAAACAAAATTGTTCCAAATCCAACCAAATCAATACTCGAATGCGTAGTCTTTCGAATTCGTTTAAATCTCAAAGTTGGACAAAGTATTCACCAATTCCTTTCGAATAACTATTAATTCGACCAAAAAATGAATCATTTTCAACAAGTCGAGGTGCAGGCAAAGGTGAGCCAAGTTCGTTCTTATTGTCAATGGCAATACATCCAATGGAGTTGAGAAGTTGTACAGTAGCATCCAAAGTAAGAAACTGTGCTTCTGGAGGAGTGATAGGAACATACTGTCCTTGTGCTTTTTAATTGCCTTGACAAAGCAATTGATGGAATTGCCGTGAATTCGATATAATTATCTCTCAATGTCCGAGTTTGGTTGTGCAAAATGTCTTATCCATTGAATAAGGAGGTTTCTACTATCCATTCTTTCAAATTATTCTTGTCTATGAATCAATCACGACTCACATTGAGCACTCGATTCGAGTCTCGTTGACCAAAGATTTAATACAATAAACAAAATGTATTCAAGCAGAAACCACATATCAGTCGTCCGAAAGCAAAGCATAAATCTTCCCAGCAATTCTCTTCAATGATTCAACAGTAGGGATTTCATGCTCACGTTGCAGAACATCATTCTTTTCAACTCTATTGTTGTGGTTTTTCAAGAAAATCCATTCAGCGTAATTTCTGACTATCCCATAAACAGTATCCAACCCATTTAAATCAGACGCAACCTCCATTCCAACTAAATCCTGTGCCATTCCCTGCTCCATATCATCCTTCTTTGCTTGGACAATACATATTCTTTTAAGCATGAATTCAAAATGCCCATTAGCTTTGACATTTACACCAGTTAAATCTTCCTCGATGACGATTTCAACCGGATCATTTGGACCAAACAAAAATACAACACAAATCAGAATAGGTGAAATGAAATGGAATCGTTTGGAATCATTTCCTTGAGCAAGTCCACTCAGGCTTTTGTGAGCTTTGGCAAGATAGTTTTGAATGTATTCGATTGTTTCCAAGGGAACTTCTTTCACGGGCTGAGAGTATTCTTCAATATTATAGATAGACGAAATGAGTTTCCAGGTCACAGACGAATAGGCGGCACTTTTCTCGAGTTTCTCATTCTTCGCAGCAGCTTCAATCAACTTTGGGTTTAGTTCTTTCCATCTTTTCTTTCTTTCTTCTGAATGATGTGAGATCTTTATCTTTTTGACAACGGGAAGGAGATTATCAGCGTATGTGATGAGGAGTGGTGTAGAATCGCTGTTTTCATAGCCTGGTTGCTTGAATAGTTTGTTTAATTCGAGTCCCGGTCTGAGTTTTGTGCCAGTGTAGCGATGGAGAGTCAACTTGGCGAGTGAAAAAGTGTCGAGTTGAGATGAGAACTCCTTCTTGGCCTTCTTAATCAAAGCAGCAACTGTTTTTCACCCGATTTGGTCGACTTCAATAGGTTCATCCAAATACCGCACAAATAATGGTTCAGATTCACCCATTTTCAAGATGCTGCGAATGTGATACAAATGAAAATATATAGAAACTGAAAAGCTGAAAATCAGAAAGCTAATCTGTAATCACATGTTTAGAATCAAATAATAACTTGTACAGAATACACAATACATGACCATAAATTACTGGTAAAATGGTAAACGTATGATTTTCTAATTACAAAACCATATTCCTGCTGTTTCAAACTGAAATTACCTACAATCATAGCTGTAAAAACCCAAATTCTGGTTTTACAATATTCTTCACAAGTTTCCACGATATTTACAATGAAAATATCTGAATCTTTCATTCAAGTAAAACGGTATTATCCGGCGCTCTTTATATATTACTGACATTCAACTGGAAGTGACTGATAAGTTCAGTCCAGAGATTTTTGACAAATACTGGCAAGAGATAATGAGTATAACCAATTCAAAAATTTATCGCCATAACCAACAAGACCCAATTGATCAACCTGTTCCAAACACTTTCAAACGAAGTTGAAAACGACCAATTGATAAACACGGCCCAAGAACTTTTGACAAATACTTGAAACCACTATTTGATATAATTAATACAAATATTTCCAGTCAAGACCAACAACAACCAATAAACAAAACTTATTCTTCCAATTCTGGTTTAAATCAAGTAACTGGATTAAACGAAAAACATCAAGGGACCTTTGATTGTCTAAAGCAAAGATTTAAATTGTCTAAAGAAATACAAAAGAAAGAATGGCAAGCCTATCATGACCATGCGGCCCTTAGACTCAAACAACAATCAGAAATGAGCCAAGAGATATTTGAATCAAGGTACAATCCAGAGGTTGAAAAGAAATTGAAACAAGAGTATAGAAAAGCATGCATAAAAGTAGACAAGATCAAAGAAAAGCCAAAAAGATTTATGGCAAAGCATGGTTTGAAATTTGAAGAACCGAATTAGGATTCAGATTGATGATTTGTCAATGATTTTGATTTTGAATAAATTTAAACTTTCTGATATGTTGGTATTTGTCGAGTATTGTGAATGGGTCAACAACCATATCATTGATTGTATACTGCGTTGGATATTACATCAACAGTTACTGGATTGTTGATTGATACATTGACACAAGTTGTCAGGTGAGTTAAATCAACAGAATTGAATAGTAAACTTGATTGATTGTTTTAATGTAATTTCAAAAGTTACATCATAGGTTGTTTATTTAACAAAGGGGAAATGCTTTGGTTATTACAAACGTGTCTGTTTAGAATAACAGTGCCTGATGTGTATATTGCATAATGTTTAGTAATCATATTAACCAATAGAATGTTAGACATTGGTAATGTGTGATCTTTGTAATGGGACTTGGATTATTGAGATGTGCAGCCTGTTGATATGCATTGTGTGGGATTCTATGTTTGGTACACAAGTATAACCACCACTGATAGAAGATCTATAGTGATTAGGAACCCTCAACAATGATGTTTGAGCTATGGACCACATATCTTTCTTGGTATTGTTCCACTACTATCCCACCTCATAAAAGATACGATCTTGGATTAATAAACAACGCAATTCATGCATTAGTTCATTACTTTATTGTCATATTTTACTTACTGTGATATACTTTCGACTATGAACCACACAAATATGTCCACAAGCTACAAGAACCAGCCGAGTCACTTGAATCAAATAGTCCAGTGGTACCAATGAGTTGGTGTCAAATGGAATGGGTTGATTGGTAACCCCAAATGACAATATACACAATCGCATGGATTCAGAAATGACACTGCAATGGTTAATACAATGCATGGTAGTTGATTGGTGCAATATGATCAATTCATTAGTTTAATACACTATGGTTTGACAATACACGATGTTTATTGAATGAATGAAATTGAATGCATGACAAATAACAGGCATCCAAACACACAATACACGCTGCATTACAACATATCCTAGATGGGATTGTGATGGTTCACTCAAATCCAACAATGTGACGAGCCTGGTTGAAGAGTTTGTTGTTGACTACCAGAATCTTAAAAAGTTGCACCATACCCAAATTATGGCTGTGACTGTGACTGTGATAGGTGACTGCGTAAAAACTCGTGGCATCTCCTAAATTCGAGAAATTCATTCGGGTCTGCGATATCGTAAACCTCGGTTTCATCAGATATAAAATTTTGCCTAAAGTACGTTTCAAGTGTTATTAGTAACTTGTCACTTTCCTGAACCCCATTCCAATGTTTTCCTAAAAGTCCCATAGATTCTTTGTGGAGTTTTTCAAGAAGTTCATGCTGGGTTCTGATCGCAGCTTCAAGATCGAGGTTTCCTAGTCCATAGTTTGAAGAGTCGCCCATTACAGTGTCAAATCTTTCCTGCAGCTCGTCCATTATATCCACTTCAGCATAGATTTTGACTCTTCTCTCATCAATTTCGTCTGATAATGCATCGCATCCCAGTCCGATTAGTACAAATTCCTCCAACAGCATTAACATTTCCAGTGAGATTGGATGACAGTGACTCGTATATTCATCATATGGACTAGGATATTTCAAGTAGTCAGGCCCACTAGTTGCAATCGCATTAGGAGAAACTGTGGTGGAAGTAGATTCAACGCTCGTGGTCGCAGTGGAAAGAACTGGGGTAGCTGTAGTAACTGAGCAGACAGCCAGGATCGATGACAAAGCAATTGATAGTTTCATTGTATTGGTTTGATTGAGCAAGTTGTAGATGAATATTATTCAACACGTCGGTTTGGTGTCGTATTTATATTCATTATTGGATGGATGGTATCAAAAGCATGATCCTTGAATGACCGTTTTAGGGATTGGCTTTATTGTCAGGGTTGATGGTGATCTGTCACCAATATCAAACTTTGAAGGGATCTTCCTTTATATAACAACCGCAATATTGATTGGACCACTGCTCGGCTATGCATTTGAACATCGTATGGTTGATTGGTTATGCAGTTTCTCGCTCTTTTAAGCCCTGAAAAGGGTTGGTGAGATACAGCCTGGGAGATCAATGCATGTTCAAATAATATCGCATAGCCTATGTAAGATGGCTTTGGCATTCAGCTGTTACATGGTCATCAGCATATGCTATGATGTTCATGCTTTTCAAAGTAGAAAGTGGTTGGCATTATTCAAACATGTGGTTTGGTGATACTTTACATTCAACTCGACACAATCAATCATCACTACACATTGTCCAGTAATTCAATCAATCAACTGAATCAATACAATGCAGTTCATGTTGCAACCACAATGTCATATTGATGATCAATGACTTGCAACTGTTGTGTTGGCATTGCATGTTGTGTTGCTATATCAATATCGATTGTCACTATATAGTTGTATCAACCACACATCATGATCATATGTCATGGTTGATTCGTATTCTGGATTGATGCACTCATTTCATTCCACTCCATTGTATTCCATTCCATCACTCGAACACAAACATCGTATGACTTGTTGATTGCTAATACCCATATTGATCGAATACACACTACATGACACATGTCAGATTAGCGTATACATTCCACTATATATCACATCATGTTGCTGATACCACGCATTGTGATTCAACAGTCAATCTGTATTCGAGTTCGACTACAATTGTTCGTGTCAATCATAATATACACGACCAATTGTAGTCGAGTTGATCCGACTGAATAGAGTCCGAGTCATCATGTTCATATCAAACCATTGCAAACCATGACAAGTCTATTGCACAGCTCCACTCGTGTTGATTACAACATGCTATTCATAAATGTATCATATTGTCCTGTAATGACTGTACATGATTGTACATGATTGTTTGGAACCAGTAACTCCGTTGATTGATATCCACAATATGATCCAGTAGTCGTCCAGATTGTGTGTTGTATTTGGTGTGTTGGGTGATGATATCAACCTGTAGTCAAGGTTTGACTATCTGAACATGTTGGTGACTTTTTACCAACTGTGTGCAACTCGATGTCCAATATCGAGTCATGTCATTGATCAATTGATTGGTTCAATTCATCAGTGGGTTTGCTGGATCCATGTGGTGTGCAGCACTTTCAAGAATATGTTGAATCTGTTGCAGTATTGTAACTTTGTAAACGGATCAACATACTAACCTGACCATGACTGTGGTGGTTATTGTAGTCGAGTCGTAAAGCTTATTCTGGCAATCATTGATGGTTTGAACAATTATTTGAATAATCGTTTGGATGTCAGGTTATGGTATCCTGATTGACAACTCGACTCGGATACAACTTATTTGGACAATTACTGATCAATGGATTGGTCAATGAATTAACAATCAATCAACACATTGACAGATTTGTCATTCCAAATGGAAACAACGACAATCCAGTTGTAATCCATATTGAGCCTTGAACTCAAACAGTCGTGAATCAAATCATTAATAAACTACAAAAACAGTCCAATATGCCAACTCGCATTTATCCACAACTCGATACGTGAGGTTCAAATGTCTAATATTCAGACTGTGCTGATTGTAATTGTGGTTGTGTGTAAATATCAATCCAATACTCGATTCAATACTTGATTCAACTTGAGCATGTCCAGTTTTGTAGTAATCCATTTGATCACATTGACAGAATCAAGCAATGATCTGATTCAACAACACCGAATGATGCATCCATATCACTTGTATCAATCAATTGTACACAATCAGTCAATATAATCAACAGTCACTGTCATGATTGACATGATTCATTCAATTCATTCGATCCATTTAATTGCATAGATCTGACTGGCATTGCAACTCATTGTTGTAAAATTACAACCTCACAATCAATCACCAATCACTATACGCCTGCTCATATATGTATTCGTTGTATACCGCTGTGATTTGAATTCGGTCACTTGTCAATTCATCTCGATAATGTTTGGCTTCAGTTGGTGATTGAACACCTTGAATATACTGCGTGATATCATTCCACAGTTCAGGCGGTATAGGTGTCTTGTCAAGACTCGATTTGCACCATTGTGGTTGTTGTGAAGCCACATGCGCAGTCGAAACAATCCGACAGGCTGGATTCACTACAAAAAATGTCAGAATCTTGCAGTGTCCTGGTTGAGTTGGATCTGCAAGTTCAAATGATTGTTCTTTGTGTTGATATCGATTGGGATAAACTACACACCGACCATTTGGTAATTCAAGCAATCCTATATACTGATTCTTTGATGATTTTCGCTCAACAATGCCGTACACATCTTTCCAATACATATCAGATGCTCCTTGATCATCAAAACAATAAACAGCCTCGCGGAAATCGAGTTTGGGTGTGGTGATATTTTCCACGTCGTAGTAATACAGTCCAGTTGCAACAATCGATTCGTTAATTGGACCTTCATTGTGCCAGTTTCCCTCGTCGTATTTAGGTTTGGATGGTGTCAATTGAATGTTGGTGAGTTTGACAATGACTTGCAGATTACGACCACGCAGTGATACTGGCTTTGCTGATTCATATTTGGATTCAAAATGTTTCGGAAGTATTGGTACATATACGGGACGAATGACTCGAGTGTCTGGTTCCATACCACCATAGTCTGACTGGCTTGGTGGTTCATATCCCTTTGTGCCATTGCAAATATCAATATACTTGAACATTGGATCCATCGTTCTGAACAGACTTTCAAACATTGGGACAAAACATTTGAATATTTTGGCAATGCATTTGTACATGTCTCGATGCCATATCGGATTCAGATTGTTGATGTATGAGTTGATGGTCACACTGCCATCCTGTTCGACACGGAATTCACTCGGAAGACATTGGAACTTGCGTGATATAAACTTGGGATTGCCTCGAATGATGGGCGTATCTGAAACAAGTCGAGTCGATAACAATATATCGCATGGTACCATTTTGGTGTATTTGAGTCGTATATCCAGTGGTGCAATCATCGTTTGTCCATATACAACACTGTACATTGATGCATCAATCAGATTGTGCACCATTTGACCAGTGTTGTGATTTGATCCATGTTCAATATCCGATACATTTGTCATCAATCGCGTGTATACATTATCAGGTATGCCATTGTCCAGTATATACGTCAGTTCAACAGGTCCTGGGACAATTGTGCCAAATCCATCACTGCCACTACAAACAAGCTGTTTGACAAAAACCCCGAGTTGTTCCAATGCAAGATTAAATGTTGATGGTGATATATTCCGATCGAGTGAGTCAGCCCTCCATTGCTCCACAATATGCTGGTTTGTGATATCGATCCACCACATGGGTTTGCAAAGTATACATTGCAGATACTGGATATACTGCATCTCGACAAGTGTGCGTGCCTGTCCATGTTTATATCCGGCCATTTCAGATTTCATATCAATTTCGGCATTGTCGTTGTATGACTGAATGTCCGAATTAGCAGTCTGAACCCGATGCTGGAAACACGTTTTAATGATCTGACCAGCAGCCCTCTTGTTTATGTAGTTAGCAGTATCCGATTTTACAATAGCCGTTAGATTTTCAAATATCATGCCTTGATCCAACTCGGTACGTATTGAACTGTCGGGGTGATTGTCGGCAAAATCAACAAGTTTTGACTAGTTTTACAATACCATTATAACCATACAGATTTATATTTCTACGTGAATAAATAGTGTTGAGTTGCTTTACAATTCCATATTCTCGAAACACCTTGATCATCTCGTCCTTGTTTGTAGATTTCTGAATCATGTCGTTGACATAATCAAACAGGTACAAAGAGTCACACATATGAAGATTGCACATCGATATCGTCAATTGCTCAAAAACCAACGATCGTACAAGCGATACAGGAAAGTCGCGCATTTGGGATGCAACTGATCCCGCTATCTTGATCATGCGTGGTTTTAGTTCAAAGTTGTCGCTGTATTTGGTACACAAGTCGTTCAGTGTTTGAATCAAATCCAGCCTCATCAACTCGGCTGAAACTATTTCACAATCTTTATAGTTGCATAAACTATGAATAGTATCAATGCTTTCATAAATCACTTCTTGATCGACACTCCTGTATTCATGTCATATCAATCCAACCATGTCAAATTTACCAATTGTGATGACTGGACACACATTCATGCATAACACCACATACCTGAGCGTATTGACCAGTGCTGGAATGATGCCACATTTCACTGCTTTTACTGGGTCATGACGATAAATATTACAAAATATGGTTTTAAGATTTTCGATAAAACCAACAGCAACTGAACCACTGGATGATTCCAGTCGTGAGACAAGTCTTGATACCACGATGCCAAACTAATGATATTGTTCAATGTCAAGTATACAATCAGATCAACATGACATGACACTGTCCAAACTGATCCAATATTGTATCACTGTAAACATACATTTTCATCGTCAATATCATGGCAAACGGTCGAGAACAGGTCAATCGCCAATGTGAGCACTTGTTGATCAGAATCGTGAACAATAATCTCAACCATAGGCTTGATGTCAAATTTACACTCCTCACTCCAGCGTCTATATTTGTACAACTCTGTACATGTTTTTATCGCCTATATGCATATTGACACTAGATGAGTTGGATTTCAATCATTTGATCAATATCAATCATGACTTGCCGCTATTTTGACTCGACGGCTTGGTGATTGCATGAGTTGTGAAAGTTGGTTGCTTAGTCGATGTGATGGTTTGGTCATCCAATACCTGAATGATCAACATTATATCGTCATATTTGGCCTGTACTTGACAACCTGATTTGTCAATTGTTTGTACAACATTACACAATCAATCATATTTGAATGCATAGCCAAGCGGCGGTTCGATTAAAACTGGGCTGTTATATAAAGGGTCATCTTTTCAAAATTCGACATTGATAACAAATCGCTACTAACCCTTGACAACACCAATCCCTTAGAACGGTCATTCAAGGAACGTGCTTTTAATCTGATCCGTTCAATGAGATATAAATACAGTCCAAAACCGACTCATCAAACAACCATTACAACTTGGCAAACCAGTATAATGAAACTTGCAGTCACAGTATTGACATCAATTCTGTTTACTTGCTCTTTTACTACAGCCAATCCAGTCAATCCCAGTGCAACTACAACTACAAGTGCTGGAACTAGCACTTCAACCGTCATTCCCACTGCAACTGCAAGTACTGAATCTGGGCTTTGGGCAGCTTCTAATGAAGAAACTACAAATTTAGTTGATATGAGCCAACTTTCAGAAAGTGATTTAAGCTTAATCGAAGATTGCCTACAAATGGAGCAAGAATATGAAGATATGAAAAAAGCGTATGACTTGGCCAAATCTGAAGAGCTTGATCAAAGAATATTAGTAGAACGGCTGAATAAGAAACATGCGAAGCTGTTACGTAAACCTCGGAAAAACAAGAATAATCCAGTATATAAAAAAGAGCTTAAAAATTCTAGACTGAAGCTTCAACAAGAGAGAAAAAAACTCAAAGAGCTTGAAAAAAAGTGTCAAAAACTCTATCACGATTTTTTCACCTTTGGTTTGAAATTGTATTCCAACAAAGAAAATCTTGCAGAGCGTTTGTTTGAAGATCTGGATTTAGAACTAATCCTTTCTCACATGCAATTTCTGGAATTAAATCGTGATTTTGTTCAAGGCATATACGAATCTCTTAATCTCATAATGAACCAACAGTCAGGATCTGAGCAAACCTCCACTAGTGGGAGCCAGAGTTCATCACAATATCATGAAAGTCCATCATCTGAGCCGCTAACTGAGGAACCGTTATTCGAGGAACCGTCATCCGAGGAAACAGATATACCTATAGCCCAGCCCGTTCAAGTAACTTCCAGTTTAGGGTGGTTATTCCAATATGTGGAAAACCTTTTAAATTTAGAAGTAGGGCAGCCCAGACGTGACGATCCATCCAATTGACTTGAATGTTAATCTGGACTTGTTTCAGCCGATTCAATTGTCATTTTATTTAATTTACAATAAAATTGTATGTGCATGCATTATATTTGATTATTACACAGTCTTGGTTGACATGATATCATATTGTACACATTGATGATGCTGACATGCATGTGTGTATTGTGTCGATATGATACTGCTTGACATGTGTGTATTGTGTCAATATGATATTGCTTGTCATGTCGTATTGACACATGCAATACCAATATCAACAATAGTCATGTGTGTTGATATCAGATCTGACCAATTTGACTGGTTTGACTGGTTTGACTGTTGATTGTGGTGTCAAAATGGTTGCATCAATAGCCTGACTGATCACACACATCAGTCGCAGTGTCAACTGTGTCGTGTATCAAGTATCACATGTTGAATATACAATGCCAACAATATGGTCATTATGCACATGTTGATGTATCCAATGATCGTATACTGGTCGATTGGTGCAATATGATCACACACCAATGGAATGTGATAATCATGGTATTTGCAGCAGTATACTATATTTCAACTGTTGATATCGCACATCCAGTATCGACATGATCATCCAGATATACAGTGATGGATTCCAACAATGCATACCATGATTGAGCTATGCGATCATGATGTGTATTCAATCCATGCCATGTATTACTAATGCAATAGTATGTGTGATCATCGTGTACCAAACAATTACAATACACACTGGACTGATCCAATACATGCACGGCTTGAACATATCACACAATCAAACATGAACACACCACATTAAATATACGTATAGTATCAGTTTGTCACTAATGAATTGTATTCAGTCGAGTTTATTGAGAGTCTGTTTGTAACTCTTGACAGTGTGGTGAGTGTTTTCAGGTACAGCTACTTGATCAGTTGTAGTTATTGGTTTTCTTCTGCGAATAAATGTGCCATCTGAACCTGAAGTAGTTGGTTGTTCAGGCAATCTAACAGTATGCATCAAATTCATGATCAGTATCAATATACACACCCACACACCAATATCAAACAACTTACCGCGGTAATGGCCAGAGCATTTGATAACCGTTTGAAATAGTAGGATATCCATCGGCCATGACTTCACATCCACATCCAGGACCAAACCCAATGCGTTTATGTCTTCGATCAAATGTCATTGTAAGTCGGGTCATAAATGATATACCAAGAACTGCTTTGTCATTTGAACCAGTTGTTACAATAAACACAACTATAATCCAACATTATATTAGTCAGGTTAATCAAACAACACATTGCATACAATTGTCAAATATTTACAATTTTTAGAATCAGCTCTCTGTATATAGTCTTTGGGACCCAACTTGATTGTTACAACGGAATTGCAATTGGCATCAGTTACGGGGGTTTGAGCAAACATGACAATTGAAACCGTTGGCAGCTTGTCCCAATCGATTTTAAAACCGAATTTGGATATTAAATAGTTTCCCTGTAATCTGTTTTTAACCGCTATTTTGCCGAGTTTGTTTCTAAATAATATACTTTTAACCCTGATCGCACCACTATCAAGAATAGCATTGATAAACGTAGCTACGACTGTTTCAGGCAAAACTATGCATAAAAAGCATGTTTGTAGATATGAATACAAAGTACGTCCATTCTTTCCTTGTTTTTTTTTGGAATTCAGCAGGCAGATTCGCTTGTTCGTCATCGATTAGTATATTCTTGATGTTGACAGTATGGCGATCGGTTGTTGGTGACTCTACCCATGCAACACTTTTTCCATCCGTTCCGCATTTTGGAGTTATGTCCGTGTTTCCTATATTGATGAAGCTATCTGAAGTCATATCATACGGACATAATTGAAGACCAATCTCGTTACTGGGAATGACACCATTGCTGTACAAAACATCCATCGCAGTGATTGGTGGATGATGCTTTGACAACGAGGAATAGGCAAACCCAAATACTCCATCAAGGTTTGGACTAATACCAACTAGATCTGCCGATTGTTTTTCAACTGATAGTACTGGTAAATTGATGTCAGTTATACTAGTACCCGGAATCGTCACATCGGCTGTGGAACTAAACCCATTATACTCATCGCCTTTGTAATTTATAGTAACGGGTTTCCCACTTGGAGTGTGTTGCGGAGTCAAACCTATATCGTTGCTTGAACTAGAAAGTGGTACAACTATATCAGACATTGCTGAATCGACTTGCAAATCCAACTATTTTAAACAACACGACAAGTGTGAGATTAATTAAACGTGGTGTAAATTGATATCAAACTACAATGCATGGCATGACATGATACATACATTGACTCCATCAACATTGACTTTAATTGTGTAGCATTTGTTAATATCACCACCCAATTCAACAGGTGATCGTTTTGATAGCCTATTGCTTGATTGACTGTCAATTCCAGAAGGTGATTCTAATGCAAGTCGAACTGCAGCAACCGCTTGTAACGCAAGTAGAATGCATTCTAGAGTAATCAGCATTGTATCGAGTAGTGTGATAAAAATGGGTTGAATCTGGTACATGACTGCTGTTTTATAACAACGGCAGTTTCAAGGGTGACAATCGACACTTTCCAAATGGGTATTTAGAAAACGCCAAATACACCATGTAGGGTGAGCAAAGCCGAAAACACACCGTAGGGTGGATCAATATACAGACATTTCTGTTAGTGTATGATCAACCTCAGTAGTATGCTGTGTTGATATTCCCAATTGCGGTCATGTATCCAGTGATCAGGTAGTGTCAGATTGTCCCCCTGATTATGGATAGTTGTCATCACATATACAATTCATTACTACAGCATATACTGTCATTGTATACCAAATATTTGACTGATTGTTCAATTGGTCATGTATTTGAAATACTCGGACACAACAGCATCCAACAGCCTGTTGCTGCAGTATTTCAAAACCATGACTTTTCCATTGGTATGACTGCATGGTCATTTTAGGTCAATGTAGACTGTATACGTCAAACACTGCTGATTGTGTCACAACATGATCAACATCAGATTTGGCAATCTGTCACCGATACATCGAATGAGTGACGTTGTACTATAATTGAATTGGAGATTGGCAGGTCGTTCAACAAACTGGCCGTGTCAACAGGCCAGATTTTCATCGTGTACATGAACCACAATGGATGATCATGTCATTCAAATCAGCACACAATCTACTGATATATGCAATACAACACCACCAATACAAATCAAATCAACCCCAATCACAAACGTGGTGTTGAATCCAATGCATGCGAGTACTTTTTAAACACATGATACACACTGATGGTGATGGTTGCTGACAGTCACATTGCAGTGTACATGTCCACTAGTGTCCACTGTCATGTCGATTGTTGCTATCCGTGACATCCAACTGTACTTGTATTCACCAAATGTGCACAACATCTAGGGCTGACTGCTTTATGCTCTCATGTTTGGCATACAACTAGTCACCATCAGACCAAGCGTATACGCTAGTACAGCGCCATGAATCTATTGGCAAGTGGTTTCAATTTATTCTGGCACGTTGAGGGTTGGATGTGTACTAGACACAATGTTGCGGATATAACTGAGCCACAACAGGGTGATATCATGCATAATGGTACGGTCTGAATCTGTTTGGTAGATATGCAACTATATATATGACAGCCCAACTCGTCCTTTATCACGGGTTGGTTTTAGAAATGTCTGTTATTTTGGTTGATACATGTTTCTTGCATAGATTTACAGTATTGTGTGTATTTAGTCTGATTGCATTGTAAACAGTTTGGTTGATTACTCATTCACTGCTAATAACCCGTTTGTACAACATAATCGATCATTTGCTCAGTATCGAGTATTTCCAAATACAAATTTGAATGAAAAGTCTTGCCACAATACTGATCAACTGTATTACTGTTTACACTGTGGTATTATTGATGTATTGGAATACTTGGTGATCAGATACACAATGATAATGGTAGTACAAATCATGGCAGTTGTATAAACCAAACGTGATTAAAGCCAATAATAATGTCAGACAAGATTGAATAATGAATTAGCGTGTAAATCATCAACATTGACCAAGATTGATTGAAATGGTGAGATTGAGTTGGATGGTGATGAACACAACAAATGAGTGTATAGAGTTGTATTGACAGCATCGACAGTCAAACACAATACATGAATGTGGGTTCAAACTTGGTGATCGTACAATGTATGATTACTAAGAGTGCAAAGTGTAGATTCAGCATTATAGTCTGATTGTGTGTCATATGGTGGCTGTTGTATATCGAACACACAATGCAGTCAATGTGTAGTAACCATTGTATGTTGCAATGCAGAACACAATCACTGCATGATGAATACTAAAGTGATCCATTATACATGAATACGGTTGTAAAACAAAGCGTTTGTGGCCATACAACACTCTTGAAGGGTGCTTTTCAATACACCTGATCAAAGGGTCGTAAAAGCATAATTCAATCAACACGATCATCAAATTGATCAATATGATATTGTGGATAGGGAGTAACATGCTGTCTAATTTGATGATTGCTCACTACAAGCAATCAAGTAGCCCTATATAATTGGTTAACCTAAAAGGGTCAGGGTTGGTTTGCTATACAAAACATACAAATACAATCGAGTGTTCCAGTTTTATAATCGACACCAATCTCAACACTCTACTTTTGTATTAATCGTTTAAACCCATTGACCAGTCTGATGAAATTGGTTGATATTTTACTCTTACTGACTGCGGCAGCAACCGCTAATGCAATACTAATCCCGACTGATAACAATGGTTCACTCCAAGCATCAGTCACTTCCAGTCAAGTGTCCGTTTCAACCAATGAGCCCAGTCCAGGCACTTCCAATGAATACCAGGAAGAACCAGTGGATTTAAGTCTTCCCGGCCGAATCCGGCAAGGGATAATGGATCAACTCGGTCTAAACACTCCCACTCAAGGTCAACAACCGACTGCAACTGTAACTGGTCCAAGTACTTTCAAACAAGGCCGAAAACGCATAATGGATGTGATTGATTTACTGATTTCCAGACAAAACCAGCAACGACCAATTGATGAAGTTGATCCAAACGCTTCCAAACAAAGTCAGCAACAGCCAATGGATCAACCCAATCCAAGTACTTCCAAACGAAGTCGGAAACGGCCAATCAATGAAATCAGTCCAAGCATTTTTAGCCAAGCGTCTGGTTCAACTAATGAACCCAGTCCAAGTGCTCCAAAACGAGATCGAAAACAACCAATTGATCAACCCATTCCAAGCACTTCCAGTCAAGACCAACAACAACCAATAAACGAAGGCGAGTCTGCTAATACTAGTTCAAATCAAGTGACTGAATTAAGCCCAAGATACCAGAGAACCTTTGATGGTATAAAGCAAAGGCTTGTAGAGTCTAAAATAGTACAAAAGAAAAAACACAAAAAATATTGGGATTATGAAGCCATTGGATTGGAACACCAGCTAGCGCTAGAAAGGGGAGAAGATATATCAGGGTCAACGTACGATCCAGACACTGAAAAGAAATTGAAACAAGAGTATAGAGATGCAGGAGCAAGAGTGTGGGAGTTAAGGCATCAGCTGAAAAAGTTTATGAAAAGGCGTGGTTTGAAATTTGAAGAACCGAATTAGGATTCAGATTGATGATTTGTCAATGATTTTGATTTTGAATAAATTTAAACTTTTTGATATGTGTTGATATTTGTCGAGTATTGTGAATGGGTCAACAACCATATTATTGATTGAATACTGTGTTGGGTATTACATCAACAGTTATTGGATTGTTGATTGATACATTGACACGGTTTGTTCCATATACATCAATGACCTGATAACAAACAGTGTTACTTGCAAGAATAGCATACTCATAGATACTTTCAACAATATACTTTGAATTATGACGTTTCATGCATTCAATAATATCATTCTCGTCAATCAGATCCAAAACAATGTCAATATCCGTATTAATCATGGATTGATTGTTACCATTAAACAATAATGTATTATCTGAAATATTAAATTGAATTGTTTTTTCAGTATCTACATTTTGCAGCATATACCCAAATTGAATATCAAGCCAATATCCAATGTTTTGGTTGGTGATTTCTTCGGTATATTTTGCATCAACTCCTCCACATTGGTGAACATGTGTCTTGCACTGTATTGTATTGTATTTTGGGTGGAAAGGATGTTTGTTGATATGTCTATTAAACTGTCGCTTTAACTTGCTTGTTTGGTTCCAATGCTCTATTTGTAGTTGAATCAGTTGCTTGTACGCCTTTGTTGCTTCAACTCGACTCCTGAATCCTTGGATACGTTTTGTAAACCGCAACTTGACTTTGACGAGTTTAACATCAATGTTCACCGTTGATCCAACCATTTCCATGATATTGTTATTGGGGTTTTCCTAATGGCAACAATAAATCAACGACAAAACTCAATCCGAGCATCTCGTAATGGACTCTGTATGAGCCAATTGAACCACTATTTTTGTCCAAATCAGAATTACTTTGTAACAGGTTTCCAACAGGCTTCCAACATTTTCAACGAGTTTAAATAATAATAGAAAATAAATCCAATCCAATTGTTTGTTGATACCATTCCAAAATGTATTTTCTTGGGTTTATTCAAAACCACCACAATGACATTACACATCACAACCACATCCTTAAAATCCAAGTATCTACAAACTTTGGTCGTGAACTCGGTCTTGATCAAACCTAAAAACGGTCAAAAGTATCATGTTGTTGAACGAAATCTAACCAACCATCTTGTAAAAGCAGCAACCCACTATTTGTGCAATGATATTGAACCTATTACTCATGAAATCATACCTCGATATATGCTCAAGTTGGACAACCCAATCAAAGTAGATCCCAACAAACTCTTGAAATCAAACATTCAATTCGTTGATGAAAAGTATCATTCAAAATCAATACAAGCCACTTTATCATTGAATCAATGAGTTGCTGAACAAGAGTTACTACGAGACATTGTATTGTATGTATATTTTACATTCTGGCTTAGTACTTTGATCAAAAGTCATCATCACACTGTAACGGACGCTCAGATCAATGTAGACCGAATGACTCATCATGTATTTAGCGATTCAGATGTTCTTGGTAAAGTGATGGAAAAACAGCACACATTACAGCATAAATTGTATCAAATGGTAATGAGTGCCGATGTAGACGCCAAATATGTTAAATATATCATACTATGAATCCGTAATCTTGATGGAACCCAGCACCATTTCTTGAGTCAAGCAAATGCTGGAAAAACACATCCAGTTCATCGTTTTCCATGTCGACACTTGACTTGTTGTATCTGATATTCCAAATCTACCGCATCCAGTGGTATTGTTGGTGAATCATCAATTACATTCAAAGTATGTTTGATAGTTATTGTGGTATTATTTTCAAACGATTTGCTGATTTGAGGTAGCCAGTAAGTTATCATGATTGTATTGCTGGGATTTTGGCAAATATTGATTATTTTCAATAACCACCGACTATTTACTATTTTGAATACTGGTGTCTGGACATGGGATATGATGACAAATGACTTTAATGTGTCCAATTTCAATTCTGATTGGGATTGTGATTCCTGTTTTCATGCAATTGGTCAACGATTTTGAATATTCATTTCCGTCAACCCAAAATACATTACATCCAGTTTTGAAACAAGTCCTCAAACAAGGTTTTGATGCAAGTTCTGTACAATAGTCACATCCTGTTGTTCTGGATTTGCAATTCTTGTCATGATTGTGTTTTGTCTACAGAAATACTGATGTTTAGCATTAGTTCTGTTCCAGATTCAACGTATTTTGTTTCTGCATCAGATTCTCTGTATTTTCATGGTTCACTCTATGATCATCCAAGGTGTTCTATGGCCATTGATGTCAATTCTGCATTGAAAACATCGATTAAACAGATATTCTGCGGTACCAATCATGATCAAACGGATTTGGCAAGCAAGGTCATTGGACAGCGCTACAACAAACGCATTGCAAACTATGATGAACTTGAATCATTGTGTCAGAATGGGGTGGAAAGTTGGACGAGTCGGCTCGTGCAAGAATCAAGTTTTAAAAACCTGGCTAGTATTTACATTTTACTATTTATCAGTCATAAATGTAGGTGTAAAACATGAGTTCAAGTATTGATTTTATCGAATTCAGCAAGTTATTGATTGCAATAAATGAACGCTGACTAGATGTTGGCATGTACTACACAAAATTCAACCAAATCATTGCAACTTTCAAGTACTATTTATTCAGTTTCAGTTTTAATGACATTGATTCATTTTTACAATCTTGGACAAAATATAGCAGTGATCATGGGTGAATCTCATCAATTGTGTTTGTTCGAGTCAGAGCATGAATCTGGCACGGTAAGCAACCAATCATTTCAGGCCATCCACTATTGTATACCAAGTCTTTTATCCAGGATTGCACATCTCGAATAAACAGTGTGTGACAACTATGGACACATTTAGCAGTAATTGACGGTCAAGAAACTGATATCAATGTTCCATGTATACTGTCAGAATTTTTAGAGCTTCGTGATTTGTATAAATTTAAATGTATAAAGTAGAGTATAGTCTGATACTGTTAGTAGTTATCAGAAGAGAACAAATCAGAAGTGTAAAATAAAAAAGGAAGTTTGCACTTTAATCCAAGATCAACAGACTTGGTCTTTTCAAGAGTAGTGAAGAGAAGTGATAAGTTAATTAGATGGTTGAAATAGTTGAAGAGTTGTTTATTGATAAGAAAATATCTTGGCTTTATAGTAGTTGATTGTTTGTCTTGTGATACGAACAAATAACACGTTTGATAGTTAGCGGTTGTAAACGAAAAGTAGTTGAGCCAATGGGATTGATTTCTGTAATTAGTCAATTTAATAATGATACCATTTACCCGTTACTGGGGACTCGAATCCTAGAGATGAGGATAATGGAGTTTGGAGCATATGGATTGGTGGTGATGAAGGGTTTAATTTGGAGATTCAAAGTGTGCGCTACTAGAATTAGCTTTGTCACAGATTATCACTTAGGAGTATCCGTCTGGATATTCCAACAATCATTGTGTATCTAAACACCAAATATTCCAATACATCAATAATACCACAGTGTAAACAGTAATACAGTTGATCAGTATTGTGGCAAGACTTTTCATTCAAGTTTGTATTTGGAAATACTCGATGGTTTAATCACCACATACTATTTGTAATGCGATTGTCATTGATCTCATCTCATCACAGTCCAGTCCATCTGATTTATGATGATGTTTAGTAATCCATTACCATGTGTTGTAGTAAACTAGTTTGTTTATTAAACCAAATCCACAACGATCACATTCAGAATATTAATTTACAGTATTTCTAAATGCATGTTTGATAACAATCCAATTTTGTTACAACAAACTGATCAAAACAATACTAAAATGGAACAACTCGTTTGTGTGTTTTACAACAATCCAAACATGAACAATTGTTGGAAATTGTTGGACATTCGCATGAATGAAATTGTCAAATCAAAATTTGATCAAAATTCAACTTTACTAATTTTATCAAACATGGAGTGGATTGATAACATGAAAGAGTTGATTCAACACCTGGATGATTTGAAACTATTAACAACGGATGCTCAACTACACAAGGCTGATGAAATATGGGGTAGACTGCTTGTATTGATAATGAAGTTGAGAAAACAGAATTACAGTAAGTTTAGTAGTCATTGTATTATTGATGAATTCAAACTGTTGCTGACTTTGTGTTGGTTTGAAATGGCATGATATATAAATGTAGCGCCTCGCTTACAGAGTATTGGACTGGAAGATATCACAGTCAAGTATTTGGAGTATAATCGACCCAGTTTACAGGTATTCATATATTGTAACAATAATGGATTGTTCATGACTAAAATAATCAACATGTGCTGTGTAGATCAAAATAATGGAGTTTGCTACAGTATTTTTGAGAATGATGTACAGTAATAATGAGTTCAAAGTATCACATCGACTAAGCAACCAAATTGCACAGCTCATGCAATCATCAAACCGTCAAGTCAAAATGGCAGCAAGCCATGATTCACATCGATCAACGATTGACATCCAACTCATCTAGTGTCGATATGCATATAGGCGATAAACACATGTAAAAAGCTGTACAAATATAACCGCTGGAGTCAAGAGGATGGATTTGACATCAAGCCAATGGTTGAGATTATTGTTCACGAGTCCAATCAAGAAGTGCTCAGATTGGCAATTGGCCTGTTCTTGCAAGTTTGTCATGGTATTGACGATGAAAATGTTAAAGAAATCAGACCTTTGTTGAAGTAATCAAACTCTAACCGATTACGAACCGTTCAACTAATTAACTTACATCGGATATAATATCCAAGCAGGGTATTATTCAACTCTAACACAATGTAACACTAGTGTGTCACATTGTATATCCCCTAATTCATAACGTCACCATCATTATTGACCCTTATGTTTCTATAACGACCCTACTTACTTTAACATTGTATTCATAGTTACCAATCATATGTAACTATATCCCATTATAACGACACAGCTAACAGCTGTAATCAATCCTATTGGCCAAGTTATCTCCGGGTACTATAGCCTATTATCAAATACTACCTGTTTGAGCCACAAGCCTCAAACAATCTTTTACTATAAGAACTAAGACACTTTCTTATTAAATAAACATCCTCTGAATATCCTCTGAATCAATCATCTAAATATCATCTGACATAACTTCGTTATTATCTATTAAGTTCAACTCGTTATTCTGTTGACTTTAATTTGCGTGACTACTTCCTGATTATCATTCAAGATCTCTTCTGACCGATCTTTTCTACAGCGGCAGATTATATATTATTACCTTATACTTTACTAATTGAAAGACTCAGTCTCTTTCTCTATTTTTATCTCTATACTTCTTGCGCGATAATCAAAATCTTTAACAGAAAATGTATGTTTGTAATGATACAATATTGGATCAGTTTGTACAGTGTCGAGTCTTGTCATGTTGATTGTATACTTGACATTGAACAATATCATTAGTTTGGCATCGTGGTATTAGGATTTGTTTCACGACTGGAATCATCCGATGGTTCAGTTGCTGTTGGTTTTATCAAAAATCTCCAAGCCATGTATTGGAATATTCATCGTGATAACCCAGTAAAAGCAGCTGAATGTGGCATCATTCCAGCAATAGTCAATACGCTCAGGTATGTGGTGTTATGCATGAATGTGTGTCCAGTCATCACAATTGGTAAATTTGACATGGTTGGATTGACATGGCATGAATACAGGAGTGTCGATCAAGCAGTGGTTGATCAAAGTATTGATGCTATTCAGAGTTTATGCGATATTAGAAATTGTGAAGTGATTTCAGCCGAGTTGATAAGATCGGGATTGATTCAAGCACTGAACGACTTGTGTGTCAGATACAGCAACGACTCTGAACTAAAAACACGCATAATCGAAGTAGCTGGATCAGCTGCATCCAAAATGCGCGACTTTCCTGTATCGCTTGTACGATCGTTGATTTTTGAGAAATTGACGATATCGATGTGCAATCTCAATATGGGTTACTCTTTGCGCATGTTTAATGATCTCAACGACATGATTCAGAAATCTACAAGCAAGGCCGAGATGATCAAGGTGTTTCAAGAATATGGAATTGTAAAGCAACTCAGCACTATTCTTTCACGCAGAGATATACGTTTGTGTAACAGTCCTGTTCCTGATATTGTAAAACTACTCAAAACACTTGCTGATTTTGCCGACAATCATCCCGACAGTTCAATACGTACCGAGTTGGATCAAGGCGGGATACTTGAAAATCTAACGGCTATTGTAAAATCGGATGATACTGACTACACAAACAAGAGGGTTGCTGACCAGATCATTGGAACGTGTTTTCAGCATCGGGTTTACGTTGCTAACTCCAGCATTTGGCCATACGACGACAATGTCAAAATTGATATGAGTTCTGGAATGGCCGGATATGTACGTGGAAAGGCACGCACACTTGTCGAGATGCAGTATATCCAGTATCTGCAATGTATACTTTGCAAACCCATGTGGTGGATCGATATCACAAACCAGCATATTGTGGAGCAATGGAGGGCTGACTCACTCGATCGGAACATATCACCATCAACATTTAATCTTGCGTTGGAACAACTCGGTGTTTTTGTCAAACAGCTTGTTTGTAGTGGCAGTGATGGATTTGGCACAATTGTCCCAGGACCTGTTGAACTGACGTATATACTGGACAATGGCATACCTGACAATGTATACACGCGATTGATGACAAATGTATCGGATATTGAACATGGATCAAATCACAACACTGGTCAAATGGTGCACAATCTGATTGATGCATCAATGTACAGTGTTGTATATGGACAAACGATGATTGCACCACTGGATATACGACTCAAATACACCAAAATGGTACCATGCGATATATTGTTATCGACTCGACTTGTTTCAGATACGCCCATCATTCGAGGCAATCCCAAGTTTATATCATGCAAGTTCCAATGTCTTCCGAGTGAATTCCGTGTCGAACAGGATGGCAGTGTGACCATCAACTCATACATCAACAATCTGAATCCGATATGGCATCAAGACATGTACAAATGCATTGCCAAAATATTCAAATGTTTTGTCCCAATGTTTGAAAGTCTGTTCAGAACGATGGATCCAATGTTCAAGTATATTGATCTTCGTAATGGCATAAATGGATATGAATCACCAAGCCAGTCAGACTATGGTGGTATGGAACCAGACACTCGAGTCATTCGTCCCGTATATGTACCAATACTTCCGAAACATTTTGAATCCAAATATGAATCAGCAAAACCAGTATCACTGCGTGGTCGTAATCTGCAAGTCATTGTCAAACTCACCAACATTCAATTGACACCATCCAAACCTAAATACGACAAGGGAAACTGGCACAATGAAGGTCCAATTAACGAATCGATTGTTGCAACTGGACTGTATTACTACGACGTGGAAAATATCACCACACCCAAACTCGATTTCCGCGAGGCTGTTGATCGGTTTGAACGTCGAAAAGCATCTGAGATGTATTGGGAAGATGTGTATGACACTGATCGAGAATCACTGCGAAATCAGTATATAGGATCGCTTGAATTACCAAATGGTCGATGTGTAGTTTATCCCAATCTATACCAACACAAAGAACAATCATTTGAACTTGCAGATCCAACTCAACCAGGACATTGCAAGATTCTGACATTTTTTGTAGTGAATCCATCTTGTCGGATTGTTTCGACTGCACATGTGGCTCCACAACAACCACAATGGTGCAAATCGAGTCTTGACAAGGCACACGTACCGCCTGAACTGTGGAATGATATCACGCAGTATATTCAAGGTGTTCAATCACCAGCTGAAGCCAAACGCTATCGAGATGAATTGACAAGTGACCGAACTCAAATCACAGCGGTATACAACAAGGACATATATGAGCGGGTGTATAATCTTGATAATTGATGATGGATTGTGAGGTTGTGATTTTACAACAATGAGTTGCAATGCCAGTCAGATCTATGCAATTAAATGGATCGAATAAATTGAATAAATCATGTCAATCATGCCAGTGATTGTTGATTATATTGACTGATTGTGTACAATTGATTGATACAAGTGATATGTATGCATCATTCGGTGTTGTTGAATCAGATCATTGCTTGATTCTGTCAATGTGATCAAATGGATTACTACAAAACTGTACATGCTCAAGTTGAATCAAGCATTGAATCGAGTATTGGATTGATATTTACACACAACCACAATTGCAATCAGCACAGTCTGAATATTAGACATTTGAACATCACATATCGAGTTGTGGATAAATGTGAGTTGGCATATTGGACTGTTTTTGTAGTTTATTAATGATTTGATTCACGACTGTTTGAATTCAAGGCTCAATATGGATTACAACTGGATTGTCGTTGTTTCCATTTGTGATGACAAATCTGTCAATGTGTTGATTGATTGCTAGTCCATTGTCCAAATAATAATCAATTCCACCAGCAATAGTGTCCGTCACATTCGAGTTGTTGGGAAATACTTTTGATAGTTTTGGTTAGATTGAACAGTCTGGTTTAGTCAAGTAAACCAATATCTCCATAAACATGTGCTGTAAAGTTGTTTCATTTGGAAAACCGCATGACGAAACAGATTCCAATACATTGGTCAATATTGATGAGACAACATTGCGTATGAGTTTTTGAAGAGACAAATGTTGTGATGGAAAGCAGTTTGTGAATGTCCATTTGAATAGTATTTTTTGACCAACAGCAAAGTAAAAGCAAGTTCAAGGTCGGACGACTCCATCAATATTCCAGCCTTTTGAGTGATGAATAAGATTCCATATTTTGCTGAGTTTCCAAGTTGTCCAATCGATGATTGTTGTCGGACATTTCTTGAGTAACAGTTTAAAACCATTTCTAATCAGATCTGAATGGTCGCTTCCAAAACAACGAGTCATACCCAACATGGAATTGTTTGATAGACAGTATTGTAGTAGATCTGCTCGAGTGGGTTCAATATTGTTTAGACATTGTGTTTTTATATCATCAATCGACACACACAGCGCACCAACAAGACCATCACATTCCGTTACAAGAACATGTTTCAAGGTCTCATTGTTCATGTTGTTTGGCAATCCAATAACGAGTAAATCCAGAAATTCATGGAATTCATGGAATTCACAGAGTTTGGCTGGAATAAGTAGAAAATCACTTTTCAAGACCTGAAAGACTACCGAGTTCAACAGGACTTGAAATTCCTCCAACAAAAAGATGGTTTGATGCAATGATAAATCGCATGCTTAATGACAACCAACTCAGCGATGCTTTGATTAAAAGTCTCCATAAACTTGTGTCTTGTAATTACTGTTGAGCATCATCAAGAAACAACAGTTTTACTTTTTCCAATTCTATCCGTTGTTGTTTGGAACAATCAATGCATTTCCAACAAAAGTGTCGTGCAATCTTGTCCAAGAAACAAATCCAAATGACATTTGTTTGAGACTATGTTGATACATATTAATGAATATAGGTTTTGCAGAATCAGATGAACAAGTCAATATGACAAACCGATACTCAAACCAAGTATGTGAGTTTGTCAAGTTGATCAGGTCTTTTGAGATGATTTGTAGAAACATTGATACCATTGATCTGGATAGTTTTCTTGAAATAATTGTATGAACCAGTGATTGTTGGGTTTGAGCCAACATCATTCTTGGATTTGATGATGAGTGGACTGGATCCAACAGTCCCATTTGTTCCAAGAGCAGCAAGCGAGTCCCATGCGTTGTAGTTGATCTCGACTTGATCCATCAGAGTGGATATTCAGTTAGTGTATCGACCAAAAGTGATCATGTCTTGTAATCTGCGACCAAGCCAACAGGTTCTATTGCTGAACAACAGCATGTTGTTGACTTGGTCGCAACCACCATCATTGAGACAACTAAAAGGCTTGTTGGTATTCCAGTCGACCATCAACTCCTTACTTTCCACTTTGTTGTTGATGGAGTGGAAATAACTTGCAATTCATGGTATTGTCTTGCTGTTCTTGGACTAGATTGAACCACTGGAACTGATCCACTCATCAAATCCAACACATTATGCCTGGTCAAACTCTGTATCATCAACACTAGACACTGTAATGGACATGAACTCACTTTACAAACCACTCTTGTGAACCTTGTCCAGTCGATACACTTGTATGATGAACACAACTGTTGTGTGTCCAACATTCAATCAAAACCATTCATCTGGATCAAACCATCATGAACATCGACATCAAAGACATTGACACAATCCCTAATGTTTTGTATTCAAAAGTCTATTCTGGCAACATACAAATCGGAATAGAAATTCCAGTCGACAGACTGTCAACTACACAATATTGTCATGATCGGTGTCAGTGGATGTGAACAACAACCTGCCATGGTTTGTGTCGATATTGTGTATTTGACTGTTTTATCGACCTGATTTCAGTGCAATGATTGACAAGTTGGCACAGTTGGTTCATGCCAAAAAGACGGACAAGAATCAAGCAGTGTTTGAATACCAATCTAAAAGACTGATCCAGTGTTTGATTTCTGCTCGTATTTTTGTTCTGAAAACACTCCGTGAAACAAATCCCGATCTCAAGCCTTTTACATGGCTATGCATTCAAACAAGTATACAAACTGGTGTACTCTTTTGTAAAATATTCAAACATCTATCTAAGCTTCCTTGGTCTGCGTTTGGTAAAGTCTATCAACAATTGAAATCATGGTTCCTAAAAGACAGTCGTGTTATATTTGACGAATCGCAACATATGTTAAGTCTTTTAAAGTCGGACTATCGTTCAACAACAATCCATTACTGCTGGACAATTTGATTCTCCTCGGTCGCTGTTTTCGTTTTTGACCAGAACTATTATCCAAGATGGCTTCAACAATATATGGTGCGGAACACAAATGCGAATTTGCATTATGGACTTGACATACTCTGCTGCTGGACTCAAACCAGATAATATATTGATATTCACCGACTTCAACTACTTGAAATCATCTGATATTTTCAAACTACTATCGATGTGTCAAAGAATATTGACCTTCAAGAAATCTCACAGTCTCTTCAAGGTCGTCCAAGACTTTTTGTTTCATTTTTACACAAACTGATTGATTCGACTGATATCAATGATTGTTATCGTGGTTATATACAGGAAATGACGACAAAATATGGCATGTATTTGCCTCATTCATTATTTTACTGTTTCTGGAAGGAGAGAATTGACTAGAGTATCAAACCCATTAAAAATGCCGACTATTGTGTTGCTGAAACTAGATTGGTATTGGAGATACTTGTCCATCTACTTATTGATCCAAAACTCAGATCTGATTGTTTCCCTTGTGTATTTTGTTAAACAGTCATACACACTACTTGTTTGAACGTATTAGTTTGCAGCAACTATTGCAACTATTACAACTGCTACCCATATTATTGTTATCAAGTTTCGAGATCAACTCGTTTTACATTTCCATTTCCATCTTCATTTCCTGACACCCTACAACACCAATAATGAATTCACTGTGGTCCCGTCTCAACATCCTATCGGCTCTTTCTCCAAAACAGTCTTGCCGTAGTGTGCAAAACACTATTCCCCAACCAACCAATGCTTGTGAAAATGCACCACACCTTGCCGAAACAAGCATGAATCCAGAAAGGTATGCAGCACAGTATTTGTATTATAGTTGTGCATCTGAATATTATAGTTTGGTTACACAACACATTGCTAACATGGCTGTTTACTTGCATGTGTATTATTTACGATTTGATGATTGCATTTACGGTATTTTGGGATGGACTCGAAACGTTGCCGAATTTAATTTTGTTGATTCGACTCCGACTACGCGACTTTGATGGTAATGATTTTGACTGTTTTTGATGCTATCTAATGTCATTGAACGTCATTCAATGTGTATCAATTGTGATTTGTGTTGGTTGGTATGCTGTGCTGGTTGATTATTATTTGGGATTGAATTGGTTGATGCCTAATTTGATTTATGGGACAATGGGTTGAATGCTACTTTAAACTTTTACTGTTGTTTGTGCATAATTTTGTAATGTTGTGATTGACTAGTTCAAATCAGGAAAACATATATACTGATGTGTATACATCCAGCCCAATCAGTACAGTCAGTCCAATCAATGATCCAAGAATCCCTGCTTCACCAAGTAAGTGTGTGATTTTTGTATCAATTTCTCACGAGTTTTGGATGTGAATGCATGTGAATGCATGTATTGTGGATTGTTTAGGCTGTAGTGTGTTGATGGTAACTATACTGATTATATTGACTGATGGATTGATTGTTTTAAAACATTTACATTATAGTCTCGTCCCTGATTGAGGCAGTTAGGATACTACAGTCTGGAAAGCAATGCGACTCTACAGTATCAACCATATATACTGCAGAGTCCATTGCACCAGATTCAGCAGTGACTGGCCATTCATCAGGACCCGTTGAGCATTATACCGATGCTCAAGCATCTATGCTGTCATACAGCTATGCTAAACGGGTTTTGGCGTGTGACAAACCGCCTTTTGAAACTCGGTATAAAGTAAGTTGGTTGTATTAGTATAAATCTTGGGTTTAGCCTTGAAATTGCACAAGCTGTGCTGGATTGATACAACTGTATAGTTATGGTTGACTAATGTTTTATTTATTGGTGTCAACTATTTATATTTGACAGGCTGACCAAATGCAGTACACAAGGAGTAAGCTTCCCGGTGAGATTGATAGATCAAAAGTGTGGCAGCTCATGTCATGACTGAGTGATTGTATCAGTCTCTGTGAGTATGTGCGCGAGTTACAAGTTTCTGGTTCAACAATCGTTGATAACAAAACATCCATTACAGTCAAAAATAAGACCCAATCACGGTACTCAACCAGATCCTGTTCAGTGTTTGCAGTCTCTGCAGTGGTGACTGGACCAAACTCATGATTGCTGAAAACATGGCAATATCACCGTATCAATCAACCAGTACCGTTTACTCGACCACCCAATGTATCCATGACAAATATGAGGTGCTTTCGATTGATCCAGACAGTGCATCTGCGTCTGATGCAACTCGACTGGTATATATAGTTGGATCTGTGTGCATGCGATTGATCAACAGCGATTTGTCAGTGTACACGCAGACCAACAATGTGTGTGGTATCAGTCCAATCCAAACTACTGGCAGGGCAACTCGAGGTAATATGAACTCGATTGGAAACGTTGACTTTTTCACATTGATGGACGAAATGCGACAAACAGTCAAATACCTCACCATGCAAGTTGTATCCTTGAAAACTGATCTGGCCGCTGTGACTAGCGCATTTGGTCAGTTGCAGAGTCAAACCAATGACATTGTTGTCATGATGACCAAACACGACAATGTCATTCGATCATTACTGGGACAGATCTTGGTCAAACTGGACTCTGGTTGCTCACCAACACATGCAGTTGTTATACCAGTTGCGGTATTCAAAACCATTTCCACGACTGTAAACACCACCGCAACAGTGACTGTGTTTTGTCCACAAAGTCAATCCAAGTTGTTCATATGCGACAACAGCACGTTGCACACACACGCAGACTGTCGATACGGAATGTCAAGCAACAATCGACTTATTCCGTAGTCGTGCAATTGTTGACATAAATGCCATTGCGGTCAATGCTGTATCGACTGGTGTCAAACCTTGAATGAATGCTGCAACTCGCATTTGTTTATTGCGTTTTGCATCGAATTCAATGTGCACACTCAATAAACTTTGTGGTATTCTGGTCACATTCCGTATCAATCTGCAACGGATTACCAACATCCATACAATCAACAACACGATCAGATTATTAGTGGATCAATCTATTGCTGTCAAACTTGTAGTCATGACCCAACTCGATACAAGCCAGGTCAAGTTTGATCCAGAAACTCCAACAAAAAACATCAACCCGACCACTGAGCTGGCTGCTCGTCAACGGTTTACTGATTATGTGGGTTTATTGTTGATGTGTAAGCGTGTAAACTGTCGTACACGCAATTTATACTGCGAGTTGGTGGTCAAGTCTGACAATCTGTATTCGCAAACTTGTGTGCAAGCAGTGTTTTGTTGGATCACAAACATCCTGCAACTCGCACAGTTGTTTGCACAGTTGTTCGCCTATCAATCCAACTGGATCTGCAACTCTGTCAAGCAAATCCGTAGTTCAATCTGCTGATGTTGATGTGACTACAATAAACACGAAACTCACCGAAATAACACTTGCTGATCTGACAGGTCAATGAGTGACACTCTAACCATTAATACCAAACAAACAACGTTTTGAATCAACAATCAACTGTCATGACAATTGGTAACATTCGTGGTCATTTGGCATTCATCTCAAACCATCACATCAAACACATTTCCAAAATCGATTGCTGGACAACTCAATTCGGTGCACGAGTCCGTATTACTGTGCCAGAGTTGTTAAACATTGGTAATGTGAAATATCATAAATAACGAGATATTTCAGACTCATACACGACGCATATATGTTTGAGGCGATGTCTATCGCAGCCATCACTTGTGCAATAACAAGAGACTTTCTCAGCTATGACGTCTAATTCACGGATACGCATAACCGTTATTTACATCTTTATAAAATGATCAATGTTTTCTTTTATCAATAAACAACACAATTAACTCATTGGTTCATTCCTTCATTCTCATCTTTTACTTTTGTGATATTCCTCCAAAACTATACTACATTAATATGTTGTCATACGTCCAAGAGCAACAGTATTGCTGTGGTGTAATATTAGCAACTACACACAACTTGACATGAATGACAATGTTGATGTCGAGACTGTCAATGTATTACAATGTATTGGTCAACAGTGGCTGCAATCAATGACAATATTGCAGTCAATCCAATCCAATTGTTGATTGGAACAATCATTATTCACTTGTCAGATTCAGCATGTAAATGAATGTTTTGTAACACATTTACTAATCCAACAATTGACTGATTAACAATAATTGAATATTAAAATGTTGAATAAAAGACTCGAGTCATTATATGAATGACGTAATCAATTGTTGAGTTGACACTCGATTGAACAATACAAATGAACACATGACAAATGTTTAAACACTATTCAAAGTGTGAATTTGTCTCACATTGTTCACGTGATATTGAGTTTTGAATGTGAGACAAATTCACGTTTTGATCTTTTTTTGTCATTTCATTGTTTCACTTTATTCTATATTCTATTCTATTCTATATTTTATATTCTATTCTATATTCTATTTCTATTCTTTCAAATTGAAATGGAAAACAAGCAGTTCTACATCAAATATCTTGACAATCAGCCAGTGGAAATCGAAACCCACTTTGATGGTGAACTAGAGAGAAAAAGACCACTCAACAATGTATCGAAACTAATTGCTGCTTTCCAAGCACTTCCCAACTCTCCTCTTGCTTCTGCTTTTGTTGGAGACCTCACCATCCATTTTGTGGTGGATGGTCCAGCCATTGCTGGAGATGTGCTTCTGAAATCCATTCAACATCCAGTTGGTTCCTACAACCAACCGCTTGTCATTAAATCCAAGAGTAATTTTGTACGGAGTAAAAGTGACCAAGAATTCGTCGACGCCAATAATTTGAAATTGCAAACCCCAAATGACGCTTTCAAGTATTTGATATATCATCTGGAAAAGATTGTCAATGTCTCAAGGTTTCCAAATAACGCCGTATTTCACGACAATTGCTTGGAGCATCGTCTTGATAGGAGGAGCACTAGCTATGCGATTGACGATGTCAATAATGTCAAACTGTTTCTTGCTGTTTCTGGTGCAGGAAAAACAAGGATGCTTCTAGAGTTGCTTTATTCAAACTTTGGGTACTACTTCACTTCCAAGAGCTCTCAAAAAGACTTTGGTTCTAAAGACATGTATCAATGCCGGATGTATTGCGACAGTAAACCTAAACTCGCTAAACTCACTCAACATGCTATCCAACTGTTGTGTTTCGTTCGGGTTTCTGTTTGCAACTACTTGATAAGCAAGGGATTCAAGGAACCTTGGCAAATTCTTCTGGCTCAACTCCATCCTATTGCATTCTTTGGGCTTGACTTGTTTGAATATCTTTTTACAATCCTTGTAGAAGAGCCTAAACTTTCCACAACTGCTATTACAAACCCATTTCCTTTTACTGCCATTGATGAAATTCAGGCTCTTGCAGAAGGTCTTTGTTTACATTGCCTGCCAGGGAGTGAAAACTCACGTCCTTTCTTCTCTCCATTTGTATACCATTCCAAAATGATGGGAATATTTCCTCATTTCCTACTGTCTGGTACCGGTATTAACTTTAAACTTATCAAAGAGCTAATGGAGTCCAGTGTTATGAAGGATGGTCAAGTCACAGATTATGTAGTTATATCAGATTTCCATCCTTTGACAAAGCTCGAGGTCGAACAGTATGCTAGACAATTTTTACAAGACCATCAAGTCAATCAACTGGATGCTATTGTATCAAGAATTTCAGACTTTGAATTATGTCATGGAAGACCACGTTTCGTATCGTATATTCTGGATGCATATATGAAATCAAATGATATTGACACTGCGATTGGCAAATTTATCACTGGAATATCTAATGTTGATGGCCAGATTTTCCCGCTTAGATTCTTGAAAGATGACCTTGATGGAGGCATTCGTTCATTTGACAGAGTCATTGATGGTGATACCCTGTCGAGAATCATTCGCGACGCATTTCTTGATGCCATCTGGAAGGGAGAAATGCAACTTAATGTAACTGGAAATGACGGTGCTAATGCAATACGTTACGGTTTGGGATTTGGTCGAGATATTGCTAAAGCTAACCCTTCCATTGAAATTCAAGAGTTGGCCGTAATCGAGTGTCTTCGCTACTTTTTCCCCTTTGCGCCCATTGTCAAAAATTTATACCAAAGAATTGACTCGTCTTTTAACCCTCAAATGGTTGGCTATTTGATGGAATACTTGGTTGCGTTTGCTTTAGTAGCCAACCATTCTGGTCCTGATGCTGCCAATAGTATCAAGGCATCCCAAGCTTCTGCATCCAGCTATTTACAATGTGATGATTCAAGTCAAGTATGCTTTCCCGATCATATGTGTGGACCAGATATCATCTACAAGTGTGCCAATACAAAGACTGTATACATTGTCCAAGTCAAATTTGTCAAGAGAATGTCAAAACAACAAGCTGCAAACGCTTACAATACTACAGATCCTGAACGCTTTTATTGCAAACGTAATGGCGGTGGAGTGTCGAAAAAACTTGAAGTGTTGAAAGGGTTTGAAGAAGAACGAACCTACCTTCTTAGGACTTTGTTGAAACTACACAAATCAGGCTACTCATTGCAACAGACTCTGGTTATTCATACTGCTGAAAAGAACCCTGTTGACGCTCAAGATATGAGAATCATCAATAGTCAAAACTCGCCTCAGTTTTTTGACAAAATTGGCAACGGTGTTTGGGATTTTTTGAATTTAATTAGAAATAACCTTCAATAAAGTTTCAAGATGAGATTGATATACAGATTGGATTTTCAAAATCAAAAATAACTTTGATTAGCCATATGCAACCAACACCAAACACGGAACCTTGAATATGAGCTCAATGATCAATTTTACCATCATGATTCGTAATTGCAAATAGAACTTGTTTCAAAACATAGGAATCCAGTCGTCATTATAAATATCCTTGCATTGCATTGCATACACAACTCCATTTGTGTATATTGATGGGTTTGCACAAAACTGAATTGATGCTAAACTTGGAAATACTGACGATAACAAGACAGATGCATGAATGCATTCACTCCATTCAACAACAGACATAGCTGCCAAGATCCAAACATGTTCCGCAACAAGTTATTTGTATTTTTACAGGCAAAAGTAGATGCTACCAGTGTAACATTTGTCAATTCTGACATGTTCAAAGTAATAACCAGCCAATAGTCTGGATTAAACGACAACACATGATGACCGATCGTCATTCCAAACACCAGGACAATGGAAAGGGTTCAACATGTAGAGTCAATCATTCCACCACAATCAGAATTGTAAGTGATTGGATATTGGCACTATTGAATCACAAAATAATCAAACACACGATCGCATAGCTTGTCAATGTTGCAATGCATTGCATCGATCAGTTTGATGAAAGTGTTTTGAATCTGATACATGACTGTTATTTTATAATGACGGCAGCTTCAAGGGTGACAATCAGCACTTTTGAAATGGATATTCAGAAAACGCCAAATACACCATATAGTCGATCAATAACAAACATCGCTGTTGGTGTATGATCAACCTCGGTAATATTCTGGAATGATCTTTTCAACTGCGGTGATACACCCAGTAATCAGATAGTGTCACCCTGCTTATGGATAGTTATCATCACATATACAATCCATTACTACAACATATACTGTCACTGTATACCAAATACTTGACTGATTGTTTGATTGGTCATATTTTGTGCAGTTTAAATTGATCCCATTTGTCCTTTATTGGTCAATCTGTATATAAATCAGGTTATTCAATGACTTGCTATCATACAAATTCAAATACAGTCTATTCACATATTGACAACTATGCAACAATTGGTTGTT